AGCCCACGATCCAGTGCCCAGACAAAGGGGGCGCTGGCCTGAGCCCTGGGCTTCCCAGGGACCCCGGCACCCTGTCTTCTCTCTTTCCTGATACCTGAGTGAGGGTGCCAAATGCAAAGGAGCCGAGCGACCCTTCCAGGCTTTGGGCGTCTCAGCCCTGGCCCCAGGGCACGGCGCCCGCCCCCCCGCCCGGAGCGAGAAGGGATCCCTCCCGTCCAGGCCGACCTGGTCGGGGGCTGAGTCTTCCCCAGGGTTTTTAAAAAGCCCACGAGAGCGTTGTTCTGGGCCGTAGAGCCCGGGACCACCCCCGATTGTGGGTTTCCACACGTTCCCCTTGGCATTTGTCTTCACTGCGGGCGTGTGTTCGGCGACATTCCCCCCTGGGGGGTGCAGGCCATCTTCCAGAAGGTGTCCCCTCGGTTACTGGATCTTCCCTGAGCCCTTAATATATTTACCGCGGCCGTTGTATAGATGATGTCTCCGAGGTCAGAGAGTTCACGAGTTTGCTCAGCGTCACGGGGCGAGTCTGGGGACCTAGGAAGAGGGAAGTAAGTTCTGTCGAAGTGGGGACAGGGCTGATGGATCCCGTGGGCTTGCGCGTGGACAGCTGCCTGTTAGGTAGCCCTGAGCTCGCCAGCTGTGGACCCCGCTGCCTGTCACGTGGTTTGCCCGGGGAACAGAGCGTCCCGTATTTAAGGAAACGCAACTCCACACAGAAGAGAACTTTCACAATCCTTGTAGCGAACGGATAGAAGGCCCTTCACCGAGGCCTCGCCAAGGTCTGATGGATTCCGCCGTCCATCGACCCATCCGTTGATCCGCCCAGCGGGTCGGTCCATCGACCCATCCAGTCCCTCCTCATCCATCCATCTACCCACCCTCCATCCATCCGTCTGTCTCTCCAGTGTCCCCATTTTCTATCCATCCTCCATCCATCCACGTACCCACCCATCCATCCATTATCCACCCACCCACCCACCCACCCACCCATCCATTTACTTAGGTGTCCGTCCACGCCTCCCTGACGAAGGACCGAGCCTTCCTAGAGGAGGAGGCCTTTTCTCCGGGCTTGGAGGCATCAATGAGACTTTTTCTGGTTTGGGAAGAAGCGTTGGCCCTCGATGGCCGAGCCGCACAGGATCCACGTGCAGACTTGGGGGCGGAGCGGAGGTGCCCGAACTGTGGGACTCAGGGCCTCCCGGCCGTTCACAAGGTGCTGGGGGTGATTGTAACTGGTCCAGGGCCACACCGTGACACCCATCGGGCGCCCCAGGAGCTCTTACGATTCAGGTCCACGCGGGGGAAGCGGGACTCGGGGGGGTCCTGGGAACTGCTCGCCGCAGTTCATTCTTTTTCACGCTGGGCCAGCAGAGGAGGTTCTGGGGGCCCGGCGAGTGTCCCCCCAGTTCTTGGGGCCGCCCGACGGCGTGGGCTTCGGACGTTTCATTCGCGGCTGGCGTTTCCTAGGCTGTTCCTTGGGGGCTTCGTGGAGCCCTCGATGGCGCCTTCTGTGCTTGAACAGGCATTCTCGACACGAACTCACCTGGGGCCCCCGGGCTCCGGTGCTTCCAAAGGCAGCGAGACGGAAAGACTGAGGCCGAACGTTAACGGTCCACGTGCCTCGAAAGAGAGACGGGAGATGCTCTTCTGGAAAGCCAGCGGGTTTCAGACGCTTAAAGGAAGCTCAGATGTAGCCAGCTGCCGTGATAGCCGCGGTTCCCTGCTCACCTGGGAATTTCGGGCCCCGCCCCTACCTGTACTCCGTGCCCAGAGCCTGGGCTCTGGACTAGAATTTTCTGCATCCCGGCTGCCCTGCTTCAACCCCATGCGCATGCCGGGGCTCCCCGTGTTCAGGGGTTCGGCCCTGCCCTGGTGATTTGTTCCAGAAAACTTTTGCCGGAGGCGAGCCGGCTCGGGCGTGGGGTACGTGCCTGGTCGCTGAGTCTTGTCCTCAGGGCTCGGCAGCCTGCGGAGCCAGCGATGCTTTCAGTGGGGCTCGGAGACACCGTGGGCGGGAGGCAGGAGGTCGCTGGATGGGAGCTGGGTGGGGGGCAGGTCTGCAGGGTGTGGGGGGCGGGGGGCGCCGGTGTTGCCGGCGGGCTGGGGGCGGAGGCGGGGTTTCCTTTCCTCCCATGCTAAGCGCAGTGGGAATCAGCTGTAGGGGCTAGAGAGCTCCAGAAATGTCCCGGGCGGTCCCGAAGTTTGTCTCTGCCCCCGTGTGGCGTTCTAGGGCCCTTTGTATGGGTCACAATAATAATCACGTTAATAATAGTAAACAGGAGACCGACTCCAAGTCCGAGGCAGGATCGGACGGCCCGATTCTTTCTTCTGTTCTGATTTTATTGCTGTACATTTTCTCGGTGATTTATACATACATTTTTATGTAACTCAGAGGCTCGGTTTTAAAATGCTAGGACTTATACTTTCTACAATTTATTATGATATCATTTTGTCATTTATTTCTATTCTAGCTTTTATTTCTCTCATGCAGTTCGTTTAAGTTATATACTTATCTGATTGAAACGTTGTGTGTCTAAATTATAAACAAAATCATAATACACATAACTTATAAACATTCATATTTCATTTCTGTAACTATATTTTATACCTGTTTATTTTTATAACTTATGCATTCTACGGTATAACTGAGTTGTATCTTTGATAATGGTTATCATTTATTGTGTATAAATTTTATTTGTGTTCTAGTTTATTTCCCTTTTCGTTTTCTATATTTATATAATTTACACACCTATCGGATGTGTAATTTACATCCAATCGATAAATTGCCCAGTTTTTAATTTTTATAATTTATTATTGGAGCTATATTCTAATCTATCCTCCCTTCATTTCTATAACTTTATTTCCATTTTCGTTCTATCTGTTTCTTTATATAGTTCACGAGTTCCGTGTGCAAAGTTGATGAGTTATACAACTTATTGTTGTAGCTATTTCACTTCTATTCTGTTTCTATTGCCATGACTTCTGGTTTATCTCTGTTTGCTTAGACACGCTCCGTACATAAATTACGCAATTTTTAGAGGCCATCATGTGCCTGTTTCCGTGCCTGCTGCAATTAATTCCACATGGGAGCCCACCATCGTGACGGACCCCAGCAGAGTCCGATCGGAGCTTCCCGGGGGGCGTCTGTCGTGGTTCGGGAGGGTCCGCCCCCCTTGGCGGCACCCCCACCCCGAATACCAGGGTCTTAGGGACCCCTCTGGGTCCCCTGTGTGGTTCGCCGCGAGGCGCGGCCCCAGGAGACACCACGAGAATCAGGAGAGTCAGAACGGACCAGGCAGCCAGGGTGACTCAGCCCCACACCCTTGGGGAGGAGGCCTCGCCCAGGGTGACTCACCGCCCGCGTCCGGGGAGCTGCGTGGGGTCGGCTGGGCTTCCGCTGGGGGACCCCGGCTCGCGTGGGCCCCGCCGCTGCTGGCCTGAGTGTTCCCCAGCAGCAAACTCCGCGTCCCCCCTCCCGCCCGGCTGCCTGTGACCTCGCAGAGCCCCGTTGCTGGCTTGGAGCTGGTAGAGGCCCGTTGTCCTGACGCGTCGAGTCCACCCGTCGATTGGGAGCAGCTCGGGGAAGCGCGGTGGCCTCCGGATCCCCACGTTTCCCAGCGGCGTCTTCGGGGATGTTCCTTCGCCCCGGGTGCCCACCCCTGGGGCATCGGGCTTCTGGCGTCTGCACTGCAGGGACGGATTAGGCATGGGCAGACCACGGACCTCCAGGTGCCTTTCCCTTCTGGACGCCCCTGCCAGCCACGACTGCTTCCTCCTCCGTTCCCCGGGGCTGGCTTTGTTTGCGGAGCCGTCCCCCCTGCCGCCCCCTCTGGACTTTGTCGTCCGCGAGCAGCCTCGGCCGTTTCCTGTCCCCCGCAGACCTGCCCTGGACCCCCTCGGCTGGCCTCCGGGTCCGGGCAGCCCTGGGCTGGGTGGGCTGGGTGTGGGCACAGCGTCGCGACCTGCACGGCGATCGCGACGCCGAGAGTCTGCGGGAGACCGCGGCGGCGGGCGCACCGAGGGGGCCGGCTGGGCCTGAGCTGGCGCGGGAGGGCCCCCGGGGTCCCGGCCGGGTGTGGAGGGCGCGTGAGCTCTAGGCCGGCGGCGCCTGCGGGGAGGCAGGCCAGGCCGCCCAGAGTGGGAGGGGTGAGCCCGGCGGGGGCCACGGCGCGGGCGTGCCCACAGCCCCACGCGTCCACAGCACGGTCACAGACGCGTCCGCGAGGCCCCACGCTGCGCCCGGCGGGCTCGGTTCAGGGGCCGCCCTCGCGCTCCAAGGCCGACATCGCAGGAACCCGTAGCGTGGGGTGCCAAACGCGGCACCTTCCACGCAAGCCTGTGGCTGCTGGCTTCCAGGATTCCAGAGAGTGCCCGCTGTCTGGGCGTCTTGTCACATCCCTCCTTCGGCCCCCCAGACGCCCTTCGGCCCCTCTTGGGTTCTCCCGGGCAGCACCGTGCCCACGCTCCGGGGCGAGCCCCTCAGAGTCCGAAGTCACCCCCGGGGTGAGGGAAGGGGAGCGTCTGAAAAAGCTGCCCGCACGTCCTTTCGGGTGGACCGAGGGTTTGGGGGACAGGGTCGGGGGGAGACGGTGGGACGTCCACGCCAGCGTGCGTGCGTGCGTGCCTCTGTGCGCGGGAGCGCAGGTGTGCCTGTGAGGAAGGAGTTTGGTCTCCCTGTGTTGGGAGTCATTCCGCAGCTATCGCGAAGGGCCGCCCCTTTGTAGAGGGACGCACACGCGACATCACCATGTTTCGCACTTTTAGTGTCTGCTGAGTTCTACGATCTTCACGTGTTTTAGGTATAAAGTGACGTATGGCTCTTAGGCCTTGGAGTGAGTATTGATAATGAGAAGACGTAGCGCAACCCATGAGGGCATTTTCACAACCTCCTAAATACCCCCAAACTTTGCCCAATCCAGCCCTTCGCTTTACGGGGTTTGCTTAATTTTCCAGTCTGTGTTGCTTTTCCTGAGTTCTAACACGACTCTTTTTCCTCTTAGATGATTTCAGTTTATTGGATGCCCTGGAGGGTGAGTAATATTTACTTTTTTAAACGATTTTATTTATTCTTAGAGAGAGGGGAAGGGAGGGAGAGAGGGAGAGAAACATCCGCGGTGCGTGGTGGCCTCTCGCGCGCCCCCTGCTGGGGACCCGGCCCCCAGTCCAGGCCTGGGCGCTAATGGGGAATCGAACTCGTGACCCTTCGGTGCGCAGGCTGGCGCTCAGTCCGCTGAGCCACACCAGCCGGGGTGGTGAGTCATAGTTACCGACCGCATTTTAAAGAAGACCTCGTGACTACTTCTTGGGGAAAGGCACTAGATAGACCTAGATGTGTTCTCCTGTGCAAATGAGACTCACCTAAGGTGAGAGACATCAAGTGCCCTTGTTGGGTGAAAAAAACGCTCCCCTGGGGAGCACTTGTGACACCTTTTGGTGGCCACAGATGCCAAGGGGTGCCGGCGGGAGACGGCCAACGGCGTGTCCAGCCGGGCACGCGGAGGCAGGGCGCAGCAGGGATGCCGTCCTGGGCTTGGGCCCCGTCTCTGCCCCTGTTTGCACGGGGTGGCTTCCCTGGATGCCGGCCCCTCCGTATGCAACGCCCATTTTCCTCGCGGAGGCAGTAACTGATAGGCAGAGCCATGCTGATCAGCGATGACCTTTACCATCACGCCATCGTATCTAGCGCTGTGGGCGCACACCCTGTTTCCAAACGAGGTCTCCAGGGGTTCAGGGCGGACGTGCGTGCTGGGGGCAGAGGTCGCCGCCCGGGACACCTGTGCAGTGCCTGTGGCCCCAGCACCAGAGCCGGGACTCAGACCCAGGAAGGGACAGTCCTGCGAGGATCCTGCCGTGGGGTGATCTTCAGGCTGCTTGGCTGGGCCATGAGAACAGCAGGTCACCTCGCAGCCCTTGCGACCCCCGCCCGCTGTCCTTTGCTTCCCAGGGGACCCGCCTGGGTCAGAGCCTGGGGGAGCTAGGAGTGTTTCCACCAAGCGTGGCAGGTCCCTTCCTGGAAGGGAAAACGAGGCTGGACACACGCCTTCCTACGCGTGTTTTCAAACCCTGTCCGGCGGGGTTGCCACCCTTCAGCCGGGATTCTGTGTTGAAGTCTGCTTTTCTTCAGCGTGAAGAGTCGCAACCACAAAATGATATTCCCTAAAAGGCTGGGTGTTAAAAGCCCCTCCTGCTAGCCCTGGCCTCGCGGCTCAGTGGCTTATTGGGTCCCAATAAGCCAAGATTGCGGGTCCAGACCCCAGTCAGGGCGCAGACAAGAAGCAACCCATGGTGATGCATCAATTACTGGAACGACAGATCGACGCTTCTCTCTCTCTCTCCCTCTGTCCCCTCCGTCCCTCCCTCTCCCATCAATACCTAAAAAACTGGAAACACCTTATAAAAGCCCATCAATGTTTTCATTGTTGTGGAGAGGTTGCCTTGTTTTTGGGAAGACGGTGGAGGAGCGTCTGCAGACGTTGGAAATTTTTAAATGAGTTTTTCTGATTAACATATAAAGCTGGCGCTACTTTATGTGCTCTTTCTTTATGTGAGCAATGCTGTTACCAGTAACACTGAACCGCATGATGAGAAACAGTGTTAACGATCCTCCAGGATCTCCAATTTCGGGATTTTGGATGTGTGCCATCAATCTTGTCGCGCTCATTTGTTGAGTTACGAAAAGGTAAAATTAAAAGAAGTGGAAAAACGTGATTCCACCGTTGTTGGTTTTTTTTTTTTTTAAATGGAGCCTACTTAGGACTTGACTTTGTTTCCCCTCTGTGAGTTGTGCTGACGGGAATGTCTTTTTCTCTTCAGAGCCTGACAAGAAGCCCACAGCAACCCCCAAGAAACCCACTTCCGGTAAGAAGAAAATGTCCTTCGTGTGCGAAGAGCGTGGGCACATGATTGTCTTGCACCCCGGTTTCCCCGAATACGGGTTGGGACACGGAGCCGTATACATACTCGTAACTGGGGGGCTCTGGACGGCGTCTGGTTAAGATCTGAATCGGCTCTGGTGCCCAGTGCTCTCTGCAGGAGAGGATGGGGACTCTTCGGGGGGACACGTTGGGGTCCTTTGGACACTCTTTCTGGTGGTGTTTACCCCGAGTGTCTGACTCGGGGGCGAAATCCTCTTAGGGGCTGCGATTCCTCGATACCCCAGGAGACAGTTCATCCTTCGCAGCCTCCAAAGCTTTAGCTTCCGTGCATTCGTGGTTCCTGATTCTTTCAAAGGAAACTCGGAAATGGGGACTCGGAAATGGGGGAACTGAAACTGCCCAAGGGCCTCATTCACGGGCACTGAGCCACGCAGAGTAAAATGGACGCCTCACGTTGTTCTGCCTTTTTCCTTTTCTTTTCAGTAATACTATATCTGCTTAGTTACTGAGCTCGTTCGTAGAGAGCCATCTCTTGGGTGAAGGGTTAGCCGATCTTCGGTCCAGCTCTGGTCCTGGGATGCGTCAGGCGCGTGGACCGTGCTGGTGAAGTTGTGGTTGAATAAGTGACTTGGTACTGTCCTGAGGTCCCTGGGACCGTAAAAATCCGCCCCCCGCCCCCCCCCCCTCCGGCTTCCATGCCGGCGCGGTAGGTTGTGCTGGGTGCGTAAGCAAGTGTGCCTCCTCCGCGTCACTGACCTGTGAACCGAAGTCTTAAAATCAGGAAGGCACTTTGGCAGCTGCCATGGGTCATCACGGCCGTTCCTCGAGGACACCGTGGTTGGTGCTGCCCCTTTGGAGGCACCTCGTTGCCCCAGTCAGTCCCATTTCTGCCCCTGCGTCTTCACCGTCCGCTTTGCAGGAGACGGTGGCGGACTCTAGGGCGTGAGCGCAGAATGGGGACTCGAGCCCGGGAGAGCTCCCTGGAGGCGGAGCCGGGAACCCACCCCGGCCCGGGTGACACGCTGTCTGTCGATTTATAAATGCCTGCCTTTCCTGATCTCCCTCGTACTCTCCCTTCCATCGGAGACACGCGTGACGTCAGGATCCGTGGGGAAACCGGGTTTGCCATTGTGATGCTGGTCCGAGGCATATTCAGAAACGTGCTGGGGGGGGGGCGGTGGGCCCGCCTTCTCCCCAGGGGAGACTTTTCCTTTGCCTTCGACCCCGGAAGCCGGGCGTTAACAACCACCGTCCCTCCTGTAGGTGATGACTTCAATTTGGAAGACGCACTGGGCGGAGGAGGACACAGTGAGTCACTCTCTCAGTTCTGCTCTGTGGCTGGCGGGCTGGGGATCCCCAAGGAGTGGGATTGGACAGAGCTTTATTGTTTTAAAAAGATAACGGAGAGCGTGTTCGTTTCGTTTTCTTTTTTTTTTTTTTTTTTTTTTTTTTTACCGGGAAGCCCTAGGGAAGGGGAACGGTGTAGCGTGCGAGGGATTTCATCGGTGCGCTCGCTTTTATTGGTAAACGTCTGGGACTGTTTGCGGGACCGCGAGGCTCGGTGCCTGTCCGGGCCGGGGCTGCGGCCCGGTGACCTGCGCTGGCCTTCAGGCGCAAGGGCCCCGCCCGCGCGCGCACACTGTGCCGCCGCCCTGCTGGAACGAGGGCTCCCCCGTGAGCGGGCCAGGGGCGCGGCTGTTCCCTTTGGCCCGGGGAGACCCACAGAGACGGCCGCCGCTGGTCCTCGCGCGCGCGCCGAGCGTCTGTTGGAGACACGGGAACTTAACGGTTGCTGCTGGGAGGCGAAGGAAAGGCATCGGCCGGGGCAGGCGGGAGCGGGCAGCCCCGCCCCGAGCCCGGACACGCTCAGTCCGCCGTCTGTGTCCCCACGGACGCGTCCTGTTCTTTCCTGAAAACGGCTCAGCGTTGCAACTGGCGTCTTTTACCCACAGATGATCCAGCGCCCCCCGGCCCGCCGAAGCCAAAACCTAACCCGTACCCCAACCAGCCGGGATCTTCTGGTAAGACCAGCACCTCTCCGTGGGAGGTGTTCCCCGTAGAGCCATTTCCACGTCAGCGGAGAAGGGGGGCGTGTGCAGTGCGCCCGGGCCACTGCGGTTTCCGCAGGCAGGGGAGCCCCCCTGCGTCTGGGAGCGGGGACAGCTTCCAGAGAGAGATTTGGGGTTTGTGTGTGCTTTCTGAGGGAGCCGTGGCTTCCCTTCTGTCCAAGCGTCTATGGGCCCTTTAAAGAACTGCATGCAAGATTTTATATTTTTAAGGGTCATCTTTATTATATTTTTTTCCATGACCATCTCGTGCCCGCCTCCCCGCCTCCCCCCGGCAGTCCCCTCCCTATCGGCCACGGGCACGAGCCCTTTCTCCTTTTCGCTCTGTCCCCTCCCCCGCCCCGGCCCCCCCCACCCCGCCCCCAGCGACGTCGCTGTCCTCTGCTCCCCGTCTGTGAGGCTGTCTCTGTTGTGCACGTTGGTTCAGTTTGCTCATCGCATTCTGCACAGGAGCGAAAGCTGGTGGCACCTGCCTTCCTCTGAGCGGCCGACTTGCCTCCCTATAATGGTCTCCAGGTCCCTCCGTACTATGGCAAAGGGCGAGACTTTCTTTTTCTTTTTCTTTTTTTTTTTTTTTTTTTTATGGCCGAGGAGAATCGTGCTGTAGAAACATCCGGCGAGATTTTAAATGTACGGAATTGATAGGAGGAAAAGAGTCGGTTGTGTTTTTAATCCTTGTTGGGGGTTTTTCGGCGCGTCACACGCAGTCTGCGTATCCTGGCTGGCCCCCGTTTTTGAACTGAATGCCTGTTGAAATTTCCGATTTCCAGAGCTTTTTGGTTTCTACGCTTGTTTCCTCTACGAATGCGGAAAAGTACAACTGCTACTCATCGTCCACCACGGTTAGCATTTGGACGGCCATCCTCTTCAGTATTTTATTCGTGAATTAGATAAAACAAATTAAGTACAAATGTTACTCTTTTGTCCATCCTGGGTCATAAAATAATTTTGGCTCATGAAGAACCTGTAAACATTTTTTCACATCCTGGAATAGTTTTTTCTCGTACAACTTTGCATGGCACCTGGGTGCTCGTATAACGAATCTCCGAATTTGAAAATGTTGTCTTTCGTTTCTTCTGAAATTTTCGAATTACGAATTACAAAAGCACATTTAAGCCATCTTGATGCATTTAACAGTCTTGTACTGAAGAGAGATTCTAGAAGCCAAGTTGTTCAGGTCCATGTGTGTGAGCTACACGTATAGCTTTTTTTTTTTTAAAGGTTTTATTTATTGATTTTTTTAAAGAGAGGGGAAGGGCGAGAGGAAGGGAGGGAGAAGAACATGGATGTGCGAGAGCAGCTTCGATCGGTTGCCTCCCGTAGGCGCCTATCCGAGGGCCTGGCCCGCAGCCCCGTCATGTGTCCTGAGTGGGAATTGACTGGCCACCCTTTGATTTCGGGGACAACGCCGAACTAAGTGACTCATGCTGTTTCTCCCCGTTTTTATTTTATTTCTGTGGGTACATGGTATGTCCTTTGTTTTTTCCTTCATTTCTGTAACTATGGAAATGACTGTTGCAGTTTTTGAACTAGATCCTGACTGATGAACATCCTCTGAACTTGCCATCTTTTCCCTTGCCTCTCTTCGTTTTTCTCCGTGATTGTCCGATGATTTTTTTTTTGAAATTGTTTCCCTTTCTGCTGTTTATATTTTCTCTTCACACTTTATTGGTATTTGTGTCATTTTTGCCTTGGCCAGAAAACCCACGACAACGCTCACGTATGAGAGAACAGACATTTGTCACGCCTGACTTTAGAGAAGAGAGATATTGTTTTGACGGATAGTCGTTTACAAAAGTGTCTTTCTATTCATAGTGGCTTTCCCTTCCTAAAAAGGAGCAAGACGACATTTCAGCACCTGCGTGGGGTTATCAAAGATGGTCATTTTTTTTTCTTTTTAACCCACGAATGCGATGAGTTCCACTCAAGGATGTTTTGGTTGTAAACTCCATGTTTGCAGTTTACATCGCGTGAGTCACGATGGCTTTTGTTAAGCGGAGGGATGACACTTGATGAGGGCTCATCAACCCTCCCTCCATGCAGAAACTTAAACTTCTACAAAGTCACGATGTCTCTTCAGGGTGCCCTGGGCTTGGCTGCCGCTGGCCGGGCTCTGGGGCGTCCGGGGTCACCTGGTCTGAGGTGGCCGCGGCTGAGGTCACCGGTCCCTTCCTTGTAGGTCTGACACCAGCCTCTTGGGAGCTCATTCTTACGGGGCAGGAGCACCAGACCCAAAGAGGCTGTTTAAAAATATCAGTTGATTTTTTTTTGCTCCCATTTTGCTACCATCTAATGGCCCAAGTATTGGGTTGGCCCAGAAGGTCATTTGGTTTTTTCCGTACGGTGGCTCTGGTAGTGCTGGGTTGTCTTCCACGTCATTCAAAACAACTTTGTTAACTGGCACTGTGAGACCGGTCCTGTCAGCACACATTGAAAAAAAAAAAAAAAACCCACATCAAAACGGGTGGGTTTTTGTGCAGCCATTTTCATCCTGAAGATGGAAGAAAATAGGCACCATTTTTGGCATAGTAGGCTTTGTTATTTCAAGAAAGGTAAAAACCACAACTGAAATCCCCCACCCCCAAAAGAAAAGACGTGTGCCGTATATGGAGAGGGTGCTGGGACAGATCGAACGTGCCCAAAGGGGTTTGCGAGGTTTTATGCTGGAGATTTCTCGCTGGCTGATGCTCCACGGTCGGCTACCAGTGGCAGATCATAGTGATCCCGTCAAGATGTTGATTGAGAGCAATCAGCGTTCTACCCCGCAGGAGAGAGCCGACCTGCTCACGATAGCCAAATCTAAGTTATTGGAGACAATGAAAAACGCGTCTTTTATTTCACGGAAAAAACCATATGGGCTCTTTGGCCAACCCAGTAAGTCACCCGCATGAGGCCAGAGGGAAGAGAGAGGAAGGATCCGCGAGGCGGAGGGTGAAAAATGGCAGCCGTCACCGAGAGGAACCCGCGCGAGGTTGAGCCCTTTCGGGCTGTGGGGGTTATATTCATCCAACACATGGGGACGCACCTTCCGTTTCTTTTGCTGTCCTCTTTTCGAGTTTATGAGCTGACTCTTGGCCGAGACTGGTTTTAGGAGTTTTGCCCTAGAAAGGGAATTCCGTTGCAGCTGCATCTTTGAAAGAGGGCTTCCGGAAAGGAGCACCTTTGTGGGGTCCTTCGCGGGGTCTCGTGGTGTCTCCTCCAGTCCAAGACATCAGGACCCTCCCAACAAGTGACACTGTTCTTTCTTTCCTAGGTGGGATTTCAGATGCTGACCTCTTCGACCACACTTCCGGTGGAGGTAGGGTGGGTTACTTGCTCTGTCTCTTTGCTCGTGGATCAGCTGTGGCTCCCCTGCCCTGCCGGATGCCCACAGGGTCTAAAGGCTCAGCCCACGGGCCTGTCCTTCGGAAGGTGACAAGGGTGTGGACCCTAAGTCCGTCCTTGTGGAAGCTGGTACCTGGATGTTCTGTGGACGGTTTGGGGAACTTTTCTCCTTTTCCACCAGGATGCAGCGCAGTGGGAAATTCCTAGACATCTCCTACCCAGCCCATTCCTCTGTGTCTTCTACCATTATTTCACGTTGCTCATGGGCTGTTTCACGTAACTAAAGAAATCGTAGCCCTGAACGTGGAGTGACGTGACCTCCGCGAAGGACCCTCATCAGCCCCGTGACCGTTAGAAAAGGTTTCTTCTGCTTCTGTCTTTGAAATCTTAGACCACGATAGGGTTCAAACAGTCTTGAAAGTCATTGATCGGCCAGTAAGAACCGATATAGTATGTTTATGATTATTACAATGTATTGGCAGTATTTATATATAGTTTGTTTTAGTATATTTTATATATCCTGGGAGTCAAGAGAAATCTGTCTGGAATTCCCAGCTGTGCAGTCACCCTGGGCAGGGGCTCACGTGGGCTCTGGCACCCTGGCCTGGATGGTCCCCAGGCCCAGAAGGAGGGGACAGAATTCCTGACGCACCTTCAAGACTCACGACGTGGTGGGTCTCCTGAAGGCCACCGTGCAAGGAATGGTTTGAGTTAGGTTTTTGTTTTGTTTTGGTAAAAGCGAGTGAGACAGAGGGTACTGTCAACAGAGCAGGGACAACAGGCTCGGCCACGGCGTGACTCCCTGAGAGTGAATGTCCTGTCCCTGGCGTGGCCTCTGTGGCTGAGGTTCCTTCACAGCCCAGCGTCCCAAGAGCGGGTCCTCGGGATGAGTTTTTCTTCAGCAGCCCTCATCCTGATGCCAGCGGTCAATAAGCTTGTCATTCTGTTGAGCAGGAGGTGGCGGCGGCGGCGGCGGCGGCCACAGCGGCGGCGGCGGGGGCGGCGGCGGAGACCAGAGGCACGACGAGGGTGGGCAAGGTGGGTCCCCCGGGTTTCTGACGTCTTGGCTTTGGGTTTTCAGAAACGCCATGAGCATGAGCAGCTGGCTTGCGCATGGCCGCACGTGCAACATGCCCCTGCGTGGGGCAGCCCTGTCCCCCCGCTGTGGAATGTGTCTTCTCGCCGGAGAGCTTCCTCCTGGAGCTGTTAGGACCCTGAGCTGGCCAGCCGGTTGGGGAGACACAGGGGCGGTTGTCCCACTGGGTTGGGCCCAGTAGGAGTAGCAGAACGAACGGCCGTTGCAGGTGTGACTTCCCGGGTCACGCAGGATGTCACGCTCGAAGAATAAGAGCGTGGTGGGCCCTTCTCTCACGCCGAAGCATCCGGGGGGGGTTTGGGAATGGGGCAGTAGCCGGGGAAAGGGGTCCGCTCCGCAGTGGCCCTGGAACCCGCCCGCAGCCCTGGCGCCCGGCCGCCCGTGCGCGAATGTTCTCCGGTAACAGCGCCTTGTGCTCTTCCTGCAGGCGAACCCCAGGGCATGGTCGCGGGCATCATTGCGAGCGTTGGGCTGGCTATAGGAGGAGCCATTTCTGGCTTTATTGCCTACCAGAAGAAGAAGCTGTGCTTCAAAGAAAACGGTAAGGCTCCCGCGGCCGCTTCCTCTGTCGCGTGCGTCGCTAACTTAAAACCTGCGCTTTCTCTTAAAAAATGCGTAGAATGGCAGAGCTCCCGTCGGAGCGCCCGCGGGGGAGCTGGCCGATGCTTCACGGAGTCGCCAGAGCGCCGGGGTCAGGTTGTCTTTGACCTTAGCACGCCCTGTGTTTCGCTGGCTCGCATCGTGCGCATCGCTCACCCCTCCAGTCCTCGGTTTTCCAACTGGAAAGTGGGAGATGATAGTTCTGACTCGAAAGGATTTCCGTGAGGATGGCTGAGGTTGTGGGTCAGAGTCTCGGCAGGCTGCCCCGGCGGAGAGCCAGGGTGGGACAACGGGTAGCGCTTACAATGGGTTCGTCTTTTATTTCGCGTGGTTATCATGCCCGTGATTGTCGATGGCCAAGGGGCCGCCATCTTTCTTCTCTAACCAGTGGATTGAAACTCAGGGCAGCTGGTTCCCTTTCTGGTAGAACCCGGTACCAGCAGATCCGGGGAAGGTCCTCGGGTGGAATATAAAATTAACACGCGCGACGGGCAGAATGTCACAGCGACCGGCTGTGACTGGAACTCCATCATTGGCTGTCTTTGGACATTCTACGCCTGGATTCCTAAATTCGTTTATGTTTCTCCTGGTGCCTGAAAGGTCTGTTTTGAACACCGCGGGTGTTCATGTCTTGGCGCCTCCTTCTAGGTTTCGTCTTCACTTTCGCAGGGCTAACAAGGGGTGGGCTGTGATGGGCTTTGGGGAGGGCGACTCATGGGCCACATCGCCCTTCTTTGTGGAAGGGCCTTCTGGTGTCTGACCTTCTCACCCTTCCTACAATCTGATTCCTTACACGTGTTTAGCCATCGACCTCGTCTGCCTAAAGGGGAATTTCCAACGCATTTCAGTAGATGGCTGATGCAGGAAAAGCTGAATTATAAGGGTAGAGTTCACAGTTCTTCCGCCATCCTTGCAGATGTTTACGTCCACAAACTCTATTTGTAGCCTGACATTCAAATTCGACACAGCGTTTGAATCCAGAGACCTACGGTGAGCTGCTGGCTTTATATCCCCTCTCTGGCAGCGGAGGGTGCTTGATCGTATTTTATTTCCTATCTATGACCGGGTGCCTTCTATTGTGGGGTGCCCAAGATACCGTGGTTGGTTGACTTAATGGGGAGGATCCCTTGGTCTCCAAGTTGACAGATGACCACATCAAGGAGATTCCTAAGGAAGACCAACAGTTTTAGCCCTAGCCTGTGTGGCTCCGTTGGTGGGAGCCTCAACTCAAAAGGTCACAGGTTCCATTCCCGGTCAGGGCACATGCCTAGGTGGCGCGTTCGTTCCCAGTCAGGGCATATACAGGACGTGACTGACCGGTGCGTCTCTCTCACATCAACGTTTCTCGCCTCTTTCTCTCCTTTCGTTCCCTTCTCTCTAAGACTCACTAAGCATGTCCTGGGATAACTATTGAAAAAAAAAAGACCAACGATTATAACTGGGGGGCCGTGGGGGGCCAAAGAAAAGACCCCGATCTCTTGCTTCTCCTAGAGACAGCGGAGAGGTCAAAGGCGCGGGGGTTCAGGGGAAATGAACTTGTGTTTCGTTATCCATCCCGTGTTTCCTCTTCTCTGAGAAGGCCCACCTCCGTGTGATGCTCAGCCATCCGAGGGCCAGGCGGGCTCCCTCGGGAGGGAAGCGCGAGAAGATTGTCTTCACTCTTTGGCTGAAAGCCAGGCCGATGCCGGAGTTGCGAAGCATTTCTGTTCCCTGGCATACGGGATGTGTGGTGCCCTGCGATGTCGTGGGGCCGTACGGGGCGGTTTATGGAGCACAGGGGTGTGAGAGGCCCCCAAAGGGTCTGAAGACGCTCCATGTCATGCACTCTTTGGAAACGGGGTTCAGACACAGGGACAACCAGCTGCGGTCAGCTCCACCTACCCCATCCCCGGGTCTCGGTCCTCGGTTGAAGCACTTTGTCCTTTGTAAGGGTAGGGGGACGGGGGGTGGTCTTGAAAATGGACAGCTCCCAGGTAGAAGTAGTTGCCCTCGTCATTGTTCAAAAACAAACGCCTCTTTTCTGAAGAATTGGCTCAGGGACGTTTACGAGTCCACGGAGAAGTGCGCGAAATTTAGTTCCCCAGAAAACGGTCCACAGTCTTTTCTCCTTGGGCTCCACGAACGTTAAGGTGCGGCTTCATCTGTTGATTCTTTGCGGTTCCTGTAGGACTCAAAGCGGGGAGCTTACCTGAGACGCAGGAAATAAGAACCAAATGTAGCAAGGAGAGCGGGCGGCGGGACCTTGTGATTTCGGGAATTGCTCATTCCTGTCTCCAGCTACAAAATGCCCAGCGCCAACATGATTAGGCACTATTCTGCTAGGAGCCCCCTCACGCAGAAGAATGAGGATCTCTCTCAACTCCATGGATAGACGTTTAGGCTTTTTAAGGTTGTTTTATACAACAAATTTAGTGTTTTGTTTTTTGTCAGAGACACATTTTTAGGGACTGAGATAGAATTAAAATGTTGAATCCAGGTGCTGGGCATGGAACAATCGTAGAATTTTCAGGATCTGTGCGACTCGGCTTCACAGGTTTTACTTCTGGGTAGACATTCGAGGAAGAGCAAACCCCTGTTTCGTCAGGACCTTGGAAATGTGCAATGAACGACATAAGTATCGCATGCCCTGGTCCTTGAAGAAACCATGGTTTTGGGTCCACGATGATTTTATACAGAGCGTGATTTTCCAGGACCTGGTCATTGTATAGAGTTTTGTAGCATCTATTGAATTTGCATCAAGATTAGTCTCAGGCAAGTGGGTAGAAGCGGAGGCGTTTTCTCATCGTGGACATTCGTTGGTCAAATACTGTCTGTCTTGGTCGAAGTCTCCTCGGGAGCCTTTCAGTAATACGTGTTGAGCTAAAGCATGAAAAAGTATCTGTATCTCCAGCCAGCGAAATTGATAGATTGGTTCTTGGTTCATAAAGATTTGAATGCGCAGTCCTAAAACTTTGATCTGATCTTCACGGAGGGCTGCTCCAGCTCCGAGGTGGGCGCAAGGTGGGTGTGTGTCTTTGTGTCTTGGTGTGTTGGCTTCAAGTAACTGGTTCAAGTGCCTGGAGACAGGGCTCCCTGACCTGCATGGACAGAGCCCAGCTGTTGTCTCTTGTCCCTGGATGTGAATGCGGCCGCTCTCTCTGTGTGCCGCTGGTTCTTGCTGCTCAGGGCACATCCACCAGCTTTGTCTCGCATGTGCCTGTGAGTGTTTTTTTGAGGCTTTGATGAAATGAGCTACTGACATGTCTTTCTTTCTTCCTTCTGTCCATCTGTCCATTACTACCATCCATCCGTTCTGCAGTTCATGTCTCCTGCCATCCGTCCATCAGCCATGTATCATCCGGCCACCCATCACTTGTGTATCTACTCATCCTTCCATCCATCGATCCATCCGTTCATCCATCTTATCCATCCATCATCTGTCCATCCATGCACCATCCATCCATCCATCCACCCTTCCATCCGTCCACCTATCACCTATCTACTCATCCTTCCATCCATCGATCCATCCATTTATCCATCTGTCCATCCATGCACCACCCATCCATCCATCCATCCATCCATTCACCCATCCATCCATCCTTCTATCCATCCATCTATCCATCCACCCTCCATCCATCTGTCCGTCCATCCGTCCATCCATCCACCCTTCCATCCGTCCACCTATCACCTATCTACTCATCCTTCCATCCATCGATCCATCCATTTATCCATCTGTCCATCCATCCATCCACCCTTCCATCCATCCACCCATCATCTATCCACCCATCATCTATCCATCCACCATCCATCTGTCCATCCATTCGTCCATCTACCCACCCACCCATCCATCCATCTACCCACCCATCCACCCATCCATCCATCCACCCATCCATCTACCCATCCATCCACCCACCCATCCATCCACCAATTTGTTCATCCTTCTATCCATCCATCTATCCATCCACCATCCACCCATCCATTCATCCACCCACCAATTTGTCCACCAGTTTGTCCATCCTTCTATCCATCCACCATCCATCCATCCATCCACCCACCCATCCATCCATCCATCCATCCACCCACCATCCATCCACCAATTTGTCCACCCATCTATCCATCCATTCAGTCCCCCACCAATTCAATCCTCCCTCCCTCTCGCCCTCTCCCCCCTCCCTTTCTCACCTCCTTAATTTTCGTTTCCACCCCGATTCTCCCTCCTGTTGCACTTTGCTCTTTAGGCCTCTCTCGCTTGACTTCTGAGCCACAACCTCCACATCTCTAACAGCCCCTACGCTGTTCTAACAGCGCGCCTGCCGTCTGGGGCATTGGCATGTGCCCGGAGCAAGCCCCTCACACAGTTTTCTTGTTTTCTCTCCTCCCCAATCTTCCCTTGCAGATGAACAGAACGTCTAGGGTAGTACGGGATGCCCTGTGGGGGCCCCCAGACCGTCCTGCCTGATCAGAGTGCCTGTCTCCTGAGACGCGGAGCCAAACTGTGCCTGACCCGCCTCCCCTCTCGGGCTAGGGACTGTCTCAGCGGTCGCCTGCTCCCAGACTCCCTACCCCCACCGACTCCCCTTGTTTTCTCCCCTTGCGATACACAGAAGCTTCTTCTATTAATGCACCACTCACTTCTGAAAGGGAAGATCAGTGCCGATATTTCCTTTTCCCGTGAAAGCCAACTGGAGGAAGCGGAGTGGGTGGCTGCCACGTAGGAACTGAGTTCGTCACCGAGTTCGTCACCGAGTTCGTCCTTGGCCGTGCGTGTGGCCGGAGCGCTGGGGACAGCCACCATCTTCCCTCCAATGTCGGCGGGGGGGGCCAAGCCGACCGCGGTCGTAGGGTGGGACCTTTCCTGGCATGGATGCAATTCGGACCCTTGGATTTGTAGCCTTTAGACTTTTACGGTGCATTTATGACTCCGTTTCCCACAAAGCAGCCCCTGACTCTCTCTCTCTAATCCGCTTGTCCAAACACGAGAATTTCTCCATTTTGGGGGGCGGGGACGTCCACGTATTTAGGGGTATCCTAAAACGGTGTTGTAACTTCAAGGCGGACCCTTGTTGGCCTGAGGAAATTGTCGTGCCCGCGTGTGCCCTGTCGGCGCAGACTCATCGCTGGGTATCTGTTCCCTCTTCCCCCTCGGCCACCGGCTTGGTGGACGTCACCATGGTTTTCCTGTTGGGGTCCGGGGCTGGGGTCCAGCGTGCCGTGCCAGTGACGTGGGGCCACGAGTTTGCGGTGAGGATGGGGGCGGATGGGGAGGCGCGTTGAGAACCCGCCGATGCGGGCTCTGTAGCCTGGTGGCCTCCGGCGGTCACCTGCGCGACCGTGACTCGCTGCCTTCTAGATCTTTACAAGATGCGCACGTGGTCTCCCCGGTCCAATGGCCTGACTCAGGGGCCCCCCTCCGCGCCGGCCGCGCTGCGTCTGCGTGGAGCGACTGTGGGTCTCAAGACGTCGGTCGGCGCGGTGGCCTGAAGATCGAGCCGCGCTGGTCTGTGCTCCCCGGGCCCCCGCGCCCGGTGCCCCGCTGCCCCCACACTTGGCTGCCCTTGCCCTGAGGACCACCCAGCGGCCTAAGCCACACTCCCCCCGCCCCGAAAACACAAGAATTGCTTGGATTTGTTTTATCTCGCGTGTTGGGCCGTTCCCGTTTTGACGGCTGAAGCCGGTGTCGTGGAGGGTAACCCTCTTGGAACTGGCTCTCCTCTTTGGCGCCTGTGGTGTTGGACAGGGGCTTGGTGTCCCTGCGTTTGGAGACACAAGGCTTCTGCTCCCTCCCTTCCGGGGTGGCCTCAAAGCGCCAGCTGAATGGAGCCCCCACGGGTCCGAGTCTGGGGGTCTCGCTGTACTGCCCCGGTCACACAGATGCTTTGCTGCCACAGCGCAGGGAACCCCGTGATCGCTGGGTCCCCCAAACATGCTGAGTCTGGGGGCAGAGGGTCCACGCTGGCTCCCGGGAAGGTGGACACCTTCTCAGGAAACGCCCATCTTGTTTACCAACAAGGTGCGGCCCCTCAACCTGTGCCTTCAACAGTTGCCCCCGCCAATGCCAGGGAGGCGACACCCTTGTCCAAGTGCCTTGTCCTGACACCACCCTGCCCCCACTGTGTGTTCAGACGTCCGCCATCCATCCACCGATTCCTTCCCGTTTTGGACGGTGTTTCATAGAGCTACCGCACGGAACATTGCTTTCACTGGCCGGAAATAACGTACGCCCCAAATGCATTTCGGTTTTGCTATTTACTCTGTCAGATGGGCGTTGTCTTCCCTGCTTCCTTCCTGCCTGCCCCCCCCCCGCCCTCCCTCCCTTCCTTCCTTCCTTCCCCCCTAAAACGTGTCCAGATTTGATGTGGCCATTTAGAGTCCTGGTAGAACCGCTTTGCCGTTCAGTAAGTCAGATTTCATTGTGGTGGACACAAATCGGGTGCTGTGCGCCTCAAGCCCCTCAGTACACACGCGGGTAACACAGCGGTGCGACCTTTGTCCGGTGGAATAGTACGCAGCCCTGAAAAAGAAAGAGGGACCCCCCCCCCCGCCTTTGTGACCACATGGATGGACCTGGAGAGTATTATGCTCAGGGAAATAAACCCATCAGAGAAGGGCAAGCACCACGCGATTTCCCTTAAATGAGGAAGGGAATGAATAAAATAAACTAAGAAATGAAATAGAGACAGGCTAACGGATACAGAGAACAGGCGAAGAGCTGTCAGAGGGGAGGGGTTGGGGGTGGGTGGAAAACGGGAAGGGGTGAAGCAAAAAAAAAAACGAAAATAAATCCGCAGGCCCAGACAACAGTGCGGTGGTGAGCAGAGGCGGCGGGGAGGGAGGTAGCCGAAGGTAAACGGGGGTAAACCGCGATGGAAGGAGACCGGACTTGGGCTGCTGAACACGCAACACGCGGTGCCGATGACGATGATAGAATTGCACCCTGGAAACCTCTATAGTTTCACTAAGCGATGGCGTCCTATTAAGTTCAATAAAAAATTGTTAAAAATTAAAAAATTGCGGATTCCAGGCCGTTGGCTCTGCCGCGTGTCCGGTGGCTGCTCCACCAGCCAAAGCCGCGACCGTGCGGCGTTCGCTGTCCCTCCGTTCGCGTCTGTGTGCTTCTTGTTCGAACCCCAGACGTTCGGCCTCTGGCCGGGGCCTCATCGGTGGCTGGGGCAGGGCGTTTCTGGGAGGGAGTCGTTTGCCACACACGGCGACTTGTGGTTTTCTGCGGCTTGAGTGACAAGTTGCATTGTGTGTCTACGGACGAAGGTGCCCTTACCGCAGACGACGCTGTTTTGCTGAGGGTGCAGTTTCGTGCACGACGGCCACGATCCAACGCCCTGGTCCCGGTCCCTCTTCCTGTTGCAAGTGCCGCGCGTGTTCCCGTGCAGGAAGGAAATGAGTACGCCTCGCGTGTGACTCTGGCGCGCACCCCGGGCAGCATTTGGGGACCTGGTCCCGTGTCTGTTGCTGCGGGTTTGCAAAACCTTGGAAACAAAGAACAGACGTGAAAGGCACACACGCTGTTGACGAATTCTGATTCGTTCTATCATGTGTGGACGCGGTCATGGGCTCACGATGTGTACACAGCCCTTCCGAAGTCCTTGCTTGTTAACCATTAAAAAAAAAAAACCTCTTTGAAAACGATTTTAAAGACAAAGGAAGGAAACGTGGCCAAGTGGAAGTACTTCAAAACCTGGGGGATTGAAATGGAAGTTGGCGACCCCGTTCTTTCGACTTTTCTGCTCATGGAAAACTTTTCATGGTCACAAGTAAAAACAAAACCTTCAGGCCTTTTAGCCAGTAATTCCCATTTTAGACATCGACCTTAGGGAAATACTCATTCTCAGAAAAGGTTTATTTATAGAGATTCTTCATTTCAGCATTGGTTAGACTACAAACTGTTAGAAACAATCCAAACATCCCCAAAGTAGGAAAAACAGTGTCACAAATTCTGAGACTTTCCTCTAACAGAATAGGACACAACCATTAGAAATGTGAACTCAAAAACAGCGAGACACAAAACACAGACAGAACCATGTTTTTGTAAAAAAAAACCAACCCACATGCCCAGAAAAGAGACCAGGATGATCGACGTCCAAATGTTGAGGGTTGTTGTCTTTTGCTCTTTGTAACTTTCCAAGTTTCTGTCATTTGCTATCATGCATATGTTCCCTTTTATAATAGGAAGACATTTTTAGTGAACATAAAGTATTATGCCGTTTCTTTCAAAGTCTGAGAAAGAAAACTGAATCGCACCGGGCTCCTGCTTGGGCTGGGGGGAGGGGAGGGGCCGTGGAGCTGGAGGGGGGTTTTGGGGGGCCTTCTCTTCGTATTCATCCTGGGGATGTTGTGTTCTCGTTTGCAGCGGACCAGGGAGACATCAACATGGAGACCAACCGAACCACCAACACAGAGCCGCTAGGTGAGGAGGGGGCGCGCCCGCAGCCGGCCCGGCGTGTTCGGGGTACCTCTCCAAGCTCCCCCGGGTCCCGCAAGCGTGCCCCCGTTCGAGTTCCACGGGTGACATTGCAGCGGGTCCCTTATGCCTCGCCCCTTTTGAGGGCATACGTGTGGGAGGTCGTGTGTAAACTTTCTTGGGCTTGAGATTTCGGACTCTCTTTAAAATACCCATGGTGGCCCAGGCTGGCGTGGCTCCGTGGACTGTGGACTGAGCACTGGCCTGCGAACCAAAGGGTCGCCGGTTCGATTCCCAGTCAGGGCACAGGCCTGGGTGGCAGGCCAGGTCCCCAATAGGAGGCGCTCGAGGGGCAGCCACACGTGGATGCTTCTCTCCCGCTCTCCCTCCCTGCCAGCCCCTCTCTCTAAAAATAAACAAACAGAATCATTGAAAATACCCGCTGTCGTGATTTTCCAAATGGCATCCTGTGCGTACAGGCCAGGAAGCCAGCAAGACCCAAAGGGCATCTTCCGAGACACAGCATTTGGTCCCGTTCCCAGACCCCTTGGGCGAAATCTTCCTTCCGCAGCGGTAGGGTCAGGTGGAGGGGGGGTTGCTCAAGTTACGGAAGCCTCTCAGGGCGCAAGGCCGGTGTTTGGAGATCTGGCGCACTTTTGAAGGGGGCGAAGTGAAAAACAAGGCGGCGGGCCTCCACGGACGCCTCTTAACCCGAAAGTGCGTTTAACGAAATTGGAACGTATTTTGAATTCTAAAAGTAGGGACTTTGAGAAAGTTTCGTGTTTCCTTCCCAGCGGTCGGCAGCTGGGGGAAATGTTTAAAATGAGCGATTGTCTTTAAGCACCAAAAATGTCCACGGGAGCTCTCAAACGTATGCACAGCGATCAGAAAAGGGGAACCGCAAATCATCGTAAAACCACAAACACCAAGGACGCTCGTCCGACAGTGATTGATTCTGAAATTGGGAGGTCAGGGAGGTTTTCTCCTGTCTCCGAGAAGCCACCGAGATCAAGTGCCTTCTCTCCTTTCCTTCCGACTTTTCCCGAAGGGTTTATTTTTTCTGGCTGTCGTCGAATCCCACGGTGAAGTTTATTGATTCTTGTTGGTAGCACAGGAGACCTGGTTTTGGCTCCTTGTCAGACCCCGTGAGGAGTTCGGAGCCCATTGACGTTAGATCGAAACTCGGTCCCCGCGGCTCAGAGGTGGAAGGAGCAGCTACTGTCGTGCGTGTTGTGGGAGGGGAGGACCTTGTGTGACGTCACATCTTGTCTCTTTGTCCTCGACAGTTCAACAGACGATTGTGGAGAAATAGAAGGCAGGCCACACACACAGCCGGACGGTCCCAGCAGAGCTGAAGGACCGGGCTGCTGCATCTCCGAAGAACGGATGTGGAGGGGTCGGGCAGCGCCGGCTGGGCCCGCCCGCCCGGCGCCAGCCTCGCCTTCTCCTGCCCCTGCTCAAGGTGGATCCTTGGCTTGAATCTTCAGATGTGGTTCGCCTGTCCCTGGCCCGGGTGGGCGATGTTGACCAACCAGGGCCTCCCCCTCCGCAGGGAAACTCCCCCTGACCGTCTCTGTCTCCAAGGCCCTCCAGGGTGCCCCCGGGATGGGCAAAACGCCCGCCCCCAAGTCCCCGCCACGCCGGCTTCCGCACCCCGGAGCCGTTGACGCACCGAATGTCCGCCAGGCCCCTCCGGAAGTCCCCAGGCATCCGCCGTTTTGCAAAACGAGGGCAGCCTCCGATCTGCTTCCTCACGATGCCATTTCTTAGGCTATTTTTTACCGCAGGCGAATAAAGAGAGATGAGAAACCATGTCCTTTCGTTCCCTGAAACACTTGGCTGGGGGGTGACGTTGGAAGAAGGCTTTGCGGCCTGGAGGGGGGGAATCCCGCGGCCCGTTTTCTGGGGCTGTAAGGCCAAGCGTCAGCGGGAGTCCTTGCTCCTAGATGCGGGGTTTTTCCCGTCGCCTTGTGCTTTTCCCTCGTCACATCGGTGGCAAGGACTTCTCAGCATTCAGGTACTGCCCCGTCATTCGGAGACTCGCCTGCGTTGGGATACTCCCCTGCCTTGAGATACTCCTCTGCACCCAGGTACTCCCTAGCACGCAGGTACTCCTGTGCTTTCCCACACAACCCTTCTCCCACGTGGGTAGACTCCAGCCGTGGGTGAGGCGTGTGCACCATGTCTACCCAATGCTTTCCGTGCTTTGGTGCGAGAGCTCATTGTATGTTGGGGGCAAAACCGCCTTGGAGCAGAAACGCGCCCTTTCCCCCTTCGCGGTGCCCTGAAAAGCACCCGCCGCCGCCGCCTCGCCCGGAACGATGATGTCGCCCCGGGAGGAAGCCGTGCCCCGTTTCGGGCGACGTGCGCCCCGCGAGGCCTAGGACAGGCGCGCGCTCTGCGCAACTGCCGGGACGGGGCTCTGCCGGGCGGTCGTGTTCGTTGCCTGAAGCGCAGAAGCCCTGTCGTCCGCAACGACGCGGACGTCATCGACGTGCTGTGGTCCCCCGAAGCCCGAGGATGTCTCCCGCGCCGGTAAGGGCCGCTGCTCCTCATCCCAGCCGCTCGAAGGTGGAGAGTTGGCACCCTTGGCGGGGCTGCCCCGCCCGCGGCCAGGTTGGGGGAAGCGGCTGTGCCGCCTTCGCTTCGGGGTCTTTAAGACCTGCCCGTCGCAGCCTGCGGGGCGGGCTGCCGGGGCAGGGCCCGCCTGCTGACGACACCCCGCGCCCCGTCCCCTGCTCTCCCCGGCCTCTGCTCCTCTCCACGGTCTAGCCCCTCAGTGCGTCAGGCTCGAGACTGACTGCCGGCCGATTGGGAATTTTAGCCCCTCTTCTGCCTCTGATACCGTGGTACCGTCTGTACGAAACGGAGGGACAAGGATAGGTCACCCCTGGTGATCTGTCACGGCCCCACAAATTCCTGCTGGGGGCCCCTCTACTCAGGTGTGTCCAGCAGGGGGCCTGGCGTTTTGGATTCTAGGGGAGTGTCACACACCTGTTGTCTCATTCAGGAAGGGACAGGGCGGACCGGTCGTCACCGCCTGAGGGGACCCAGGGAGCCAGGGCCCCTCGTTACATGTTGGGGACCCCCTGCCTGGGTCCTACAGGCGGCTCCGAACCTGCGCCTTCCCCCCAGATGGCCGTTGCGGTCCCGTGGTGCCCCCTGGTGGCCTTTGTAAACGATACTAAAAGTGCATATATTTTGTTCCTCTGAATAACATTGGCATTTTAGAAGCCTATTAATGATATACTGTGAGCATACATGTCTCATTCAGACAAAGAAGGCAATACTGCAAGAGTGGGTATTTTTTTAAAGTACCTGTATTACGCAGTGTATAATGCGCACTTCTTTGGCCCACATTTTTGAGGGAAAAATAAGGATGCGCATTATACACGGGTGGACCTAATTCCCTCTCTATGTACATGTTTCCCAGTCTTTTATGGATGCTTATGCGTTAAAAGTGTAACTGCAGGAAGCGATAACGATGTTTGTATGCAACACAATACCCTGGAATACGATAATCTGTTTTGTTGCTAAATGTAAATAAATAAAAAAATGGAACGAAAAATTAAAACAAAAGATGATTTTTTTTTTTTTCCCTCCTGAAAGCCTGGGACAAAAACATGGGTGCGCACTATACACGGCAAACTACGGTACGTAGAATGACGGCTCAGAAATACATCTGTACCTGTTAGAAAGGTGTCGCTGAGCCTTACTGTTTATGGGGGGCGGTGTATGTACATATTTCTAGACCCCTTCTCATTTCACGTTCTGTAAAAATACGATGACTTTCTCCAAAGTGGATCGTCTGGAAACTTGCGTGTAAATTCGATGGCTTATTGTATCATTAAATATTTGGGCCCAAAATGCTTGGTCGCATCCCTGTGAGCTTTCTGCAAAGCAATCACAGAGCCGAAGGTTTTGAAACAAAGACAGCAATTTTATCGAGGCCCACAGGGGCAGAAGCAGCACAGTAGAGAATTTGTTACAAGTGGGGGTCGTCAGGGTCGTGTTCTTAACCAACGAATCGGAGCTGCGGTCCCGTTTTTTGCTCTGGAGAAAACGCTACCACGGATGTTTTGGCGCATCGATTCCTGCGGAACTTTGCAAGGAAATGGGTGTATCCCAGAAATGCGTGCCATTGTCGTTGTTAAGCCAAAGGGGGTGTGGGCGTTTAATACTATCAACGCCGAGAGTCGCCCCGGCTAGGGCGTGTGCAAATCCTCATTCGCCCCAGTCATACGCGGACCTGTTTCCTCACCGCCACGGCCATTTTCTGAGCATCGCCAGGCGCTCTGCTGAAACGTGGGACCGGATCGATAATTTGACATTGCGTTTCTCGTATCCGGAGGGAGACGGGGAACCTTGGGGAAGAGAATCTCTTGTGGGCTCCTTTTCCGGGGAAATTCAATTCGCCTCTTGCCCACTTGTGGCTGTGGGATTGGTCTTTTCCTTATTGATCCGTAGGAACGCTTTACATACGAAAGGCAGTGCCACGAGACTGGGGACTAGCGAGCAAATAGGCTCTGCCACGTGTTCCTGAGTCTTCTGGTTTGGGAAGTGGTCTTCTCCCCATTCTGGTCTTTGGTACGTTTACCTCCTGAACGTCATGAAGGGTTCCTCTGCCTTCCGCCGTCCTGAGAAACACCATCGACCATTCCGACATTATCTTTTTACACAAAAATACTTTTTTTTTTAATAATCGCAGGAGAAGCCTTGGGGGTCCGCCGTAATTTACTATGTGCCCTTTTCGAATATAACTCTCTCTGAAACATTAAGGCATTTTACTTTCCTCTACGTTTTTTTTTTCTTAATTTCCCTTTTCAGTTTTAGTTGGCAGTCAATATGATCCTGTATTCATGTCGGGTGTACAGCGTCGACGGAATGTAAAAATGCTGCGGTGCGTAGATACCATGGAATACTCCTCAGCCCTAAAAAAGAACAAAATCGTGCCATTAGCAACAGCCCGGTTGGACCTCGAGGGGTTTATGCTCTGTGAAATAAGCCAGGCAGAGAAAGCCAACAGCCCACGATCTCACACGTGGAGTCTAAAAAAGAAAAAGAAGCTGACGTGGTTGTTTTAAAAAAGTTCATCCTTCCTCCTCACAGTTTTATCTTTTTACCTTAAAATAGTTGCTGTTGCAGCCGTTCATGCTCGTACCGGGACGGAGGAAGAGACTCCGCTGTATATATAATCTGTGCCCTCCACCCAGCACGGAGTCACCCCCGTATTCCTTAAAGTCTCATGGACTCCCCCACGGTCTCCCAGCTGAGACCAAATCCAACTTACCGTATTGTGCCGTGTATCACGTGCACTTGTTTGCGCACATTTTTCCGGGAAGACTAAGGATGCGGGCTAGACGTGGGCACAGTGATTACACACCATGGGCATAGTAATGAGGGTAATCATGCCGGGTATGCGCACAAACACGCAGGTGCGCAGCATACAGGGAAGCGCGTTCTACATGGTAGAATACGGTATCGCCTCCCAGAGACACCCGTTGTGGCTGCCAGAAGAACACAGAACGCCTCCTGATGCATCTCTCCCTTCTGCTCCTGTTGGCCTCACACCAGCGTTTCTGGCGACGTAGCAACTGTTTCTAAACCAGGAGCTATTTATTGATTGATTCTTGTATGTTCGTGGGCGCTTTCTCCATTTCTCAGAGGAATGCAAAGCCTTTGGCAAATGTGGGCTTTTTATTCTTCCCCGTGGCTTTGAAGCAGGGAGCTTGGAAAGGTTCACCAATCGGGGAGCGTATTTGGATAAATTAGGCACAAGGTAAAGTAGATACTTCGGGAAAGGAAGGGAGGAGGGAGGGAGGGAAGGAAATTTGGACTCAGCCCCTGGGCACCACGGCTTCTTTAGGGAAACCTCCAAGGGAAGATGCAAACTGTGTGGTAGCTCCATAAAAAGCTTCTGACCTCCACCCCGGACTCAGCCCTGTTCCCCTTTTCTCGTGGAACGGACTCCGCAGGAAACCCCAACGGAAAGACGTTCTCCTGGTCGGGCCCAGCAGCGGCGCCTGCACGGGACAGCAGTTTACGTTCTCACGGCCCGCGCAGACGGCCTTCCGCCGAGCGGCCGGCGGGCGGTCCGGAGAGGCCGCGGGGACAGCGTTCGGCTGTGAGGACAGCGCCCTCGGTTCCTGCCTTCCGTGCGCGGTCGCGCTGCTCCTCCGTGGGGAAATGGGGGGGCCGGCGAGTCGGGGCGACGGGATCGGCACCTGGGAAAGCAATTCGGTTCCGCGCCTGCCTCCATCTAAAGCCCTCAGTTTTGTCCCTCCCCAGCTCTTGGGAGGGGAAGACCGAGCTCAGCCAGTGTGGTGTGTGGGGTTCTGCACCCTTGCCCCGAGGATCGCGCTGCCGCGTGTGCGTCCCCGCATTGGGGGGGCGGCGTGGGGAACTCTCATTTCCACGGTACCAGAGAAACGGCTGGGCGCCCTTACTGTCTTTTGGTTTTGTCTGTCTTGCTTTAAAAACAAACAAGCAAAAAACAAAGCTGTATTAGTGTCCCGTTGCCGCTGTAACAAATGACCCCAGACCGCAAAGGCATGTACTATCCTGTCTCCGTCCTGGAGACCCGGCGTCTGAGGTCCGGGTGTCCCGGGGCCTTCCCGCCTCCCCCCGGCGTCCCCGGGCGGGGGGCCGCGTCCCTCCCATCCCTGCCTCCGTCTCCCCGCGGCGTCTCCTCGGGGTCTGCGTCTCCTCCTCTGTCTCTTCTCAGGACCCTGTCCTTGGACGCAGGGCCCCCCGACCCAGGGCGGCCTCCTCCGATCCTCCCCTCATCCCCCCGGCAAAGGCCTTGTTTACAAATAAGGTCCGGTTCTGAGGTCCCTGGACGTAGCCCTTTGCCCTGTCTCTGCCACAGACCCACTGGCTCCCACACTGCGACGTGATCATTTCCTGAAGCCGTGGCTCCTGGGCGGGCGCTTCGTGCGTATCCTGGGCAGCCTTTGCAGTCCATGCGACCCGGCCCTGGCCACGTAGTTCGCGAGGGGAAGAACTTCAGTGCTTCCAGTGTGAACGGTGGTCCTCGAAGGAGGGAACGGACGTCCCCTCTATTTGCTGAGCAGGGCCTCGGTGCTGGACCGCACTCTGGCCCGCACGCCCCCCGGCTTCGCCGCCCCAGCCCTCTCGGGGCCGGGCCAGAGCCGCCGGGCCGTCTCCGACTCCAGCACCAGCCCCCCTGTCCCGCGGTCGGTCCGTTTCGCGCAGCAGCGGATGCTGAGCGCCCACGTGGAGCCGCCCCCGGGCAACCCAGCCCGGCGGAGGCCCGAGCCCGGATTCCGGCGGCCGTCACGTCCCCCGGGGCCCTGTCTTCGGCTAGGTCGGGGCGGACGTCTCCCCCGGTCCCCAAGGGCAGGGACAGCGGGACGTGTTGAGGGTCTGGCGTGTTGCAGAAGCCGAGAGCCCCCCGGGGTCTGGGGGATGTGCTTGCGTGGCCCCCGCAAAGCCCGGCGACACTGTGCGGCAGGTTCTTGGGCAGCTCCCTGGGTGCTGTGTCTTGAAGCCCGGATTGCAGGCTCCGCTGTTGCGCCTCCTCCCACAGCCACGGGGAGCAGAGCCAATGGGAGTGTGGGTGGGGGTGCGTGGGCAACGCCCGCTTTTGCATCATCCCGGTGGGGGGAGGAGCATGGGGGGAGGAGGGTGGGCCGTCGAGGCTGGGGAGGCCGAGCCAGGGCTGAGGAGGCTCTCGGCTCTGGCATCGGAGCGAGGAGGCCGCCTCACGGTGGCCAGGCGGTCGTAGCCGGGCTCCTACTTTCTGTGTGAAGAAACCGCCCCTCCCTTCCTCGCCGGGGAGCCAGACGCAAACAGCACGTGCGGTCTGGGGGAGCCTGATTTCACAAGCCCCTCCGCCGCCGCGGGGACCCCGCAGGGCGTCTCCCCCCCATGCGGGCGATGGAGACCCCGTGGGGACTCGTGTGGGTCACCGTCCTGTGCTTTGTGATGCACGCCCGAGGTAAGAGATGCTGAGGCTCCCAGGCCGATCTGTGGGTGCGGTGCAGGCTTGTGCGCTTTAAAAGCCCCTTCTCCGGGCGCGAGGGGAAGGGCTTTGACTTGCTGATGGCCTCGGAAAGGGGCCGAGGCTGGTGCCCGGGAGGGGCCGCAGGCCAGCGGCGGCACAAACCGAAACTTGAAAGGCAGGATATGGGTTGCCCTCCCCGGCCCTCGGACGCAGACGCTGTTTTCGGGGTGTAGCATAGGGTGTGTCTCTCGCCTTTGAAAACAAGCGTTTTTCTGCAAGATCCTCTGAGCACGAGGGACTACAGGTCGGCATTTCTAAATGTCCTGGGGCTGATTGGACACGTTGCCGAGGGTTCTTTTTGCAGGGCCAAAAAAAAAAAGAAAGAAAAAAAAATGCAGTTGAAAGACAACTTGGCTTTGTCCAGGACGGTTTACAAGAGGCGGCGTTTGCTTGAAAGCCGCTCTCTGCTGGCAGACGTCAGCTTTTTATCAATGTCTTTGGCGGTAGTTGTAAATTTAAAATGTGGGAGTTGTTTACACCGCAGCAAAGTGCCAGCTCCGCAGGTGGGCTGTTTGGGGGGGAGCGGGGGGGGGGAGTTTAGGAGCTCCTGTCGCTTTGTAGGGTTTAAACAGCGGGGGATCCGCTCTTTGGGGTTCTTTCAGTGTCTTAATGCTGGGGTGGAGCTCGGGGGGGCCGGGATCGGCTAGGAATTGAAAGGCTGCCTCCAGACTCTGGGACGGATTGTGGCATTTCCTGTTTACGCTGTGCTGCCGCTGGGAGATATGGTGCTGGCTGTTTGGGGACAGATGCGCTGCTCATGGGGACGGGGTGCCCCGAACGCAGGCTCTCCCCCGGACGCCCCCCCCCCCCGCACCCAGGGCCGGCAGGCCACGCCGGTTCCCCTAGATTCACAGAAGTGAGAAGCAGGAAGGCAAGGCTGCTCCGCGTCTCCAGCTACGAACCCGGGGCCCAGGGCGGCACAGGCCCCAGCTTTGTCCTCACACCCTCCGTGGCCGTGAGACGCGTGGGCTTCCTGCGCCCCGGGAGCAGGGGCGCCCCCACAATGCCAGGCGCGTTCCACCCTCGGTCAATCATCGTACGGCCGAGCCCTTCAGCCGGGCACGCCTTGCCGTACAGCCGTGGGGCGCTCGGGGGTGTCTGTCTGAACAGACCTTCTTCGCCGCGGGAGGAAACTCGAGGCGCGTGCCTGGGCGGCGGTCCCCAGTTCTCTTTTTTAATATTTACTCATTTTAGAGAGAGGAAGGGACAGAGAGGGAGACAGAAATATCGATGTGGAAGAGCAACAGCCATTAGTTGCTTCCCATATGCGCGTGAGCGGGGACCCAAACGGCAACGTTTTCGTCGGCGGGACGAAGCTCCAAGCCCCCAAGCCGCGCGGCCAGGCCACGCTTCCCTCGGTTCCCACGATGGGTCCTCACGACGTCCACCCGCGTCCGGCCTGCAGGTCATTTCCCGTCGACCCCTTGCACCAGCCGCAAGCTCGAGGGCCGCTGACAAATGAGAGGAGCTCAGCTAGTTCCAAGCAGGAGGGGAAACCCCTGCTCTTCGTGTTTCCTGGGGTCCCGTGACGTGGCCCCCAAAGGAACCGCACGGGCGCTGACTAACTATTCATGGACTCTGTCCAGGCCGGTCCCGAGGACGGCTTCAGGGCAGCCTCCCTTCCTGTGTGTGGAGAGAGAAGCCCTCGGGGGGTCCTTCCCTGCCCCCCCTTGCCACCTGGGCCCCGACTCTTTCGGGCACGAGGGCCTCCTGGACCCCGGGAGGCTGAGTGAGGGGGGTAGCATCCGCGTTCGCACCGTGAATGTCCGGAGTGGGTCCCAGGCCGGCAGCGCCCACACCGCCTGGGACTGAGAAGAAGGGCGGCGGCCTCACCCTGACCTGTTCAGCCGGAACCTGCACGGGGCCGGATTCCGGGGCGATGGGCACATCGGCCTTGGAAGGCCTGAGAGGCGCCGAGGCTGAAGTCCTGAGGCCACTGGGGCGGCGTGGGGTGGCCCAGCCCACCGCCCGCGGCTTGCGTCCAAAAAGAGCTCCCCCTTTTCCTCGCAGCCCAGGGGCGGGGAGCTGCCTGCCCGCGACGCCAGCCGGGTGTGTGACCGCTGTCTTCTGCGGGGTCAGGCGCTGCGCCGTCTCTGAGTCTGTGAGGGGTCGAGCCGCACTCACCCCCCTTCACAGGCTGAATCCCGGACCCCCAGGAGCTCAGAATGCGGCTGTATTTGGAGGCAGGGGTTGACAGAGGGGGTGAAGATAAAATGCGGTCCCTAGCGGGGGTGCTGACCCCCCAGGACGGGGGTCCTTGGAAGAGGAGGAGACGGGGACACAGGCACACCCACAGGGACCCCCGTGGGAGGACCCAGGGGAAGACGGCCGTCCCCGCGCCCAGGACAGGGGCCTCGGGGGCCGCCAGCCCTGCCCCCGCCTGGGGCTCCGCCTCCAGCCTCCAGGACGGGGAGGGAGACGCGTCTGTTGCTGAAGGCGTCCCCTGGGGGGGGGGACTTTGTCACGGGGGACCCAGGACAGTGATACAAAGTTCTTGTCCCGCCAGGGGACGTGCACGCCTGTCCTAGATGACGCAGGAACGGCCCCTTCCGGGCTCCCTGCGGGGCGTGCGTTTCGGGGTCAGCCACGTGCCGAGGGACCCCGCAGCGGGGGGCCCTTTGCGGGGGCCGCTTTAGGACCTGCCGTCCCCCAACACCTCCCGGGACGGGCAGGTGTCTACGTTTCACAACAGCTGTGTCGCCTTTCACGATGAGCGATCCCTTCTTGCTCCGTGGTGGCCGATCAGTTGTCTTTTGGGGGAGCCTGTGGGTGCACAGAGAGCGCTTGGGTCTGCAATGGTGCAGCGAGGCTCTGGGGGCCGCGCGGCGGCTGTTGAAGGCAAGAAGGACGGGCGAGCCTCGGGGCAGGGGGGCGGGCGCCCGGCCGCCCGCGGAGCCAGGTATCTGCTCAGCGCCCCAGAGGGCGGGCGGCGGCATCCCTCGGCCGCTGGACGTGCGCGTTGAGGTGCGGACAAGGGGGCCCCGGGTCGGGTCGGCTGAGGACTAGCTGCTCTCCTGCTGAAAGTGCAAACGCGGTGAGAAACTCCGGACCCCCGAGGACTGCGTCACGCGGCCGCTCTGAGGTGGGGGGCCGGGCCGTGGCCTGTCGGCGAAGCTGATGCCCGCACCCCGCCAGGGATGTGTCCCCTGCAGGCGTCCTGTGCACATTCCTTTAAACCGGGGCCTGCTCGCCGACGCAGGGCATTTCTTTCCCGGGAGGGAGCGGCTGTGAATGCTTTCCGAGCCCGTGTATTATTTTTTCTAAATTATCGAGTTCGCGTCCAACGGCACAGCAGGATGTGCCTGCAAACCGCCGCGACGTGATCCCCGGGGAAGCCCTGGGCTCTTCCGCGGGCGACCCCAAGGGCAGGCGGGCCACCGACGGGTGAGACGCGAGGAGCTGCCTCGTCATCGAGGTCGTGTCTCGGGGAAACCGGCCCTTTTGGGGGAAGACGTAGAATCCCATGGGAGGACAAGACATACACACACGCTGTGGTTTTCCTGGATCACTCTCTTGTGTGACCTGTTCCACAGAAAGCTGAACTCTGGCGGGGGCGGGGAGAAGAAAACCCCGAAAAACAGTTGGCACAAAGGGACAGCTGTCCCTGAAGGGCTAAGCGCAATGTAAGACCCTGTGTGCGTCCACGTGCAGCTACGGTGCCCGGGATGGAGGCCGGGGCCTGGAGGGAACTGAGCGGCGCCTCCACTCGGCCGGGAGGCCTGGAAGCACCGATGGCGTTGGTCTTTTCTTTTTCTCCTTCCTCAGGCTTGGCCCGGGGCTCCCTGTCTCCTTACGCCCCAGAGTCTATAATTGAGGGGTTCCCGGGAGCTGGGAGGCACCCCGTGCTCGTCTCTCCGGTCTGTTCTGTGGCAGCCGCTATTACGCAAAGCCTGGGTCTTGGACGGCATTATTATTATTAATTATTATTATTATTATAACTAGAGCAGGCTGTGCTGGGCGGTGCAGCACCCCGGTGGCTCAGATTGGCGGAGGGGTGTGAGTGGGAGTGGAGATGTTCGGGGCCCGCAGGCGCCCCTGAGACACGGTCGCGCCGACCTGCCCGCTGCAGACGCGGGCCGAGGGCGGGACCTGCCGCCGGCCTCCGGTTCCGAAAGACGAGAGAACTCGTCCAAGTATCCAACAGGGTGGGCGCTTTCCTCTCAAAAGCCTCCAAGAGCAGCTTTCGTGAGACAAGACACAGGGTGTGGTCTGTGACCCCAGCTGCCTCCCTGGCCAGGGAGCCGCTTTCCACGCATGTCCGCACACACAGGCAGACATAAAACACCAACATGGCGCTGTGTGGGTGGGGGAGGGGCGGGGGGTGCGCGCGCGCGCGCCTGCGTTCAATGGATGCAATGACACGGGAATGGTTCCCTCCCATCATCCTGGGCGTTTAGGTAACTTTACGGTCGGACGATGCGTTTCCTTTACGTGAACCTGTCGAGCATTTGTCACCTTCTTCTGCTGAGCTTTTCTTACGCAGAAAGTTCAACGAGGAAGTTTTTTGGGTGCTCCCCGGGGCTCTTTGCAGGGGAGCGGCCAGACAGCGGGTGACAAGTAAGGCTGATCCGTTGCCTGGCACGGAGGAGCTCCACCGCACTTGGATCGTAAATAGTTGCTTGTTAGACAGTATGGCCAGTGGAAGGTGGAAAGGCATTTGGCGCGGCCTCGGGAAGGCCCCTCGGTCACCCTGGGACACGCCAGGTTGCTTCCTCCCTGGTGTTTCCTGCTGTTGATTTACCCTGGGACTAGCTCAGCAAAAAACTAAAAACCAAATTAAAAAAAAAGTAAATGAGGAACAGATAGGACGCCCCCGCGCCCAGTCCCCTGAGGCTGCGCGCGCGGGCGATATGCGCCGGTCACCAGAGCTACTGCCTCCTGGCAGGCGCCCCCCGGACCGCGCCCTGGGACCCCCGAAGCAGGCAGGGGTCCTGCCAAGGCTGGCCTTGCAGAACCTGAGCGAACCGCCTGCAGAACCGGACCGGTCGGCTTCATGCCGGCCGCCGGGCGCCGTCGCGGGGTTGTGCAACGAGGTCGTTGGCACCGCTGCGCGCCCCGCAGGCCAGAGTCCTGCCTGCACATGCGCCTGAGCAAGCGCAGCTCACACCCAGCAGGTGCGGCCCCTGCGGGGGCCCCCTCAGCCCCCACGCCCCCGGCCTCCGAGCACCGCCAGGAGCGCAGGCGGACAGCCGAGTGCGGCGGAGGACGGCCCCGCCCGGCCCCGCGCACGCAGGCGCGGGGGGGGGGTCCGGGTCCCGCGTCCGCACGAGCGCGTGCGCCCCCCGCCTTCTGCGCAAGGCCCCTTGGGGTGTCCGCCAGTGCCTGCCGTCCTCCGGCGCGAGGGCGTTGGGGAGAGGCCGGCCAAGGGCAGGTACCAGGGAGGCGTTGGCCGGCCTACGGGCTGCATGCAGGACGTAGTTGGGCTCGGTGGGTCGCATGCCTGGGCCGGCCGAGCCGCTTTGGAAGCTTCTGGAAGGCTTCTGTGAACCGTCGAGCGCGACTGGAATGCGGTCGTTGCGGTCGGTCGGGCCGGCCGAGGGCCCAGCCCAGGGATCGGCCGCTGTGAGCCGGCCGGCAGGGCGGAGGGTCGGCCACACCCCGCGGCTGCCCCGGAAAGCAGGTGACCCTCGCGGCCGGGCGGCGGGCGCGGTCTCCCGTCCCCAGACCGTGGGCAACGGTGAGCAAGGAGGCAGCATGGAGGGGCCCGGGGGCTCCCCGGAGCCGATGAGACCCTGCCAGGCACAGGGGCGTGCACAGCAACCGCAGACTTAGGGACGGCCCCGTGGGGCGGGGCTGGAATTGCATCAGCCACCCGCTGCCTCCAGCCTGGGCCTCGGCGCTGCTGCGGGGCACAGCCGGCCTCGGTTTCCCCTGCCCTGCGATGCCGACCCCTTGCAAGGAGCATCCAGCCGGGGTGCAGCAGGAGCTCTGCGGACCCCCGGCCGCCCCCCGCAGAGATCTGTCCGCCGCCCACGCATCGCAGGCAGGCGCCCGGACACCCAGCGTCCATCGCGGGCGGGGTCGCTGGCTTTGCCCCCACGTGGCCTCCTTCCGGACTCTGGGGCTGCAGCTGAGGTCACCGGAGGGCGCAGGGGTGGGTCCCGAGGCCGCCCCTGAGCTCCCAGAAACACAGAGTCCTGGGCTGGGGCCGGGGCGCCGTGGGGGCGACGCTGACCTCCTGGCACGAGGGGGACCCCTGCGCCGCCCGCTCCACGGTGGGCGCACGTCGAACTCGGCGATGCTCCCTGAGAGAAGCCGTACACTCCAGGTCACACAGTGCGGGTTCCACGGCCGGGAAACACCCAGCACAGGGCAATGCCCAGGGACAGAGAGGGGTCCGTGGTTGTCAGGGCGGGGCTGGGAGTGTGGGGGTTGTGGGGGCGGCTGCTCACGGGGCCAGGGCTCCGGTTAGGGTGTGGAGAAGGTTCTGGAACCAGAGACAGGGAGGCTCCACAACATTGCGAAGGTGCTCAAGGCCGCGGACTTGTGCGCTGGGCAACGGGGGATCGCGTGACCTGCCCCCTGTACCCCAATGACGCTGCTTTGAAAAAGGTTGTCAGCGAAAGAGCAGACGCAAACGGGTTTGGCTCTCAAAGGCTTTCGGATCTGGGTTCTCTAATTTTGGAGCCTGTGGGGCGGGGGCGGGGAACGGCAGGGAAAGAGGTTGGCGCAGCCGGCAACCCTCAGCTCGCGGAAATCAAACGTTTTTAAGCCCTGGCCGGGCAATTCCCTTGCTCGGAGCGCCGTCCTGAAACCCCGAGGTCGCGAGGTTGAGCTCCGGTCGGCAGGGGCAAGAAGTCGCCCCTGATGCATCGATCCAGTAGGACAACGAATCGATGTTACTCTCTAAAGACATCCATACAAAAACATATTTTTTAACTGAGATGAAACGCACATGCGTACATCTGACCACGTTAGTCATTTTAAGACCAATTCCCCATGCGGTGCAACCGTCCGCACCGCCCGATTCCAGAACATTCCACCCCCAGAGGAACCCTGTGCCTGCTACCGGGGTCTCCCCAAATCCCGCGTGACTTCTGATCCGCCCAACCTTCTTGGACTTGGCCGGCAGCCCAGCCCCGCGGGGGTCCCGTTGTCTTCCCCCACTGCAGACTTGGTTTCATTATTTTTAGCAAGTCAGAAAGCCACACGCACACAGGGTTCCGGAGTCCTGGAGCGCAGGCCAACGGCCTGGGGGGCTGTGGTTTTGGAAGGCTCGCCAGGAAGTCACGCGGGATGAGTAATCGCGTGCAGCTGGACCACAACGCCCAAGTCTGTTCTGTCTTAGCCCTGAAGGAACATAGCCTCGAAGGAGCTCGAGTCCCGACTGCACCCCATCTCCCGTGAGCCAGAAACGGGGTCGGAAACGCTCCTGGGGGTTCCCCAGCCCCTTCGCCACAGCTCCCTTGTCACCTCCTGCAGGCAGACCTCCAGGTCTGCTCACCCAAGCAGCAGCGCTGTGGGCTGTGTGTTTTGTCCCTGCCGCGGATCAGCCATAGCTTTGGGCGTCTCTTCCCGCCCAAGGACGGGAGGATGCGGTTTGTCCTCTGCTTCCCAGTACCCCACGGCGCGCCGGGCATCTCTTTAGAGTGCGTTCCAGTTGCACAATGCCGTGGCTTACCCATACGTCGCCCCATTTTGCTTGGTCGGTGGAGGCAGGTGGGGCCGTGGAGCGAGGTTCGCCCTCTGCTCTAAGACCGCCGAGCCGTTATACTTCCGAGGACACCTCTGCAGGGCATGGGCCCAGCCTGTCGGGACCGATTCGGCGTTGCTCTGACCGACCTTGCCCGTCCGCTTAGCGCAGGGCGGGGTTGGCCTTGGCTCCGGGGGCGGGGACGGGGGTCCGTGGCTGCTGAGGAAGGAGCCAGGGCCTGTGCCCAGCCTTCTTGCTGTGACTGACGCCTGGGTGTTCCCGCAGGACAAGGCGACTTCGACTTGGCCGACGCTCTCGACGACCCGGGTAAGTGCCCGTGTGTTGCTGCCCAACCTTTGACTCTGTGACAGGCATTCCCAGCTCCCGCTTTGAGGGGGTGCGGGGCTGGGGTGGGGGTGGGGGTGGGGCCGGGCTTCAGAACCCGCCCCCCTGGGCCTTGAGGCCCCTGCGGTTCGGACGGGATTGAGCGCTGGGTCCCGTGAGTGTGTGCTTGGGGCGGGACTCCACTGCCTTGCTCCTTGGCCTGTGCGACCCAAGGCCGCGCCCGGGACGCAGGCCGGCGGCGTTTGCCTCTGGGGCTCCCTGACCGAGCCCCCGAACCAACGCAACGCCACCGGCCACACCCCTCCTCCCTCCCAGCGGGCCCTCTTTTTTTCTTGGGTGCCATTTAACTTATTTCTAAATTGCACACCTGTATCACGCTCCTGTCTGGGGGAAGAGATGTCTGGGAGGAGTCTGCGCACGCCGAAACGCAAAGGCCCGCAAGCTCTCTTCCATCCTGGAGGCTCCCCGGGACGCACTCTCAGGTCCTCCGCAGAGCGGGGCTCGCTGCGGTCGTGGGAACGGGGCCCCCCTGCGGTTCTTGGGGACTGTCCGCGGGGGGGCCCCCGCCTTTCCCGAATCGGAGCCTGCATCCGCTCCGCGGGAAGCCTCTCCGGCCTCACGGCCCCGACGCCGTCGGCGCTTGTGCGTCCCTGCCCGGCGGGCGCACGGCCGCTGTCTCCCTGCCTGGACGCCGCAGGACGGAAAGGCATTTCCGTCCTCTCTAAAATCTTCCTTCGCTCCTCGGCACCCAGCTCTCCCGCAGAGCCCGCGCTGGAAAGCCACGTCTGGGCCGACGCCCGGCCCTGCGCAGCCTCCAGCTCCACGGCACAGCTGTTCGGACCTGCACTCTGAGAGAGGGGCCGGGTTGGGCTCACAGGGACGGGGGTTTTCTTTAAAAAAACCCACAAACCAACAACAACGAAAAGCAAAGGCACATGCGTGGCTCCTGCAGGCATTGGGGGCAGCCTCCAGTCACTGAGCCCCCGTGAATGACCGTGGGGGTCCCAGGGAATGAAAGAGGACCTGACAACCGGACCCCACGCTGTAAAAGGAGAACAGCAAGACACAGGCCCCCCCACGTCCCCGGTGGTCGCCGCCCACTGACGCTTTTCCTGATAACAACCCCGGAGGAGCCGGTGTAAGATTAAGGTCAGAGCAGCGGAGAAAGATCAAGATGCACGATGAGGCTGAGACGCCTCGTCCGCCTGGAGTGCCGTGCGGCCCAGCGTGGGGGGCGGTGTGGGGAAGGCCGAAGGAGAGCACCCAGCTGAGCGAGGACCTGCGAAATGCGCGCTGTCGGTCAGCGGCAGGGGGTCGGCCGGAGCGCGGAGGGCGGAGGGCGTGGGCTCGGGGCGGTGCCCTGGGAGGGACGCGCCCTTCAGTCCTGGGAGGCGGGAACAGCCCGCGTGTCTGGGAGCCGACGAACAGATACGCAGATTGGGGTCCGTCCACGCCGTGGAACATGACGCAGCCGTGAACGGCAGGGAGGCTCGGACCCAGGCGGCAGCGTGGGCGCACCTTGAACGCAGGGCGCGCCGTGCACAGAGCGCTTCCAACACGCAGTTTCGTCGCTGGGAAGGACCCCGGAGGTGGCCTCTCCACCCTTCGGAGCCACTTCCCCAAAGCTCTTGCCGTTGCTGGGCCTGTCACTCCACCCTCCCGGCACAGCCGGGCTCCCACAGGGAGGGGACCACGCGCTGCGGCCCGAGCCTTGTCCACGGCGCGCCCGCACGCACGAGGACTGAGGCGCCGCGTCCCGGTCCCTGGCACGATGGCGGAGATCTCGTGGACTCACGCCCGCGCAGCAGCAAGCACGCGATCAGCGTTGGCTGAATGAGTGAACGTGTGCGCAGAACAGAACAAGGGAACAAGCATCCTTCCGGAAGCCAGAGGGCGGGCTTCATATTTGTTTGGCCTCTTCTTCCTCTGCGGCCGGATCCGTGGTACCTGGCTCCTGTTCGGACTCCCAGGGGTCCACCCGGCGACCCCCCCTGCCCTCGGCTAAGCTGGGCCTCCTGTGTGTTTCCACAGTCCCACCCCCTCGCCCGCGGACAGTCTTTGCAGAAGCGGCCCTCTTCCTGCACGGAGCTGACCCCCTCATTAAACCGTAGCCCTCGCCCCGCACCCCGCTCTCAGCTCCGCCCAAGACAGGCGTGCCCGGGGGTCAGGGGGTCCCCTTAGCTCTTTCTTCCCCTCTGAACACAACCAGGAGTTTGCGTTCGGATCCCTTCCTTGCGAGCGCCTGCCCCTGTTCATTCGTTAAATGCTCGTCCCGCGTCCTTCCGCGAGGCTAACGGGGTGTGTTTTCTCTCTCTGTTTCCAGAGCCCACCAAGAAGCCGAACTCAGGTGAGCAGGGACGGGGCTGGGCCCCCCGGCGGCTCCGCCCTCGAGCCGGTGTGTTCGATGGGCTGTGGGAGCGTGTCCACGGGGGTGCGGAGTGTGTGAGGCGGTGTGGCGCACGGCCAGCTCGCCGGTGTTCGAAGCCCGGGGGTGGGCAAGGCCTGGGACAATCGCAATGAGCGACGTCAGAGGCTCCTGGCTAAGGGCAGCAGGTAGGCAAAGCAGAACCCGTGTGCACGGCAGGAGGGAGTGCAGGAGGGCGCAGCCACTGTGGAAAGCGCTCCACGAGGCTTTTAACACTTTCTACCTAGAGTTCCTCAGGGATTCCAACAAAAACATGTAAGGGTGCGTTCAGAGCAGCATGATCGACCGCAGCCAGGAAGGACGGACAACTCCGCTGTCCGTCGGGGCGTGCATGAATGAACACAGGATGAGGTCCAGGCACCGCGCGGAATATTACGCAGCCCTGAAAAGGAGTCTGCCGCGAGCCCAGGCTACGGTCTGAAGGGACCGTGAGGGCATTTCGCAGATGGACAGACGCCAGACACAGAGGAACAGATAGTGTACGGTTACCTTTATATAAAATGTCCAGGATAGGCACTTCCCGCCAGGAAAGGACACATAGGGGTGCTGCCTCCGTGCGGACCCGGCTTTGCGCCCAGGAAACGTGCACAGCTCGGGAGCCCTGAGGCAAGAAACACCAGCTGCCCCTGCGGTAAGAAGAAAGTCCAGGGGACGATGGCATTTGTGTCTCTCTGTCGAACTCACCTGAGTCAGCATAGCGCCCTCGAGCCCCGTCCCTGCCGTCTCAGAAGGCGCGGTTTGCTGCTCTCTTACAGCGGAGTCCTTTTCCGCAGCCTATACGTACCGCGACGGCTTTCGAAAATCTATTTATTTATTTAGTGGTGTCATTGTCATCATTTTTATTGAATGGACTGGGGTGACTCCCGGGGGCAAACCTGTACAGGTTTCAGGTGCCCGCCTTTGCAACACGTCCTCTGTGAACCACAACTTCTTTATCTATTTGTCTATCGCTGGGCACTTGGGTGGCTACCCAGCTTGGCTATTGATATCTGAATGGCCGAGTCTTGGCTCTTAAATAACACGGCACTGAGGATAGAGGTGCACACACCTTTTCAAGGGATTGATTTTGTTTCCCTCAGATATAAACACCCAGAAGTGTTTAAGCTCTTTTTAAATTTTGGGAACAAAGGATGGAAGAGAAACAAATTTAGCTCCTCGCTCTTCAATTCTGACCGCAGAGGGCGCTCTCTTAAGAATAGGATCTTAATGCTGATTGCAACGAAATGGCGTCCTACAAGGTAGCACTTTGCATGGTGTGGGTTTTGGGTCATGTCTGTGGTTTGTGCCAAGGGTTCCTGTTGTTGTTGTTACTATTGTTAAATTGTCTTCATCCTGGAGGTAAACTACAAACACAGGATAAGAAGTAGTAACATAATTGCACGATGTTGCTGACTATCAGGTGGATATACAAAGGTCAGGAACATTCCCACACACCCGGAGAAGCCTATTTGACAATGTGATTGTAAAAAAAGGTTCCATTTGCAATAGCAACAAAATCTGGAGTCTACAAAAACATCTAAACAAAGGACAGGAGTACAGTATGGAAAGAATTCCAAAATTCATGGAAAACTTTTGGGAAGAGCCAACTACGTAGACATCTACTTCATTCAAGCATGGGGAAAATCAATATTAGAAAGGTAGTAACTCACCTCAGAGCTGATTATCCAATGCATTTCCAATAAACAAAATTGCTTTAAAGATTTTACTAAATTTTTTTAGAGAGAAGGAAAGGGAGGGACAAAGAGAAGGAAAGAAACATCCGTGTGTGGTTGCCTCTTGTGTGCCCCCTCCTGGGGACCTGGCCCGCAACCCAGGCCTGGGCCCTGACTGGGAATCGAACCGGCGACCCTTTGGTTCGCAGGCTGGCGCTCAGTCCACTGAGCCGCACCAGCCAGGGCCAATCAAAAATTTTTATTAAAATCTTTGCATAGAATGTGAGTGCTTCCGAAGACCTACGTCAGACAAAGGAGAGGCAAGACATTTTTGAAACGTTCATCCATGTGGAGTTTAATCGGTCTCATAGATACTGAGATGTATGATACAGCTCTAGAAATGAGAACAGTCGCAGAGGGGACACACGCAGCCACAGATTAGCTTGGGGGGCGGGGGGAGTGGACGTTTAACTGCAGTAACTCTTTGTCCAGGAGAGACGTCACCAAACGATGCAAAGCCAGTGAATCCACGTACCCAGGGCAGGCGTGGTGGCTGTTGTCATGGAAAATGTATCTCAAACTCAGCCTCCTGCAATCCGTAAAGACAAAAGCTTCAACGCGATCGAACGCCTCCATGTGAAAAGAAACGCTTGAAAAGTTTGGGTAAAATAGAGAGATGGGGAATGAAGATTTTTCTTCAGTAAGACACAGGGAAATGAAGGTTTGCGGAGATACGATACAACAAAAAAAAGCAGATACTAGAACAGCGTTTCAGTTCTTTTCTGGGGGAAAGAGCTGGCGTGCGGTGAGCCAGGTGTTCCCTCTTTGGCAAATAAAAATGTAGTTGCAAATAGAGGAAAACACAACTTCTTCTTCTGCGCTGAATGTTTCATCTGGCATTTATTTATTTTTGGGGGGAAGTTGGAAGCTGAACTTTAGTCATTTACGCGGGCCGTGCCGGGAAGGGCAGGAAGTGAGCGAGTTTCCCAGTGTAAAGACCGTTGGATGCCGCGTGTTCGGTATCACTGCCAGGGCAGGAGGAGACAGAGCTCCCATCCATCGATTCCAGACCCGTTCTGCCTGCATCCCGCTTGGGAGACCCGGGCCAGTTTCACGACAGGCGGCCGCTCCAACGTCTTGCCGTGAAAATCGGTTTCTAAAACACAGTATTTAGGGGGTGTGTACATTTGTGCTTTGTGCTCGAGTTTCCAGGGGCAGCCTGAGCCGTCTGTTCCGGGAGGTAAGAGGTTCTTAGCTGGTTGTTGGGCTGCGATGGCCGCGGAGCGGCCACGGGGACCAAACCGTAAAATCTAGAGCCACCGGCTCGTCCTGGTGTTGCAGGCTGCTCCCCACGGAAGGCGATTGCTTTTCTCTTCTAACAACAGGATCTCTTTTCCTCTGCAGACGTCTATCCGAAGCCGAAGCCGCAGCCGCCGTACCATCCGCAGCCCGGAAGTCCCGAAAACAGTGGCAGTAAGGAAGCTCAGGGTTCAGGCTCCTTTCCCCGCGGGCTTGGGCAACGTGGCCCGGGGTTTCCCGCGGCCACGACCGAGACAGAGTCCGTCCGCCACCGGCAGACGGGCGGGCAGGCCCTGTCTTCCCCAGGGCGGAGCCCGGAGGTCCCATCGACACCGATCCCTTTATTTTCCTCTGGTGCCTGGTAGCTGGGGGACAGGGTGCCTTCAGGGGACACGGTGTGTTATTGGAATAGATGTCCCATTCGGCGGCAGGGCGCACCCTTTTCCGAGCGTGTTTCAGTGGAGCCCGAAGAGTGGGTTTTTCGTGGAAGAGAGCCCACCTTTGTACGCTGGGTCCCCGGCTTCTGGCTTGTTGCAGCCACTTCGTAGACGCAGCTCCTGGAGATTCTTTAGAAAAAAATCAGAGCAGGGTGGAACAGTGGCGTGGGTGTCAATGAATTTTACAGCCCTTCATCAACCGTAAAAACGGAACGTGTCCCCGGGCCCGCTACCTGCAGGGGCTCCGCGAAGCGTCTTGCGAGCTCGTGGGGACGTTGGGACGGACGGAAGTTCGTTGTCCTCGGAGGGGTCCATCAGGAGGCACAGGGACTGAGGTTTACGGAAGCTGCTGCCCAACTGAAAGGCAGCAGCCAACATGCACGCAATTCATTCAGGGACGGTGGGCGCACCCTGGCGTCCTGTTTTTAATTTCCTTTTCTCCCTCGTGTGTGTTGCCATGAGAACGCCCAACCTGGTACGTTCTTAGAACTGTTATGCGTTTATGGGGGGCACACTGACCCAACCTGCCGGGAAGCAAAAATCTCACTGGATTGAGAAAACGCTCCGGAAAATGGCACCTCATTTTGTCGATCCAGTGAGATGGATCCCCATGTTGACACCTGTGTTGAGGTACATGACCATCAACACAGGGGACAGACGTGGGTTGCGTGACGTGGACGGATGGATGAGGAAGGCAGGAGAAAGCACCGTGGGGAAGCCTATGGGATTGGATGAAAGGTAAAGGACAGACACACGCTTCGTCCACACAGGGGGGCCCAGGGCAGTTAATAGTGAATAATTAACACAATAACAATAACAGTGATGGGATCTGTCACCCCCCGCCCGGGGTGCGGTGCCTGAGCTTTGAGGGGTGTGGAGAGAGAGGGAAATTGTTTTGTGACTGCAAAGTCACGTGTGTCAGGTATGGTCCTGTAGACGCCAAAAGACACGACAGGCTCCGTTCACGGGAAGACTCCCCTTTGGTCAAAAACTGCTGAACGCTCGGCGCGCCGGGGGCAGGTGCGCGCCTAAACCGCGCATCATCCCACGGGCAGACGCGTCCAAAGTGTCTTCCAAAAAAAAATTCACTGCAGCCAGACGCAGCCTCTCACAACCACGCCCGCTGGTGTGCGGATGTCGATGGGTTCCTAGAACACTCACCCGGCGGGGGGGCCAGAACGCAAGGGCCTCGCCCTCCAGAAGATAATTCCGGGGTTTTGGGGGGTCCCCCCGGGATTGTGTAGAAGGCTTCTCCGTAACCTACGGCAGTAGGTTCCTAAATTCGCGTTGGTATTTTCCAACAGATATTTACCCGAGGCCGAAGCCACCGCCGCCTCGCCCGCAGCCTGGCTATCCCGACGGTGGAGGTAGGAGCCGCGGCGATGGGGGGTGGGGTGCGCGTCTGTGCCCCTCAGTCCCCGCGCCTTTCCCACCCGGCCCCCCGGCCCCTCCCCTCTGTCCGGTGTCGGTCTGTGCTCTGTGTGTGAGTCCGGCGCAAACGACGTCTTTGTCCCACGAGCAAACGCGGGCGCGCGAGTGTGTCCAGTGCTGGGAAAGGTGGGGCGAGCTGGGCACGTTCTCTGCCTGCTTCGGCGACAGGGAGGCCGCGAGGTCCTGGAAGCCCTTTGTCCCCAAGGCCCGCCCTGCCACTCTACGTGTGCGGGGTTCAGGAGAGGGTGCCGCACCGGGTCCCCTCGCCGGCCCGCGAGATCGTCCCCCGGAGCCGGGCTCCCGGAGGGCTGTCTGGAGCGCCTTCCGCGAATGGCTGCGTCTTTTCTCCCTCAGGTTACTTCAGTGACGGGGACAGGGACGATGGCCGCTACCCCCCCAGGCCCAGGCCGCCGGCGGGTAGGTGCCGCGCCACCGAGTGACCGGGGCGCCCATCGTGATGCAGAGTGACACCACGCGGGGGCCACGCCCCCGAGAGGGACTGGTGGTTTGCGTGGGTGGCCCTGGGCGATCTGGCCTCCCTCCGTCTCTGCTTGTGGATGTGTAGCTTTATAAAATCCTGCCATGAGCATGTGCCTCGGTTTCTCTCCACGCACACAGACAGACACGGGTGGATGCACCTTACGTACGTACGCGTCTCGTCGCAGAAGTCATAGTACGGCAGTAACACTAAGTCAGACATGGCCGTTCCAGGCCAACGTGCCTGTAGCATCATATACAGGGTCCGGCGCAAAGAACGCCCCTTTTCTAGGACAGAATCTTCTGTCACGGACTTGCATGCGTGCCATTCTGGAACGTAACCGCGTCACAGTCCAGCACAGCCTGGGAGAGTTTCGGGGAGACGTCCAAATCACAACTGTAAGTGGCGACTCCCCTGTTCTTACTGGATCCAGCACACTCAAGCAGGCGTCCCTTCTGCCGGACCCTGGATATGGATACCTGGTCATGTCCCTTTACACGTATCGACATACGCATAGTTACGTGAGTCAATATTCCTGTATATATGCATTTTATGATAGAGCTGTATGGTAACATATTCTTTTATGTATATAGTACACATATACAAAGGTACACGCACACATATACGCGTCCCCTCTGTGCCCTGCGGGGTGCTCTCCGGGGAGACGCTTGGGGCGCCTTTGCTGTTCTCCGCGATCACCGACGACACCTGCTGAAACTGTGCCCCACTCCACCGTCTCTCCACAGGCGGCGGCGGCGGCGGCGGCGGCGGCGGTTACCACCCTGGCCACGACAGCTACGGCAACTCGCACGGTAGGCCCCGCGCGGAGGCCCCGGCGGGCTGCGGGGGGGCGGGGGGCGGGGGGCCTATCCAGGGCGCCCGCCAGGGTCCCCCCCGTCTGTGCGCTGCTGCCTCTGCTGGGCCCTCCTCTGAGCCGTCTCTGCTGGGACGCTGGGCCCCTGGCCGTCGTGCGCCAGAGGTCAGGTGCCGCTGGCACACCTGTGTCCAGGGGGTGAGGACGGGCAGTCCAGGCGGGACGCTGCGCGGCGCGTGTGTTGGAAAGGAGGAGGAGGCGCTTTCGGGCCGGGGACGATGCCCAGGTCGAAAGACGGGCGGCGTCCACGGACGCAGGGACCGGGGCTTGTTTGCAGGGAGCTCCCTCACGCCGGTCAGCGCACCCTGAGGCCCCGACGCTCTCTGGTTCTGTCCGGCAAGAACGGCCGCAAAACGCCGCGGCCGAGGAAAGACAACGCCGCGCGGTGACTTTTTCACACGCCTTCACAACGGACGTCTACGTTCTTTGGTGTCCCGCGTACCGCACAGCGATGCGATTTTTACATAGACCACACAATGGTGGTCCTGCCAAGCGGGGGTGTCTCACATCCAACAGGTCACACAGGGACAATTCCGTGTGTGGTTGATGAGAACGTTTAAGAGCGTCTCGCTTAGCAACTTGCAAATACCGACGGTCGTGTTGTCACAATAGCGTATCATTCACAGAATAGGATATTCACGACAGTCACCACTCGATGCATTATATCCCAGGATTTATTGCGTCTGCCATTGGAAATGGATACCGCTGGGCGCCCTTCCTCTGCCTAACCGTCTTGGGATTCGGTGGAAACTGTTAGCATGATCATTCTGTGCTGTGTCCACCTTGTTAAGAGTTCTGAACATCTCAAACTCACCGAGGAACTATTCTGGGCGGACGCCCCTCTTGGTGTCAAGATCGTACAGCGCGTGCGGCGCTTCCCGGATGGCGGTTCCGTTCACCTTCCTTGGGAACCCTCGTGTGCTTTTACAGAAGAATGGCAGCCAGGATGCCCAGCCGATCTCCTCTGGAAGGGCTGGACGTTTGTCCCGCTGAGGTGGCCCCGAGCCCAGGATTCGGCCCCAACCAGGGGAGAGGAGGTCGTGGCTGCCGGGAGAGCTCCCTGCGTTCAAGTCCGCGGGCTTGCGCACGGCCTGCGCACGCCCTGCAGAGCCCGCCGCCTCCGCCCGGGCCCTGTGCGCGCGCGCACGCGGTCTCCGTCCTTTGCCACGTTCACAGATGAGAGAGACGTGACTCGCCACGCACGGGTGCCAGAGTCCTCCGTGTCTGCGCGTTTCTCCGGAAAACGTTTCCCCGTCTGTCGGGGTGCAGTACCGTTTTGGGAGGCTGGCTCCCGCGTGCCCCAGAGCGCCCTCAGCCGGGTCGTCTTGCAACCCTGGGGGGCTGTTCTGTGGCCGGGATCGGGGAGTCACCCAGCCGCTCCCTGCGGGTGGCCCAGCTGCTGGCCATGCTCCGTCCTCCTAGGGGACAGTCGCAGGGGCCAGGGCTGGCCAGCCCGGGAGGAGGTGTCCCACGTCGGTCCTCCTGCCTGCTGGGGTCAGACAGGGTTCCCTCCTTTTTTTAGGAGCTGACTTTTACTGGCCAGGTTTCTCTGCTAAGAGCTGTCTGAGCCATGACCTTGCGCTGGCAAAGTGAAGGTCCCCACACGGGGCAGCTTAGACAACAGACATTTACGTCTCCCCGTCCTGGAGGCTGGAGGCTGAGACCCAGGCGGGGGCAGGGCTGGCTCCTCTTAAGGCCTCTCTCCTGGGCGTGGGGACGGCCGTCTTCCCCTGGGTCCCCCGACGGGCGTTCCTCTGGCTGTGTCTGGGTCCCCGTCTCCTCGTCTTCGAAGCACCAGGGCCTCCCGTTTCACAGTCAGCACCTCTGGAACCCGCCACCTTCAACGGCACACGTATCGTGAGCTGCTGGGGGTGCGGCCCCCATGTGTGAATTTTGGAGGCGGGCACAACGCATCATTCATTCGTCAGCCCCTTGGACTAAGCAGGGCCTTCAGTCCCCGTTTACACTGAGATAAGAGCCAGATCGCAAAAGCAGCAAAATGCGCACGGAGCCCGTTTCCACCAATCTCACATTCCCGGTGCCGGTGCTCTCCGGGCGGAACAACCAGTGTGCAGCTGTGCCTTCGCCGGCGCTGGCGGCGATGCCTAAGGCGTGTCCGTCCCGGTCTCGTGCCCGAGCAGGGCGGCAGTGGGCGCTTCCCACTGCTCCCGGAGCCGCGGTGCACGCGGCTCAGTCACACGCCCCGGGCCTCTGTCGCCATGTGGTCTCGAGGGCGTTTGCTCCCTTCGGGGGGGGGGGGACAACGTCGGCCCCCGTCCGCGTGTGGTGGCAGGCCAGCCCGGCAGCGGGACTGTCCCTTCCCTGGGGAAGCGCGGCAGCCTTTCCTGGCATCCGGCCTCGGGAGTTCTGGCTTTCTGGGGGGCCGCCTTTCCGGGCGCCGCGGAGCCTTCCTGGGTCTGGCCTTGCGCTTCACGCCACTTTCTGTCCCTGCAGGAGGAGGGCGCTATAGACCCGGCTCCAACGGATACAATTATGGTACTGAATTCTCTCTTCCCAGCTGCGCGGGAGAGGCTGTCGCGGGGGAACTCAGCCTGCCAGGGCGCGGGTGGCTCGCTCGCTCGCTCGCTCGCTCACGCTGGGTCTCCGGCTTGGCACCTACGCCCCCGCCTGGGCCCCCGTCCGTCTGCACAGCTTGCCGACACGCGTTGCGTGGGACGAGGCCGTAGTTGCTTGAAGGGACTGAGGCCTGCTGCCAGGCCTATTGTGGGCGCACACATGTGTGGAGGCATGACCATGCATGTGCACACACGTGGAGGCTTGTGCCAGGGTTGCGTGCACCTATGGGAGCCCACGTAGTGTGTTCATGCTTATGTGAGCATAACCGCGCACATGAGTGTGCATGTATGTTCATGCCCGAGTGCCTGCGCTCACACATGTCGCTTTCATGTGTTCACCAGTGTGCGCAAGGACACATGCATGTGCATAGGTGCAGCACGTGGCAGTCACGCAGGCGTGCGCCTGTGTGTGTGTGTGTGTGTGCTCACGCTTGCGCATGCGGATGTCGGCTTGTGTGTCTACATGTGGGTGCGTATGCGGGTGGGTGCTTGCGTGCGTGGCCCGTCTCCGCTCACACGGGCATGCTCCCCGGCCCTGGAACGAGAGCCGCCTCCCCCGTCCCGCTGTGCCCCTTCGAGTCGCCGGCGGGACACGTCGCACCTGCAGCCTGCGGTCCTGCCGGGGACCGCCGTCCCTGGCCTGCGGCGCATGGAACCTCGCGACGGCATTGGCCGCCGTCCGCTTGCTCACGGCGGCAGCCGCTGCACCTCCGCGGCGCCGGCAGCAGGGGGCGCCCGCCCGCGCTGCCGGACCCACGCGTGACCCTGTGCTTTTCCCCTTGCAGGTGGAGACAGCTACAACACATACGGCAACCCGCACGGTAATAAATGGGTGCGGCGCCCCCCCTCCCCGCCGCTATGTTTCACGAGGGCACAGTGTCGCCCACCCTTGGGGGAAGGGCCAGCGGCGGCTTGCGCTCTCGTTCCCACGCGGCGACCCTCCCGGGGCGCTTGCTGCCTTCCTTTGTAAGGAGGCCCCTGAAACAAGCCTTCAGGGCGGGGTCAGGTCTGTGGAGCCCCGCGAAGGAGAGGCGGACACGGCCTCTCGCGCCGGAAGGCGCCCCGGAGCCGTGCGAGCAGGGATGGGCTTCTCGGGGCGTCAGCGTCAGGAGGGGGTTTGGGAACCCCCGGAGGGCACAGCCTGCCCCTCCGCAGGTCCAAGAATGGAGGGACAGGGGCCACACGGGGACGCCTGGCACGTGTCGCTGGGAGACGGGACGCAGCCACGGGCCGTTTACGTTGACGATGAGAACAGACCTGGCCGCTCCAGGCGGCGTCGGCTCTGACGTGTGCCTCGTCAGGGGCCGAGAAGGGACCGAGGAGGCTTTGCGACTGTATGTGCAGAGTCGCTGGATGGCGGCTGGTTGGGCGCTTGACGTTCTGAGAACGCCCCGAAGGTAGAAAGGGGAGGCATATGCGTGAGGGAAAGACCCGGGTCGGCACGGGGTCGGGCGAGGCACAGGGGCTTGGTCGGAGACAGGCGACTGGTCCTAGACCAGGTGGGGATGCGCGGGACGCGCTCTGGGGCAAACGTATATCCCAGCCGCGGACTAAAGGATGAGGGGGGCGGCCAGGCCAGCCCAGCCCAGCGGGGTGTTAGGGACCACGGCGAGCGAGGTCAGGCGGGGTACGCCCCCGGCACCCCAGGGCTCTGGGTGGCCAGGCCGTGGCGGGGATGGACAGATGGCCCTTGGGAGTGGCCAGGTGCGCAGCTCGGGTAGAGCCGGCCCGTGTGTGAAGCGTGGGTCACACGGAGGCCACCCGAGCGTCACGGAGACCAACGAGAAGACCCATTTAGCTCCCAGACTGCAGGTGATGCCGAGTTAATGATCGGCAGCAGAGGTGGAGAGAAGAGATCGGCTTTGAGGGTTATTTGGCGGTTCGCATCGACGTGATTGAGCTGTAGGGGGCGGCAGAGAGGAGCAGGGGCATCAGTTAGCTCTGCTGCGTAACAAAAGATCGAACACGCAGTGGCTTCAAACGCAACCATTTGGGAGGAGCAGGATCAGGCTGGCCAGGCCCGGCTTGCTCAGCGGCACCGGGGAGGCAGTGTATCTGGGTCTGGAGCCCACACAGCCCCGTGCGTTGAGTCGGCCGGAGTCCAGGGTCCGAGCGTGAAGTCTGGCTGCCCCCTCTCGATCGGGCCGGGTCCCCAAGTCACGTTGCAGAGGGTGCAGATGCCCGGAGGGGAGACGGCATAGCAGGAGGCAGGGAGATGTGTCGTTATGACATGAGGGACTCAGGCATCTGGGCTCCGGCCGGCTTGGGAGCCTCCTCCCAGGAGGGGCCGCGGATCCGTCACCTACAACACGGCAGGTGCTGGACGCGGTCCCGTGTGAGACACGCGTCACTATTTTAGATGCTGTTCCCTGAACCATAAAAGGCCTTTCAAAGCGAGAGGTGACAGCGTTTATGGAAAGATCAATCCGAACAGCTGCTGGGGAAGCCGTGCCTCAAGCAGGAGCTGCACAGGGTCCCTGTGAGGAGACCCAGGGAGGGCACGTCCGACGAAGCGGAGGGGACCGTGGCCCCCACGGCGGGCAGGCGTGGCCGTGGGGGCAGAGAACGTGGCGTCGTGACGCCGACTCTCAGCAAACAGCGTGTTTCACCCTCCGTCCTGGGCTCCCCCATCGCGTCGTCCCCACGCCGGCTTCCTGTCCTCTCTGCAGGCGGCTCTGGGGGACACAAGGCGGCTTTAGGCCCCGGGCAGAGGTGACTGTGTCCCGGTTTCGCATCCACAGGCTGCAGGCATGCGGCAGGCAAGGCAGGCGCTCGGGCCGACAGCTCCGGCTCCTTTGTAAAGGGGCTTGATTTATTGCATTATTTTTAAATGAAGGAAACAGAGATCGACATTTTGGGGTGCTGGCTCTCCCCGTAACTGCCCCCCCATCTGGGCGCTCCGCGCAGGAAACCCAAGGTTGTGCACGCAACCTTCTTTAAAGGGCTCGCGCCTGGCTGCAGACTCCCAGCAGCTTGGGGGGCCCGCACACTTTGGGGTGGAACCTTGTTTTTCCCCTGAGTTAACATGGTCCGTCCAAGATGGTACGAGCCCAAGGAAACATATTTTAAAAATAACCACAAGAACTGTGCCTTGCGGGCAAAGCCTTGGGGGTCTGGGGGCGGGGGCACTACGCAGTTAATCCCCCCCCCTCGGGCGCGAAGAACGAGAGCCCGGTGGTAAAGCTTCTTGCTCCGATGGGCTGCTTTCTCGGTGGGAGCGAGGGCCGGAGGCGCGAGGCTGGGATGCCGACGCTGTGGCAAAGGCGCGGCGTTCGCCTTTGCCTTCCTTCCTTCCTCCCTCAACGGCCGTGCTCTTCTTGGCTCCCGCAGGCAACATGGTGGCGAAAATCGTGTCTCCGATCGTGTCCGTGGTGGTGGTCACCCTGGTGGGCGCGGCGGCCAGCTACTTCCAGCGCAACCGCAGAAGGAACTGCTTTAGAGCCAATGGTACGATCCGCTCCCATCCCCCGGGCCCCCGGATAAAGCCCGAGGAAAAGACTTTCAGGCGTCTTTCGGGAGCCATGTCTCTTTCTGGTGCAGGCCCCGGTAGAGCCTCCGGCCCCGGGAAGGGATTTCCACGGTGGGAGTTTGTCGTGAACACGAACCCGCCGGAGACCGCGGGTGCGTTTCCACAGAAGACGCCCCGTCTCTTTGTTTACGTTTCCGATGGCTGGGGGATCCGCAAGACCTGGCTAAGCTGCCAACGCACCTCCGTCAACTATCAGAAGCTGGCGCACGATTCGCCCAAGGGTGGAGGAAGGGGGATGGGTTCCGCGAGGCGGATACGTTTCGGTGTGGGGTGTGGGTGACATGTTAACCACAGAGGGGTCTGGAAAAATACGGGAGTCAAACCTGAAATGTGTGTGCCCTTCCCCCCCCCCCAAAAAAAAACCCCAAGCGTGGCAGGGCTAGGCTGTAACGCTCCTGGTGGGACTCAGGAGCTCAAGGTGGACGTCGGGCCATGAGGGAGGGGTGGCTCTGTGGTTTAATTTTGGGCCCAGGCTCCCTGGTGCGGAGGATCACCCCTGGTTCGCGGGCTGGTGCTCACTGCGCGCTCTGAAGACATTTCTACGGAGCGACCCAGGGCGGGGTGGGCGCGTGCGGCAAGTTTTCTCGCTCAAGGAACAGCTCGCAGTTTAACTCGGTCTCTCTTCACGTTTGGGTCTGAGACCACAAACGTCTGATCCTGCCTGGGGTTGGAGGGTGGGCTTCCATCCACCCGCCAGCTCCTGGGTGGGAAGAGGACGCCAGCCGCACAAACCGAGCCTCAGGGCCCCCCACCCCCGCCCCGCGGAAAATGTGTGCCGTTTCCAAATCCTACAACTTGCCCGTTGCTTCCCTCTGCTGGTGGGTGGGAGGTACTGACCCGCCCGGGAGGGCGAGCCTGGGTCTCCCTAGCGCCCAACCCTGAAAGCGCAGGGGCGGGGACAGAATTGAGTAAAAACACCCTGCCTCTCGGCAGAGCGCGGCACGTTCACTTCGAGGGCACCTGCGCCGGGGACCTGCCGCCCCCTGCGGGCCCCTCACGTTAGGGCAGAAATAGGGTGAGGGCTGCTTGTGATGCATCTCAGATGCGTGACGTCAAAGGCGTAGCGACCAGGCCCGTCACCGAGGGAGAGAGTATGGAGCGCACTATCCATATCATAATAAATAATCATCATCAATCAAACTTGATCGCACGGGCTTGCCGCCTGTTTACGTCAGTAACGTTTTCGTGGAACCGGGAGTGCGATACTCTATACACACCAGGTGTTTACGGAAATATTCAACTTCAGTGACAGGCACCGAGGGAGGCGGTCGCCTCGCTGGGGACGTGCACAGGCCCTGCGCCCACGGCGAGCCGGCAGGAACGCCGGTGCTAAAGCTGGGAGATCGCTCTGCCGAGCGTTTCTCTCTCAGCTGAGCCATTTCTGCTGTGCTCTCGCCCTACAGGCCCAGAGACTGTGTGAGGACTTCAGGGTGATGTGGGGAAACCTCCCTCTCGACCAGAGCCCCCCGGTTCCCCGCTCCGTGGAAAGTCTCCTTTGTTCTTGGCATCGTCCGCCGCCCTGAAAGTGTCTCCTCTCCTGCTGGGCCTCGAGGAGCTGCTGAACCAAGAGTCCCCCGCTCGTGCTGTGTGGTCTGCTGCTCCTACAGATGAATTTGACAGCGGGACCTGGTGGTCCCAACGCGCCCCGATGTCTTGGTTGCATCGTTCCCGGGGACGCAGGGATTTTTGTCTCTGCACTGAGCTCTGACACTACCTCCTGGTGCAATAAAAACACGCCTGGTGTTGGAGCCTGCGGGCTTGCTCATCGCACACGGTGTCGGCAGAAGGGGCCCTGGTCTGGGGCAGTTCTGTGATCGGTTTCTGGCGGGAAAGGGGTTTCTGGCGGGCGATGGTAAGAACTCCACCGGAGCCGTGCTCCTCCGTGGCGTCCGCCGCCCTGGGTGCCCAGCTTCCAGGTGGGGGGCGGAAGCTGGTCCCCTGGTCCCCTGCCGCTCCCGGACTTAACAGCATTTGTATCGCCTGCGGGAACTAAGGCTGGATGGCGGGGGCGGGAGGGGGGGGGATGGACTTTAAGTGCAAAATCGCTCTTGCAAAAACCACCTCGAAGAATCCGCCTCGGGCTACCTTGTCCATATGGTTTCAATATCATGTTTGGGAAACTATGGGACAGAAATGGCGATTTTCAGGTGCTGAGACGTGTTGTCTTTGGTGGGCTGGAGGCGGCGGTGCTTAAGCCACCCCACGGCTTTGCTTCATTTTTGCTTTTTCTTTGTGCTGGAGCAGAAAACCTGGTGTCTTTTAACATCAAAAAACCCTCTTAGCTATTTGCTTGTATTTTAGGAATACTTTCGGGGAGAGGAAAAGGCGTGATTCGGGTATATTGGTACAGTTTGAGTCCGTGAAGTTGAATGTTCATCGGACCTTTAGACTTGGCCATGACTATGAGAACCAGCGATGAGCACATGGCATTGTGGAAGTCACACCAAAAAGCCCCGGAAGTCCCAAATGTGCAGGCTTCCATGATGGGTCCGGTCTCCAAAGAGAGACAGTTGAAGGCAAAGAGGTGCTTGAAAAAGCACTTCCAGCCCATGACTGAGGTGGAAGGGGGTCGAGGGGGAAATTGGAGGTCATGGTAGGGGGCTTGGCTCGGGGCGCTGACCACACAGTACCGTACGCAGAGGGTGTATTATACGACTGTACAGCTTAACCTCCTAATTTTATTAACCAGTGTCACTCCCATAAGTTCAATAAATATTAACAAAAACAAAACAGCAACAACTGTTCCGAGACTCTGCATGTTGACAATGAAAGACAGCCGTGGTCGACAGGTGGCCTGAACATGCTCAATCACAGCGGCTCTGGCAGGTCCACGCATGGGCTTACGGTTTGTGGGGGGAAACCTCTGACGTTGCCTTTGCTAAATAATGTATGTATGCAAACAAACACAGTAACCATCGTGAAGGATGTGTTAGAACAGAACCATATGTGTGCGGTCATGGGTTAAGGCAGGATTAGAGCCACCTGAAGTCAGCCAGTATATCACATACGGGGGCCGCCTGGGGACTGGGGTACCTGGGGTGAGGGAGTTTCAGGGCTCACGGGTGTCCTCCAGTGGCTGGGTCTGGGCGTCTTCTGACCCTGCTTTCCCCCGGGCACTGATCGGAGTCCCTCATGATCAACAACGGCTGCTGTGGCTCCAGCCATCACAGCTCCCGTCCCACTATCCAGATTCCAAATTGGGATTATTTCCTCTTGGGCGTCTTCTTTTAAGGCTGAACCCAAGGCACCCGCTGAGTTCTCAGTGCTCACTAGCAGGCGGTGGCCGTACAGCCCCCAACGACAATGGGTCAGGTGAGAGCTCATGGATGCCGCAGCGCCATGAATGCAGAAAGCTCACGGGGGCTGATTTCCTCCTGACTCCGTTTTCTCACGCCCACATGCGTTCCCGCGTTCATTTACTCGTCCAACTCATTCACTAGCTCACGCGTGCGTTCAACTCATTCATTCAACGCAGTCACTCCTGCGCACCTGCGTTCACGCCTTCGTTTACTCAGCCACCTCGCGCACACCTGCGTTCACTCATTCATTTTTTTTTTTTTTCCCCACTGAACTCATGGGCTTCCGCGCAAGTGCGTTCACTCACTGGCTTCACTCCCTCCCTCCTGCACCGACGCACGCACTCACGCATAGTCCTTCACTCACTGGTGCACGCAGGAACCCCTGGTTCCTTCACTCACCCATGCGTTCCGCTCACCACGCGCGGGTTCTCGGGTCCCTCCCTCCAGCCTGCATTTGGTGTGTCGTCTCCCGGTTGTGCCTTCACCCCGCAGTTCTTCCCGCCTTCATTCACTCACACAGCCCCCCATGTCTGCGTTCACCTCCAGAGTCACGCCAGCTCGCATTCCTTCCCTGACTCTTAAAAGCGTGCATCCCATTCACTCATTTCCTGAAACAGCCGCTGTTCCTGCATCCATTCCCTCGTCCCTCCGGCATCCACGCGCGCCAGGCTGCGCGCGTTCCTCTCTCCTCTGCTCAGCCAGATCGCGGAGGGCAGGTCCGGGGCTGGCAGGTTTCCCGCGCGGCCTCCACGCGGGCTGCGCGCTGGCCTTGCGCCCAGGCCCTTGAGGCCTTTGCAAACATTTACTTAAGAGCTGGCTGGTTAAAGGTTAAATGTCCAAATCTAGAAACCGCGGACTCCTGGATTCAGCCACAAGCGAGTCACCCGGGGCCCCCCCCAACCCCGGCAGCGGGCGGCGTCCGGGCGGGCGGGGGCGCAGGGGCGGTGGAGACCCGCGCCCGAGGGGCTGGGCGGAGGCTTCCGGAGAGCGACCAATCGCGGCGCTCTGGCCGCAGGGCCTCCCGGGGCCGGTGGAGCCAGTCTGCCCGAGAGCTCGGGCGGTGCTGGGCGCGGGGACACGAGGGTCCCTGAGACAGAGGCCGCTGGGGCGCGCAGAAGGTGCTGGAGACCCAGGGGGCCGGGGGAGTGGGAGCCTCGAGGGCGCGGCTGGGGACGCGGGAGGGGCGAGCGCGCAGGGCTGCCCAAGAGCAGAGGGGCGGTGGGGGCGGGGGCGGGGAGCGCAGAGGTGGATCCGCGCGAAAAGCGGTAACCGGGGACGCGGGGACGCGGGGCGCGGAGCGAGCCGGAGGGACGGGCCGCCGCGGGCCGCACCGGACTCGGGAGCGCGAGGAAGTGCAGGGCGAGGCGGAGACGGGGGTGGCTCCGGGCCGAAGAGGGGGCCGGGGGAGCCCGCCAGGGAGACGGAGGCCGTCCCCGAGCGCGGAGGAGGAGGTGTGGGGCACAGGGGTCCTTGCAGGTGGCCGGGGTTCAGCGGCGGCCAGGGGACGCGGTGCGAGCCGTGGGCGCTGGGCTGGGGTTGCAGCCACGCGTGTGTCCCGCAGGCCTGGAACTCGGCGCGGGTCCCCTGGAGACTTTGCTGCTGCTAGGCCCGGCGCGAGCCCGGAGAGTGCACCCAGCGCGCCTCGGCGCCCGTCGGCCGCTCGGCGCCCACGGCGCGCGAAGCCTCGGACCATGCCGGGTGAGTCGGGGGCGGAAGCCCCTTCCGTTCAGCCTCTCTGTGCCTGAGATGAGGCTGCGCGCGCCGGGGAGACCCCCGCGGTGCCCCCGCGATCAGCCCACACCCCTGGGCTCCCATTGTCTGCTTCCCCAGCATCTCCCAGGTTGGGAGAAACTGGCGGCTCCCGGGGCGGTGGGCAGGAGGCTGTTTCAGCGCTTGGGAGGGGGCGGTTTATTGCCTGATCGGAGCATTCTGGTTTCATAATTCTGCTTCTGTCCCAAGTGGCTCTGGGGACTTCAGTGGGCTAGTGTCTTGGCCAGAGCGTTGAAGTGTCTCAGATTCTCGGGGCCTGGGAACAGAGGAGAGGAGGCGAAAGGCCGGTAAACTTTGGCGAGGCAGCGCCTCGGGGTTCTCCCGGGCTCAGGCCCCGCGCACGGTCGGTTCTGCCAACGGCGATCTGGGGTCAGCCGCTCAGCAGCTGACTTGAGATGCGGCTGGGACTTGGGCCGAGCCTCCTCCCAAGGGACGCAAGTTCAGCTTTATGGGTCTGCCCTTGCGTTTTGTGAACGTCAGATTTGGACTGTGGACTTCCGAGACCTGATTGGGGGGTGGGGGGCCGCCGTTTGCAACCTTAGGACAACCCCACTCTTGGGCTGGACGGACCACACCGGATCATTCCCAAGCACGTCTTTTTTTTTTTTTTCTTCTTTTTTTAAGAAGGTTGCTTTTGATTCAGGGAAGCCATTCGATAAATCTCCAAGGGGCTTCTGTGTGGGGTTCCTCCAGTCTAGCCTTGGAAAGAGAAATTTGGGGGGCAGAGGAGGAAAGGCCGTCTCCCTGAGAACAGGCACAGAAAGGACTTTCTGTTGCTCTGCGGAGGCAAAACCACACCCCCGCAGGGGGGCGGGGCCCACAGAATGGGGGCATTCAGCTGGGGACCTGTGGACACATCTCCATCAGCCGGGGACGTGCCGGGGACGTGGGTTTCCAGCCCGTCGCAGGAAACAAAAACACCTTTCAGCCAAGGGGAGAGGCGAAGAGGAAGCTGCCCATGTTATTTCAGGGGCCGGTTGGAAGGTGGGTTGAGCGGAGGCCAGGCCAGGGCTAGAAATAAACATCTCGCACAGGTTCGTTATAAAACTCCCAGCCGCCACAATCTTCAGGCTGCGTGCGGCGGTGCAAGAATATCTTTCTTGTGTTTCTTTTTGACCTGGGTTTGGAGCCCGACGCCAAAGTTGCTTTCCCTCTTTCCCCTCGGTGTCCCGGTTCCGCTCGAAAGAGGGCGGCCTTGGATAATGAGGTGACTGGTCCGTCGTCGGTCGCTTCTTCACTGCAAGGCCTTATCGATGAATTCTTCCACCCTCCGTTCCGTGAAATTCCCCTGGTCTGTCTTGGCACGTGGGATGGAGCTCCGAGCCGTGGATTTGCGACGTTGCGCATGCGCCCATGGTGGCCACGCTACAGAGTGCGTCTTTGAGGGTTGGAGCTGTGGTCTCGTCCTTGTGTTCGTAAGACAGACAGTCCGTGCCCATCGTCAGCGCAAAGTCGAGTCTCTTCATCGGCCCGGCTCTGGGGACGCCGCCCTGTCCCGCTCCGCCCGGTGGAAGCGGCACCTCTTCCTGCCGCGCAGCCTCATGCCACCGCTGTTGGCCTTGTCTCTTCCCCAGCGCCTCAGCCACCCGGGGACCCCCACACCTAGAAAGTGAATGCGGTGTTGCTTTAAGCCAGTTGTGTAAAACACTGCATAGCTAGATATGGAGATGACAGATGAGTAGACAGGTAGACAGAGAGAGATAGACGATAGAGGTGGTGATATTTCGATGCTGAACTGATGATGGATACACATAAATAGGTGGTAGGTAGGTGGAAAGATACGGGAGAGATAGGTAGATGGTAGACACATATATAGACGACAGAGAGATACATAGATGATGAAGACGTAGATAGAGAGATGATAGGTAGATATCGTTTGAGTGGCAGACTTCTGAAGTTGGCTGTTCGTAATACCCCACTCACAGCAGACATGCCAGGAATTCTCATAACGTCCTAATTCAAGCAAAAAACCTCCCCCAGACAAAAAGGCACCAACCGTGTGTAGGCAGGGTCCTGTTGGAACAGGCCCCCTTGGGAATTTACTCTGATGCACCATCAACGTCAAGGCGGCAGCCTCCGGGGAGCCGAACACGGAAGCCGCCTCGTCCTGGCGTGTTGAGCCTGGCCGGGGCGAGGGGCCTGCAGCGGGAACACTCTGGTCTTCCAGGACTGAGTTCTGTCTGTCCCCGCGAGCGCTGCGCGCTGCGCATTCATTTCCTCCCACCGCACGGCGCCCGCACCAGGCCCAGATTTCTCCCTGCCGGCCAGCGCCTCTGTCCTGGCAATCAGCTCCTGGGGGCCCAGAGTCAAAGCGTTCGAGAGTCCCTGTAACGGTTAACACCCCGCGTGTGCACGTAGACTTAAAACTGCCATAGGCTGCATGTGCTGTTTGCCTTTCTTTCTCTCCTGTTGAGACAGGAAATGGATGGAGAACTTTCGCTGAATGAAACAACGTTCTTCCCCTCCCTCTCCTCTGCTTCCTATACCCTGGAGCTGAAGTCTTTCCAACGACTGGTTTGCACAGGATTTAATCCGACCCTTTTGAGTTGGGGCCGGGGTGGGAGGGTAGGGGGGTCGGTTCGTTAGAAGTCAGATAATCCCATTGTTGCTGCATCTTTTGCTTTGTTTTCTTCAATGATTCAAATATTTGAGGTGAACTTTGGAGACTTTGGTGCAAAGGGAAAGAAAAGGCTGTAGCTGTTTAGCAACAGGAAATTTATTTTTATTTATTGATTTGAGAGAGAGAGACAAAGGGGGCGGTGGGGGCAGGGAGGGAGAGCGATCGATTTGTTGTTGCACTTACGCATCTTGGTTGATTTATGCGTTCATTGGTTGAGTTTCCTATGTGTCCCAGTCCGGGGCCGAACCCACACGTTCGGGGTGTCCACACGATGTTCCAGCCCACTGAACGCCTTGGCCAGGGTCTAGGAAAGTTTCATCGAACTCTGGTTGACTCAGCCTTGTGTCTAGGGTTCCTTTGCGTCTGTCGTGTGTGCGTGTGGGTGTTTAAATAAAAGGACATATATGAGCTGTTACCCATGTTAGAGTGCTGACCAGTTACTCTACGCGAGTTGGGAAGCTTAAGAGAGGAAGGGGGTGACCATCAACAGAGCTGTCCCACGCGATCCGCCAGGAGTGTAACCGCTCTTTTTCTATGCGTCCACAGTGTCAGACCAGGCATTTGTCACGCTGGCCACCAATGACGTCTACTGCCAGGGGGCTCTGGTCCTGGGGCAGTCCCTGAGGAACCAGAGGGCAACCCGGAAGCTGGTGGTGTTGGTCACTCCTCAGGTGTCTAGAATGCTCAGGTAAGACTTGGAGGGGTACCTGTGCCCCGCTGGCTACTCCTGTAGAAGGAAGGTCACCCTGAAATGGTTCGTGGTCCGGGACCGCAGGCAGGGATAGAATCGGGGGATGGATGAGGGATGGACGATGCGTAGATAGTGCAGACAGATACCAAGACTCTTTTGAGGGCCCGCAACCATTATTCAAGCAGGGAACTCCGCCCAGCTGTGCGCTCCACGTGAGAGCACTTGCACAGGTCAGTGTGTGTGCGTAACGCTTGTCGCCTCAAGGGTGGAAATTCGGAAGTCAGTGTGGGGGCGAGGGGAGCGTGGAGGGCAGCTCTGGCTGCCTGTTCAAGAGTCAGGCCTGAGCGTTGTGCTTCCCATGTGGCTCCGCAGCGTCTTCCGTTGCGTAGAATACATCTCTGCTTCCTCTTGAATAGCTGTCCTTGTGTTGGGTTGCGCCCCCTACACGTGGGCACAGGTGTATCCGGGTGGCTGTTCTGTGGACGAGAATTTTGATATCCATACAAACCCATGAATATTCCTTTTACACGTGGGGTTTCTGATCTGTTTTGTTGATCCAGTTCTTTCCGTTGTGGCCACGGGAGCTTCTCCTGGTCGGCTCTCCATATCCTTTTGACGTGCTCTTAGCTTTCCCACCTCTTCCTTCATTTTTGCCATCTCGAGATATTGTAGGCTCTGGCGAAATCATATTGAAGCAAAAATCAATAAATGGAAGAGATACCTTTCATTTTTTTAAAGGGTCGAGTCTTTCCCCACGTGACTCTCAAACTTGTACGCAACTAACAATGTGTGTTCTGGATACGGAAAGCAAACATCAGTAGACATGGCAGTGCACGCCAGTTCCTTGCTACCTGCTTGGCCTTCACTCCTCCCGGCCACCCGTTTTGCAAAGAGAAGCACCTTCCCCAGAGCTAACTCGAACCCGTCTGTCTAAAGACAATATTGTAGCGTTTGTCAGGTTGTTCGAGTTTGCGTAATTTTTGAGCACGAGTGAAAACATGTGCCAGGCTCTAGGGCATCCACGGAAAAAAGCCAGGCTCTGGGCTGCTGGCACCGTGGGTTGGAGATCCGTCCTGTGCACCAAAGGCTGTGGTTCGATTCCTGGTCAGGGCACTTGCCTAGGGTGCGGGTTCGACCCCCCATCGGGAGGGTATAGGGGAGGCAGCCGATCGATGCTCTTCCCATCGATGCTTCTCTGTCTCTCCTTTCTCTCTCTCTCAAATGAATGAGTGTATCCTTGGGGGAGGATGAAAAAATTAAAATAAAGCCCAACTGTGAAGACCCCAGAGCGTGTGGAGGGATTTGGATCCACGGTCCCTGTTTGCGAGCAGCAGCGGGGCGTCCTGGTGAAGGCGCACAGGGCGAGTCCGGCGCGGCCCGGCTCTCCTGGCATTCGGCACGTGTCTTTCCCAGGCTGATCCTCTCGAAGGTGTTCGACGAGGTCGTCGAGGTGGACTTGATCGACAGCGCGGATTACGTCCACCTGGCCTTCCTGAAGAGGCCTGAGCTCGGAGTCTCCCTGACCAAGCTTCACTGCTGGACGCTGACGCACTACAGCAAGTGTGTGTTTCTGGACGCAGATACGCTGGTGAGTACCATCGGGCAGTGACGACCCGCTGGCCTATGTGGTCAGAAATCCGTCCGAGACCACCCACACCCCCACCTTCATCCGGCTGCGAACGTGTCTTAGGGCCCCGCCAGGGAACACGCCTCTACCAGGAACATGGGGGTTCATTCTGTCAAAATCAAGCGTAACTTCCCCACCCGCCCTGAAGGGAAATCACGTTTCCTTCCCTAGGAGGGGCTTACGGTCACGTCTTTCCATCTACACAAAACAATAATTGCCCAGACAGCACCTTGCCCTGCTTGTGGATTGCATTACGTTGTTCGGATGGGACTGGTACGCCTGGATTCTTGAGCTACGGCGCCCCTCGTTGTCATGTTGGGGAGTGACCTGGGGCGTAGCGTGGTGGTCACTTTCAGAAGCGGCCGTGGGAAAGGCGGAATGTTAACCGAGGCGGGCGTGGGGGGTGCCCGCGGTGAGGTGTCTTGGTGGTGCCGAAGTAGCTCTCGGCAAAGACAGAGAGACTCCAAGGAAACTCAGAACCGTACGCAATTAGGGTCATCGTTTTCCCAGATGGAGCTCAATTTAGGCAGCCCATGGGTGTTGGATGGAAGGACCCTTAGTGGTCAGGCTCTGAGACACAGTGGGTTGCATGACACTGACGTCCCAACCTGTCTGCTCCTGAGGGTCCCCGGTTTCACGGAGCACGTTTGATAGAGGAGGGGCTTTGCAATTAAGGACCATGGAGGATACTCAGAACCTTGAGCAAATAACTGACTTTTAGAGTCGCTGTTCCTTCCGTCGCTTGAGATGCACGGAGACCGCTCTGCCTCACACAGTCCTCTCTGGGTCCCTTAATGGCGGGGACAGATTCTGAAAGCTATGTCCTTGGACGGGCTCGATGCTGCATCAACATTGTAGAAGTACTTAGCCCCGGCTGGGTGGCCCCACCTCCTTACCCACCTGGGCTGTACGGGCTGGCCTCCTGCTCCTGGCGACACACCTGTTCAGGTGTCACTGTCCAGACAACATGACAGTAAGTCAAGCACAAAAGAAAATGACGTCGTCAGGACACGCGGTAAACATGCGGTGTGTGAGGCGGCCGCCCGCGGGGCAGGACCTCCCGTTTTCCAGCAAACTTGTTTTTTCTAAGTAGAAAGGATACCCTCTCCAATAACAGGAAACATGGAGTAAACAGTAAATCCATGAACCGGGAATATCGTTGCGTGTTGCCGTTATCAAGTTTTATTATGTACGGTACAGAATGGCGTGCGTTCCAGTTAGTTTTTTTTTTTTAACCCGTCTGGCGGGAGGTTTGTTCACACCGCGCCCTCCCCAACACGTATGGGGCCTGTTGTGCTGCGTGTTCCCGTGTGTGACTTGGCCGTGCGTGCTGTGCCCCTCCGTGATCGGGACTTTCCAGTTCTGTGGGACCGTTGTCATAGCGTCTGTCCATTGCTGGCCCTAATGTTGGGTACGTCCGACGGGGCGGGCCTCCGCGGAAAAGATCGCTGAGGAAATGGGGCACGGGTTCCCGCCCCACCCCCCGCCCCGCCCCCAACGTGGCCTGGCCCTTCCTCCTGCCCGTCCTGCGGGCCGCAGGGGAGCCGCGCGGGGCTGCAGGTTCCCGCGTCCTGTCGCGCCAGGTGCTGTCCAACGTGGATGAGCTGTTTGAGAGGGGCGAGTTCTCGGCGGCCCCGGACCCCGGCTGGCCGGACTGCTTCAACAGCGGGGTCTTCGTCTTCCAGCCGTCCCTGCAGACGCACGGCCTGCTGCTGCGGCACGCCACCGAGCACGGCAGCTTCGACGGTAGGTGAGGGGGCTGCCCTGCCCGGGTGCGGGCCCATCCCCCGCCCGCCCCGTCCCCCCGTGGGTGTGCATGGCATCGTGCCATCCGTTCCGGACGCACGGATCGACGGGGGCGGCCCGGAGGGGGATAGGGAGACATGAAGTTGGATGGTCCGTAAAGACGCAACAGAAATCTGTTGAAAGTGTCTTGTACGCGTAGAAAGAAGGACTCCCAGTCCTGACCAGATGGAACGGGTAGGCACACCTTTCTCTCAGAGGCCAGATGACACATGTTTTAGTGACGTCCGTCGGAGATACCGGCCTGTGCCCCGCACGGTGAGAGCAACCCCTGCGAGGGCCTCCCCGAACGAGCGTGGTCGTATCTCAATAACGGCCTGGTTTCTAAACACCGGTGCCGACTCTTTGTTGCCCATGCCTTGCTCTGGGTCGAAAGGGGAGGATTAAATCGGGCCAACCAGAAGCCTGGAATTTGTCTGCCGGGCCGTGAACAGACAGGAAAATGGCTAGAGTTTTTGTAATGGAAGGAAATACTAGATATCACTGAAAAATGGTCTGTACACGCGTACGAGGACTTAAGGAACATGGTGGGAAAAGCTTCTCATGCCAAGACGGAATTCAGGGGTGCGTGGAGCAGAGAACTTTGGAGCCAGTAAGCAGTTTTATTATTAAGCATTTGGGTTACCCGTGGAGAATTCTGGAAGCAATAGGCACCTTTAAAATTCGTGGTTTGGCCTTCATGGTACTAGGTAGTAGTATTTATTCAGAGTATTAATGGTATTAATTCACGACCCTGCCGTGAGCGGAATTGATCAACAGTCATTCCTTGTTTTCCCGTCGATAGTAAATTATTGACCGTCTTCCCTCCCCGTGACGAATGCAAAATGAATGGCGTGGATTAAACTCAGCCTTTGAGACCATGATCACGCGTGAGCAGGCAGAGACTGAGGGGCTGGCCTTGAACGCCCTTCCGGCTGTCCCTGCCCCATGTCGATGGCCCCAGTCAGGCGCCACTAACTTCTCCGGGTGTTTGCTAGGCGCCGACCAAGGCCTGCTGAACAGCTTCTTCAGCAGCTGGCCGACGGCGGACATCCGCAAGCACTTGCCGTTCATCTATAACTTGAGCAGCAACACGGCGTACACCTACGGCCCCGCGTTCAAACAGTGAGTTCCCGCGGCGTCGGGGTTGCGGTTCCCAAATGGCCGCCTGGGGCACCCTGGGGCGGGGGTTCCTTGTCACTCCTTTGTGGACCTACGGAGACAAGTTGAACCAATCATGCTGGGCTGTTATTTCTCTTTTTACTCTCACTTTTTTGTAAGCCTAGAGCGGGATTTTACAGAAACTGCATGATGTGATACAGCGGTGACGTGAACGGGAACGCGTTACGTCCACCGCTTGAAACGATCAATGTCATTTTTGTGCCATTTTGGGGGGAAACTGCTCTTTTCAGAATAATTTTAATACCTATCACTAATAATATGCCGTCATGGTAGGGGATTACATGAATACATGGATCCTACCATGTTAGGGGTTAACTTTTTTGTTGTTCTTTTTTTAATGAATGGGTGAATGCCTTTGCTAACGTGTCCGTTTTCATGTCTGGCGCGGTCAGTATGTGTCGGTAGAGTCCACACGCACAAAACTCTTGGTCCTCGGTGATTTTTCAGAATGTCAAGGCGTCCCGGGACCAGAGCGCCTGAGCTCGGCCGCTGGAGACCACGTGCTGATAAACGGACACAGCCTTAATGCTACTAGGTAGTAGTATTTATTCAGAGTATTAACGCTATTAATTCATGACCCTGCCGTGAGCGGAATTGATCAGCAGTCATTCCTCGTTTATCAGCACGTGGCGTCTGCAACGAACCTGGGAAACGCGTCGGTCTACCGCGTGCCTTTCACCCAGGAGCCACGCTCCCCGGCTAGGAGGCAGGGTTTGCTACTTGGGCCAGGAAACACGGGACCCTTTTTCAGGTGTAAAGCACATCAGGCACGCAGACAGGTGCCGTGCAAACGCGGTCTCACCGTTTCATCAGACGGCGCTTACGGCGGGGTGGGAGGGATGCTTCTAACGGTGCCCGGGAACCCCGCGTGGGAATGTGGACGGCGGCGGCTCCTGTGGAAAACCGTTCGCGGGTTCCTCAAAACGCTAAGAGGCGCGCGAGCGTCCATCCCACCTAGCGTTTCCAGTTCCGGAAATTTTATTGATGCAAACAAAAGAAAAATAGTGTTGTGATCAGCTAGGCGGTCCTCTGTGGTCATTGCTGTGTGATGTAAGGGAGCCAGGATTTGGAAGCAATCTAAGGGCCCGTCAAGAGAGCAGTAGATGAAGAGGAGGCGGCACACACATGCAGGGGACTATTAGCCATAAAACAAAGGTGAAGTCTTACCGTTTGCGACAGCAGGGATGCACCTAGCATTTCCTAGGCTCCGGGAAGTCGGTCACACAGACGGACCAATACCCTGGGATTTCACTTCCATGTGGAATCTCAGAAACAAATACATGAACCACCAAAAAAAAAAAAAAGAAAAAGAAAAAAAGAAAAAAGAAACACAGACAGAGAGAACAAGCGAAGGGTTGTCAAAGGAGGGGGGACCTGGAGGAAATGGAATGAAAAAAAAAAACCCCTAAAAAACAACTCACCGAAGGAAAATGAAGGCATCAAAATGCCCCTGGGTGTTGGCAGTAGCGATAACAGAAAAGATAAAAAAGGCTGAGTGGGCTCAATGTAGAATATTGTAAAAGAAGCTGGTCCTCTCCAGGTGCAGCGGGCCTTGTGTACTAGAAAAACCACTATTGACGTTTTCCCTCCTGTTGTAAAAAGATGATAAATTTGGCTCCAGGAGTGTCGGTGTTTATAAAACCCTTCGTTTATTTTCCCGGTTCTGGGGATGATCCCCCCCCCCTCGGCTATGGTTACGCTTCCTGGTATTTCAGAAGCGCCGCGCTGCCCACATCGATCCTATTTGAAAGCCCATCCATGAATCTTAAACCCGTCACAGCAAAACATGATCTGTCGGCAGAACCCCTGCGTCCACCACGCACACGACGCGTCTTGGACGAGGCTCGCGGCGGCGGGGGGCTTGCTGGGCGGGCCTGCTCGGTGCCACGCGGAAAACTGCGGTGTGCTCCCCCCTCAGATTCGGCGCCGGCGCCAAGGTGGTGCACTTCCTGGGGTCCGCCAAGCCTTGGAACTACAAGTACGACCCGCAGACCGGCTCCGTGTCGCAGGACGGGGCGCGGCGGGCCCACCCGCACCAGCTGACCTTTCTGAACCTCTGGTGGCGCATCTTCCACCACAGCATCCTGCCTCTCTACGGCAGCGTGCGGGACGCGGAGGGACACGCTGCGGACACACACGCAGTGAGTGGGGCCGTCCGTCCCTGGGGAGGCGGCGGCTGCGGCTCCGGCTCCGGCCCGTAATACGGGGAACGATGGTTCCTAGACGCGTTGTAGCGATGACGCGCCGTACGGTGCAGTAACATTGCATGACTATGTTGTACGCCTAAAAATAACATAATACTGGAGGCCCCGTAAGCTTGAATTTTAAAAAAGGTGAGCCCTGCCGGCGTGGCTCTCGAGGTTGGAGCATCGTCCCGTGCCCCAAAACGTGGCGGGTTCGATTCCTTGTTGGGTTGCGCATGGCAGGCAACCGATCAATGCTTCTCTCTCTCCCCCTCCCTCTGTCCCCTCTTTTAATCCAATAAGCACATCCTCAGCTGAGGGGAAAAAGTATAAATAAAAACATTTTTTAAAAATAAACCAGGAGTTGAGAATGGAGAGAAACTGTCCAAAATGAACACGTAGTATATTTCCTTTAATATGCTCCGTCTGTCTCCACATAGTTTTTTTCCATGCAGAAAGGTGACCTTTTTTTTTTTTGACTCCAAATAGTGGCTCTCATCAGCAGAAATGCCGCTGTGTCATGTGCAGGACACATCCATAAATAATGCATAAAAAATAAATTATTTAAATGAGGTGCTTCATCAAGGCCAGCGCCTCTTTGATAAGTGGGTAAAGATGGCTGATTACCGTGTCATTTGAAGAGACATTTTCCACTTTAAATCCTTGAAATTGCGCTCCAAGGAAGCTTAGGAAAAGGGCTTTGGAAAAGGGTTAGCACCTCTCATTGTGGAAAAAACGGGATGATCAGCCTGTACCCACTAGACCATGAAGTGTCTGCCGCCGATTTGCTATGGAGGCATCTGCCTTGCAAAAGACCTTTTGAAATCAGGTCTTTGGAAAGTATGTCCCGACGAATTTTTAACCCCGCAGACTTACCCGTCGGGTGGGATTTATTGCACTGCACATGTATTTCTGTACAAGGATCAGAAATTCCGTGTATTGTGTGCGAGATGGCGAAGAATCCCTATCGGCGTGTCCACGACGGTTCTTCGTGTGCTGGCCCGGGGGGGCTTTGTTCTGAGGAGCCCTAAACCGTCCTCGGATCCCCGGAGGCGCGTGAAGGGGACTCCGTGTGTGGCCCTGGGCTGCGCGGGGCGCAGTGAGCGGCGGGGAGAGGGCGCGTCCGGCGGCGGTGGCACAGGGAGACCCGCGCAGGGCAGGGCGGCGGCACCTGCCTGGGCCCCCGTGTGCCCCGCCCCGGGGAGCCGGCGGCTCTCTCGGGCCCCTGTGTCGGTGGCCCCACGGGCAGCCGTGACCGTCTCCTCGCCCGGAGTCCTGCGGCCGCGCGGCTGCTCTGCACCGTCCGCCGGGGGCTGTGGCCTCGGACGCTCTTGTTTGCAGGCCCCCGGGCTCCGAACGCGGCCTTCTCGGGACGTGTACCGGTTATGTGCAGGTTTGGGGGCGAGTTCCACAAGCGTGGGTCGCGGGGTGAGCTCACGGTTACTACGCACAGATGGTAGGATTGGGGGGCGCTGGCCGCACAGAGAACGCGGGGGGACTTGGGGCTCGGAGGGCAGCCGGACGGTGGAAAAGAGCCCAGAAAGATCTCCTAAGCGCGTGTCCCCTTTTTGGTGCAGGCTTGCGTGAGGGGCGCTGCGGGGCCGCGTGCGACCTCGGGACCTCGCGCCGAAGGGCCCTGTGCAGGTTCGGTGGCGGGGGCCGGCCCGCCGTGGCCCCCGGAAGACGCTTCGGAGCCGACCGTGGGAGCGAGCGAGACGCCACCGTCCCCTGAAACAGTGCGTGCGGAAGACGTGAGTAGCTGCACCGCACGCGGGCAGGGTGGAACAGCGGGCAGGGTGGAACAGCCGTCCCTGGGCGGGCCGCGGGCCGGAGCAGGGCGCCTGCCCCCCCCCCCCCGCGTCCTGCGGGGGACATGCAGGGCGGGAGCCGCCCCTCGGCCTGCTCTGCGAGGGCGGGCCCTGCCTTTCTACAGGTCCTTGCGCAAAATTAAGCATCGTGGTAGGTCCAGCGGGGGGCGTCGCCAGAGGCCCACGCCCTGCTGCCCCAGACTCTCAGCGCTGCCTTATATATGGGGATGGGGCTTCGCAGGGCCCGCTCGGTGAAGCACCGGGGGTGGAGCCATCGCTGTGTGAGGCAGATCGATGTGCGTGATCCCTACCCGGTGCGCCCAGAACGCATTATATTGCACGTCCGGTGTGGTTGAAGAATAAGTTTTAAGCTCACGACCGCGGAGACCCTTGGGGGGCGGGGGACGGTGGATTCCAGAAGGGGGTCCAGGAGGCGGTTGATAGCCTCGCAAGGCTCCTTGGAAGAGGGAGATGTGAGGGCAGGTGAAGGGCAGGGGGCCAGGGCAGCGGAGGGAAGGCCCCTGCGCCGTTGGCTCTGGGCAGGAAACCCGGGCCCACGCCCTGTGAAATGCTGGGGCTCCCGGGAGCCGGGGAGGGTGAGGTGGACGTGTCATCCGCGGGCGCCTCCGGAAGGGACACGGCGCCGCCGACACCCGGGAGTCCGCCCAGGGACCCCTGGCCTGCGGAAATGTGACAGCCCATCTCCCTCACGTGCTCAGGCCCCCGGGGTGCGGTCACTCATCCTGGGAATGTCATACACACACCTAAGGACAGGGGTTCCGTCTGGTCTCCACGTTGGGGAACCGCAGAGCTTTCGGGTCCAAATACGGGGAGCGTGGGGCGCCCTCTAGCTCAGCGGCCAGGGCCCAGGACCCTGCGTGGTGGAAGGTCGTGCCAACCCCCTAACTTGAACGTGATTTATGGAGGTGAAGGTTCCCCCACCTGTTATTTCTGCGGAGGCTGTAGATGTCGGTCGTCAGACAAGAGAAGGCGCGTGCTGTTTGCAAAACAAGACAAAACAAAACAAAACAAAACCGTTCGATGAGGCAGCTGTGTCTCCACCCCCATTTCCGAGCAGAGACATGCGTGAATGTCCCGCGTGTGAAGATTTCTCATTTTAAATCCTCATGTTCAGGGTCCCGGAGAGTCTCCCGAGCATCGGCAGGAGCTCGCCGCTGGGCGTGGGTGGGACCACCCGGTGGAAGGCAAGCCCTCTGCTTTTTCAGGATTTCACGTGCTTTTCGGGGATCTGTTTCCTGCTGATGACAAACAGCTGTCGTTGAAGCGTGAGCGATGGTTTCTGGCGAAGGCCCCCTGTGTTGTCCCCCGCTACGGAGCCCTTTCCTCCAGCCCGCTTCGCGGGTTTTCAGCGTGCGAGGCGTGATTGCAGTCCAGCCTGAACCGCTTGAAAAGACCCTGTGGTTTGGCCAGGGACGAAGGACGTGGTAGAAAACAAAGTTTCCCCCCTCCCCGTTTTTTCCCCGGCTCCTGTAGCGCGGGCCAGGCCCTAGGAATGCGTCCTGTGAGTTAAATACAGAGCATGTCTGAGCCCCAGGAATGTGGAGTCTGGCACGAACCTCTTCTGTTATGTACAGAAAGGCTCTCTGCTTTACCACAAGGCGCCACGCCCGCAAGGCGATTTTTACAACACGCAGACCAAAAAGAACCCAGGACAGTGTGTAGCGGACCCCCGGGTTGGACACTATCCCTCCGAAAACCTTTGGCCCTGTAGACGCCACTTTGCTAAGTCCTCCGTTTTCAGGAAAGAGCCGGTCTTGCAGGCGCGGGAGTCACTCAGCCAAAGTCCCAGAGCAGGAAGGGTCCTCGTAAGAAATGTCCAGACGTCGAAGAGTTTTTGTGAGTTTGTTGGAGCCCCACGGGCGACCGACCGTTGGCAGGAAGCCGGGCCTCAGCAGCAGGCTCCCGAAAACGGCCGTTTCGCGCCGTGTTTTATACATGACGATCAGGAGAAGGCGTAAGAGGGGTCTGGGACATCCACCCGCGATCGATCAGGGAGGGGCTTCTAAGAATTTTGATGAGTTTGTTTGCAAATGAAAAGAAGAGTGAGGGGGTCTGTGGGCTCTGGTCTGGGGGGTGGTTGTGCCCCAGGGGTCTGGGCGCAAAGGGGCGTGACCTGACAGCCCCCAGGTGCAGAGACACGGGAGACTGTCCTCCGGGGAGGTCCCAGCCTGGGGCTAGGACTGGCCCCGTCACCTGCGCTCCGGGAAGTGTTCCTTGGAGACCCGCCTGCCTGCCTCCTTCCGGTCTGTTTGGCAGGTCCACACAGGACCCCCTGAGCTGCTCAGCTTTCGTACGCGCCCCATTTTTATCCCCACGAGCAGGCCGGCGAGGGACTCAGGGACCCCGGGAGGGGATGAGGGTCCCAGGGCAGGAAGGGGAGTCTGACACTTGAAGGAGCAGAGTGCTCTGGGGGCTTTGTTTGCCAAACAAACTGTCCTCATTGCGGAGGGCAGGGACCTGCCCCCCGCCCCCGCCCCCACAGAGCCCAGAGGTGGTCAGTGGGGGCGGGGGAAGGGCCGGAGGTGACGCACAGCCTCTTGGAGAAGGAACTACAGACTCCCCCCCGAAAGGCACATCGGCAGCCCGGGGCCCAGGAATGGGAAGTGTGCGCAGGAAAAATAGGACCAACACGAAAAATATTCTGCGCTGCCTGGGTGAGCCGCCGCGGAGTCCTTCCCGCCCACGTCCCTCCCTCTGAGCACCTGTCCGTCCTGGGAGGCAAGGGCTGGGGCGTGGGCTTCTCAAAATATCGCTGGGTGTGTTTCCAGTGGGTCCCTAAAAATGATCACGTTGAGACGGTTTTACAGCATCTGCCATACCGTCAGGATTTCATTGTTTCTGCTCCAGGGCGACTTCGCAATGAATTTTGCAACGCCACTGCCACCTACTGGCCACTTACTGAATGATGACTCTAGTTTTTTTTTTTTAATTTTTTAACAGTGGGGGAGGGGGAATGTTCTTTTTTTTTTTTTAAGTTATTCATTTTTGGTGTTTGTTTTTTTTTTGCCCCCAGGGTTCACAGTATGCCTTTTTATTCTCTTTTTTTCACCTTATTTTTAATCAAAGTTTTGGTTGGAGAATGACGTGCGTAGAACAGAGAGCACACATGGTAAGCATCCATCTTAATGAATCTTCACGGTGAAAAAGCCCACAGAGCCGGAATGCGGGCCCCGAAAGCCCCCTGCAAGGACCCCTTGTCCCATCCCAGGCACCAGGGAAGGCTGCCGGGAGTGGGAGCAGGGATAGGGTGATCGGGGACCCCAGCTGTGGAAGATTCCCGCAGAGAGTGTGCGCAGAGGACAGCTTGTACTGTCTGTCCAAGACGGTGGGGGTGGGGGCTTGCAGGTGTCCTGAGGCGGTTAGGGTGGCGGTAGGGTAGCATATTTGGGTGGGTCTTGCGCAAGCGACAGCTTGTTTCGCGATCATCTTTCCGGTCTGGCGTATCCTGTTCCGTAAGTTCCCGGAGCCTCTGTGCCTTCCGGGCGCTTCCAGGAACTTTCTCGTCCTGAGGATAAAGGCTCACAACACAGTTAGGGTTGGCGTGCTTCGTGCGGTCCAGCCGGCTCTGGCAAACAGGCCCCGAAAAGGCCGCTCCGGTCGCCTTCACTAGTATCGCTTACTAGTGTGTCCTGCTAAGCCCCGTACGGGAAATCCCACAGCAGAGTTTCGCGTCTGGTCTCTCTCAGGGGACACACCGGTGCCACGCACCCATCTGCCTGCGTGGACGCGTGGTTCATGCGTTCTCACGGGCCGTCATCGCATTGTCTGGAGAGACAGTTTACGGATGAATTCTTCCATGGACGGGCCCTTCGGGGGGTTGACCAGCCCAGATACCACCACCAGGGACAAACTTGGGGGCATTTTCTTGTCCTGTGCGTGCACTTCTGGACAACTCGTCCTCACGGCGCGGTTGCTAGGTCCGTGGACACCCCTGGGGACCCTGAATATACAAAATCAGTAATAAAACTTCCGGGGGGGGGGGGCGGCCAAGGCTTTTCTCAGAGGCTGTGCAGGATCCAAGGGGCCTGTGGGCTTTCTCTTTTGTCCCCGCAGGGGACAAAACAAAAGATGACACATAGGATTCCATTCCTATAAAAATTATAGAAAGTGTTCAGTCATCTACAGTCACCCACGGGTGAGGGTTTCTTAGGGACGATGGAGGAAAGAGGGAGAGAGTATAGAGGACCCTTTATGGGAAAAAGAGATATTGACTCTCTGACTTCTGTGTTAAAATGTGCTGACTGGTCCAATGCAGTTACATTCGATTTACAGTGTCCAAATGATGCCTCAAGAAACCCGTTGGCCAAACAAATTTAAGGTTACTCTATGTTCTTCACGCATGGATCTCATTGTTACAAAATATTTCTACTGGAGTTTACTGCCTTAAAGCTTTGTTTTGGTTAATATTTATAGAGTCTATTTTGTCCTACATATTTTTTTCCTATCACCTTTTCTGTCTTCTTACACTTAGGATGTACTTTCTAAGAACCTTAGAATGGGGTTTTCTTTTTCTTTTTATTCAGTCGAATGCTTTTGGCTTTTAACTTGGATAACTTGTTGACATAGTATAGAATTCCTGGTATATTTACACCTAAATCTATCTCTTGGTTTGCTCTCCATTGTCACCTGTTCTATGGGTCTTTCTGTCTTTCCTTGTGTGCCTTTGGATTATATAATTGTGCATTTTTATTTATTCTGTTCCAGCCTCTACTTACCTATCATTCGCACTCCTTTATTTTTTAGATGCTTACCTAGAGATTCTAATTCTCATCCTTCACGAGAATATATCCGAATAAAATTCTAAAAAAACCTCCCATCCTTTGGTGCTTTCTGGCCATCGAAGAACCCCAGACTTGCAGAGCAAATTGCAATCTCTGAACATATGATGCAGGGACCGTTGATTTATCTTTATTTTTCGGCAAGAAGTTTTCCTAGCGGTAGCCTGCCCGTTGGAGGCGGAGCTGGTGGGAAACGGGGTGTCTCGTTGTTGTGAGGCTGGTCTGTTTCTGGTCCCTGTTTTGGGGGATCCTCGTGATGTTGGGAGGGTCCCCGAGCACACCTCACCGTTACAGGGTCCTCGCTGTGGGGTCCTCGCTGCAGGCACGTCTGGCTGGGTTCTCAGCTGCAGTCCTCAGTGGCCTCCAGGCAGAAGAACATGCCGGATATAGTCACTTACCTACACATATTTTACATGGAGGCATGTATTCGGTCCAGTCCGCTTCGCTCTTTTTGGTGGGAGACTTCATAGGAATCAAGCAGCTTCCCTCCTGGCTGAAAATGGAAAAGTCCCACCTTCCCGATTCCAGGTCTTTGGAGTTTCCGCCTCTGTCTCCTTTGCGCGAGGAAGCGTCGGAAGCGCTCCCAGTCCCTGAGTGTTTTCTCTCCGCGTGACCCTGAATGCGAGGCAGCTGTGTGGGGGGACGGCCCAGGGATACCGTGATTCTCCGAAGAGAAAAATGGGTCGCGCTTGCAAAAGCCCCCCGGGATACCTGTGCGTTCCTAGAGTTGCCTGCCGTTACCCACACGCTGGATGTGCACCCCACCGTGGTGAACGTCTTTCTTTCCTTCTAATGTTTTATATTCGGAACAATGCCAGGCAAGGCAGTGGACAGAATAGGACAGCGCACAGGCGTACGCGCTTCTCCTTCAACGACATCCGTCAGGTGTCAATGTTTTGCTCCCGGTGTCTTATCTACTCTCTCACGCACACACAGTTTCCTCTCTGAAGCATCTGAAGGTATGTTTCCGACCTCAGGAACCTGCACCCCGAATACTGCAGCGTAGCTTGGCGGAGATCAAGGGAATCCTTTTATACACACCGGGCAAGTTCACCCTCAATACGACGCTCTTCCCCGAAGATCACCCAGGACATAAATCTTCTCTCTTGTCCACATGTCCTTTCTCTCGAGTTAGTGAAAAGGCTCTTGTCTGCGAATCCTCTCTGTGCTTTCGGTTGGCAGACCCCCGTGCTGTCTCCTCAGGGCCGTGGGGGAGGATTTGTCACCCGCGCCGCCTGGCTGCCCCTGCCAGGACGTGAGGACGCGGTGCCCCGGGTGCGCCCCTAGCGAAGAAGCCGGTGCGGCCGTCGGGACCGCGGCCCCCTGCCCCATGCCTCTTCCTTGCCTCCCCCAAGTTTCCTGCTGGAGGACGAGGGAAAAACAGCAGGGTGTTTTCAGCGAAGCCGCATTCCTTTGCCTGAAGGTTTTGCTAACGTGCTTTCGTTATTTTTTTTATAACAGATGACAGGTTGCCCTGACATGGAGAGCCCCACGGGAATGATGCATGAGCCAGTCTCCCCGCCTGGCCCCCCGCCGGCAGACGTCACACAGACCCCCGGCACCTCGGTACCCTCCCTTTCCACTCTTAGGCACGCCTGTCTCTCTCGGGGGTCTGGGCATCTCAGCCTGCTGGGTCCACGGACTCTCACAGAGAATGCCCCGTGGTTTCCATGTTCACCCCATGACTTTCTTACTGGTTTTCCCAGGAGGGAGAACGTGCTATTGGGATCAGTCTATTCACTCTCCAGGTGCACAAGGCACTGGGTGTCTTCTCCCATGGTCCCTGCACGGCTAGGGTGTGTTCCAGGCCATGGGGTCATTCTCTTCTATGTTTGCGAAGAATTAGAACAGAAAACACAGAGCGTCGATATGGCAGAGACATGTCCCTTGATTAAAAAAAAAAAAAAAAAACACGATTCGAGAGCCATGTTTACTATCTGGACGTCACCAGGATGAATGTGCCTTTTTGTTTTTCTAAATTTACCTTCCCGAATCTGGACCGCGTTACCTCGGTCCTCAGAAGGTTGAACCCAGACAGGCCTGTCTTAGGGAAACGATCCGTAGAAATCAGTCTACGGAAGATCGAACAGAGAGAGGGTTCCTTACTGTCCCGGAAGACTGTCGGAAGAAAATGCCCCGTAGGCGTTTGATAGGAGCTCCTGGAATTCGCCCCTGAAAGTTCCTGTTGATGCAGGTCATCCAGGCTCATAGCGTGTCATCCTGTGTCAGGAACGCCGGGCGCTCAAGAAAAGCCAAGATCTCAGCCCGTGTAGACGTCGCAGAAGGGCCGCCCAGCATGATGCGTTCGTGGTCTCTTATTCGCACCCGGAAGGGTTCTCTGTCATGCTGGCTTAGACCACAGTTCTCTGACCCTCACCCCGGACTAACGATACATGTTATGTTTCTAGCAACTGCCGGATCAAACTGGAGGTGGCCCCGCGGATGCATCTGTAGAACTAAGCCCGGAGCCCCCTGTGCTGTTCCCCAGGGATCCCAGCCCTCAGGAGGCGTTGGAGGTGATAATTGCATCCTTTGCTCGCTCAGGGCTGCTGCTGGGTGCTGGGTGCTTGGCGCTGTCCGCCGGCTTGGCTGCATGCCTATGTTACCTGCACTTCCGGCCACTCTTTGTCGAAATCTGGAGTCTTCCTGCCTCTGCCGCAGCCTGCGGTCCACCTACCTTCTCTCCGGCCTGGGTGGCGGGTTCACTTTCTCTCTCCTGTCGTTAATAATCCCGCCCTTTCTCACTTTCAAAGCTGTTTTGCAAAAGTTCCTTGATGTGGAGGAGCAGTGCTGTGTCTTCCTGTAGAACAAGCTCGGAAGGTCACGGCTGCGCTCTGTGGTCGAAAATGGCGCCTTGTCTAAAAGCTGGAGAACTGGGGGGTGAATCTTCAGTCCAAACCCCGCAGGCAGCGGTTTCGTCTTCTTCCCGACCCTTCCTCATACACACACGGTCATCTCAAACTTCCCTCTCCCCACACGTGTATTTAATAGGAGCATTTGCTGATACCTTTTCAACGATGACTTAATAACAAACACAACGTGGTCTTTAGGTAATAGGAGCGCTAGCCTTGTAGCTGCGTGTCGGAACGGCTTGTATTGAGCATGTGTCCTCTTCTCTTCGAAGTCTGGATGGCTTATAAAGAATAGATACTGACGTCTCACTGTTCTGGAGGGAAATCCAGGATCGGGATTCCCGCAGACTCGGAGTCTGGAGAGGGTCCCTTTTCTGGTTCATAGGTGGCTGTCTTCTCACTGTGTCCTCACCTGGTGGGACAGGTGGCGGAGGATTATGAGGTGTCTTTCATAAGGACGCGGATCCCATTATGAAGCTCCACCCTTAGGCCCGCCTCCCAATTTCATCACCGGAGAGGTTGGGTGTCAACGTATGCAATTCAGGAAAGGCACAAACATTTACTCTATAGCAACACCTCCTTGGGGATGGACCTGTGATGTGTTAGTCTGCACGATGCATTCCCCAGAATCGAGCCTTCCAGGAGATGCGAACGCTTTTTCGCCCTCTTATCTTGTCCATCTAGTAAATGCTGAAGGCCATGTCTACAGCTGTTGGTGACGAGGTTTCTCCTGGAAGTCTGCTGGTTAACGTGTGCTGTGAGGGTGTTCTCCTCCATCACCTGTAGCCCCTTGATTGTGATTGTGTGGGTCCACGCATCAGGTGTGAGTGCGTACCGTGGTCGGGGAGTGCCGTTGGGCAGATCCGTCTCGGACAGCTCAGCACTGTGGTAGGTGTGGGACCTCAGGGGACTTCGTTACCTCTTCTAAGGATACAGGCGGTGGCCCGGCTATGCAGCTGGGTGGCTTAGGGGGCAGGAGACCCGAGAATGATCTTGAAGAGTCCCTCAGTACGTCACGGCTCTTAAAGATGAGCTGCAGCCCTGCCCGGCTGATCCCAAGAGGTGGCCCGCAAAGCAATCAGCCTTCCGGGGCAATGGCCCATGCCCGGGGTGGCACCTGGTGCCACCCTCTTCCTATGTGTATCTTCGCCATACCGTACGTGACACAATGCAGGGTTTTGTGTGATGCCATTATATAAAATCGGGGCATCTTGTTTCCTTAGACATTTATGTCATCTTGTTTCGTGGATGATGTGACCGCCACCCCGAGTTCTGCTGAGAACTAGGGCGAGTCGGGCATGGTGAGTGCCGTTAATTCCAAAATGTTTTCGTGCCCAAGAACTCACCGAGCCCACGTGTGAGAGGCGTTGAGTGCGGAGTGAATCTGGAAGAGAAGATTTTCCGCTCTTGCGTTTTGCTTGATGGACAAGGTGGCTGCGTTTGAACAAAATGCGGGGAGGGCATCCAGAAAGCAGACCTTCTCTGAAAACACTCTTCGAAGCCGCTGTGGCACATCATCAGGGACAGAGACGCTAATTTACGTGCCGGGCCTCTGGTGTCCTCACACAGCACCTGGGATACACCAGAGTCAGTTCTTTTCCATGTGTATATGTGTGTGTGAAGTATTATTTATTACCAACACACACACATTTTTGAAAGTCTTTTTCTAATCCTTGGTAACAAATACTTAAAGCCCACGTCTTTATTATTTTTGTTGGCCCATCTGAGTGTGTGAACGAGGGAACTCTGTGTATGTGTGTGTATGTGCCTCTTTGTGTATTTGGGTAGTCTCCTAGGACCCTAGGAAGCCTACCATTGCAAGAAGGACATTATTTAAGTCTCTCTTTAAATACCCTCGGCAATAAGTCCAAAATATCACAGCTTTTATTTACATAAAGTGAACATTTTTTCTTCTTCTCCCATAGTTTGCAGAACGATATTTTGTGGATGGTGTGATTCTATGTGGTAATGCAAAACAGAAGTTTTCTGTCCATATCGGGGTGGGTGTGTGTGTGTGTGTGTGTGTGTAAAATGGTCCAGTGATAGGCGTGAAAACCATTCTTAAGAAAACATGAACACATGCACAATTATATTTTATAACCTTTAGCCGCAGGCAAAAGGCAGGCGTCTTGTAAGAATACGACTTGAAGGGCCTCTCTTTCTCCTTTTCCATCCTGTCCTGTGACATGAAAACTTCCATCTCGCTCAGCACGCCGTCCCTGAGAAACAGGGTCCGCGTGGGCAGCGCGGACGGTGGGAGGGCCGCTCCCGAGACGGTCTCCCGTTGGCTTGTGTTCCGCAGGTCGGCTTGGCCATCTCCATTTCCGAGATCTCCATCGAAGAGAAGGTCCGGGCACTGAGCCCCGAGGAAGAGAGGCGGAAGTGGGAAGAGGGCCACATCGACTACATGGGCAAGGATGCCTTCGCCCGCATCCAGGAGAAGCTGGACCGCTTTCTGCAGTAGCCAGGCCGTGGAACGCGCTGCTGCGTGGATGCCTCTCCTGGGCCTTCCGCGGGGAAAGCCTGTCCAACCACGTGCCTCTATTTGTGCTGATTCAGGGTCAACCAACGTGTGTGCCTCACCAAGATCACGGAGGGCTGCAAAAGCCCAGCGTGCAGCCCGTGGCGGATCCAAGCTGCCCGCCCCTACCTGGCTCCCTTGGGATCGTCTGTGGTTCTCACCTTGTCAGCAGAACCAGCAGATGGAAACGTCCGGTGGGCTCTGGACCGTGGCCTTGCCCAACGGAGCTGTGGCAGGTGCTACTGTGTTTATCTGACATAAGACTCAGTGTCAACACAGGTCTTCTTCAGCCCCTAAGCAGATCACAGCAGTGATACGTATTCAGTACCTCGGGAACCCTCAACGACGGACGTCTTCTCTATGAGGACGCAAGAAACGGTCAAACGTCTTGAGCATGAGTTTAGACTTTGCAAAGCGTATTGGACAAACACAGCAGCTGCCGTTCCTGTTCTGTGAAACCCTGCCATCAGCAGACTCCTGATGTGGGCAACAGCAGAGATATCTGGCACCGGTTTGAGATACGTAACCTTTTCTGAACGGGTCTACTGACTGGTTTAGAAGAACCAAGGCTTTACCCCACGGGATGTCCGTGGAGGACCCACTCATGGTCACGGGCTCTGGAGAGGCCAGGAGGAGGCAGATGCGTGTGCCGCCCACGTCACTCATGGCTCCTTGCTGCGTCTTGCTACCTCAGTTCCAAAGAACATTTCGACTCACGGTTCTGCAAGCCATTTCAGCTCGGCTGTTTGGGGAGAATTCTCACTGTTTTGAGCCTGGACCCTTAATTTCATGAGGAAACCTCATCTTCAGAAGTATCCACATTCTGTGAACTCAGGCACTGTGTTTGAACACCTCCCGGTGTTACTATTCCACACCCACTGCAATTGTTGTCATTAAAAACGGACATTGCTGTGCAAAACAGCAGGAAATGCGATTTTTAAAATGTGTGAATGGCTTATTTATCAGGCACCTGCTGTTGAAAAATCCGGGTTCGTTAGACGCAGGTTGGGGAAGAGGTGAGAGGGCTCTGCTGAAAGCCCGCGGGTGCGTTTTCACCTCCTGGGGCGGTGCTGTGGCCGACAGCATCCGAGCTCATGGCTCTGTGGCGCGAGCTGCGGGGTGAGCTCCTGCAAGCTGACGGGTGGCTTCCCTTGACGTCTGGGGGCATCGTAACCTGAAGTCACGGATAGTGTCATTGAAGAGCCATAGGGACCTAGCCTTAGGCAAGGCGTGTGGGATGGGGGTTGACCATCAGAATAACGCCCTCAGTTTGTCCTACGGAGAGAATGTTGGTGCGCTGTGCTCTGGTGTTGGGGTAGGAAAACCCGAAGCTTGAGCCAGGCATATCTGAGAGGGTAGTTGTCCAAATGAGGAATATTTGAGTCTGGCCCAGCATCTCCAGAGAAGAAGAGTTTGTGTTTAAGGGCAGTGCTGTGCTGCTTATGGAATGCGTTCAACATGCATGTCGGTTTCTGCATGCCAGTGTTGCTGGACGGATGCGAATGCGTTCAGAGTAGTGTTCGTGGTCTCCCTTCTGGTGTGCCTTTGCGTGTGCTCTGAGAGGTCAGAATAAAAGTTTTTCAACAGAGTGAAGGGATGTGGCTACCTACCTTGGTTCTATAGTTAATGTAGGTTACCAAATGGGTTTTCCAAAATTGCTGGTAACAGTAGATCACTTAGGCGAGGGAAGCTGCTGTTTTTGTAGCATTTGACTCCATGCATCCATTGTCCACCATCAAATTATTCATCCATCCGTCTGTCCCTCTACCTTCCATTTATCTATCCATTATTCATCCATTCATTGACTCACCCACTCATCCATCCATCCATCCATCCATCCATCCACCAACCTACTCACCCACCAATCTACCCATTTATTCGTTCATACATTGGCCCATTTATACATCCATTATCAGTAGAACATCCATCCATCCATCACCCATCATTTACCCGTCTACTCATGCATCTGCCCATTATCCATCCGTCCACCATCGAACAATCCAACCAACAACCCACTCATCCATCCATCCATCCATCCTAGGCTTATTGTGGTCTCTCTATGGCAGACACTGTGGCATGTTCTAAAATAGGGCACAGGAAGTTCAAGGACATGTCCATGACCTCTGAATAACATGCATATAAGAGGCCTGGCAGTGTTCTGAATCCCTCCAATGCCAGAATCTACTGCAACATGTCGGCACCGTGGAATTAATACAAGTTCAGTCTCTGAGAGATGTGGTCCAACCGCTACTACGCCTAACGCTTTGGTCCATGGAAAGGACTTTATAAAACATCTTCTTGTTCTAGAAATATTTAATGCTTGGGGCAGAAAGCAGCCGCGTGGGGAGGAAAAGCCTTTCCAGGTATGTGGACCTGGCCGGATGGGTTAAGATGTGTGATGTGTAGTTTTACAGGAACGAAGGATGCTTTTCTTGGTCTAACTGCCGTGGGCAAATCCTGCAGACGCGATTTCCTCGTATGTAATGCCCAGAGACAGTCTTGGTGCTGATGAGTTTGTGCGTGGAATTGCAAAGACAGTGAGGCAGGATGTGTTGCTTTTGGCTCCCAGTCCTCCACTATACAAAACGGACCCATGATCCTTTTGGGTCTCACAGAGCGCTGTTCTTGAGCGTTCACATCAGAACAGTGTTGGGTTGTCTAAAAACTGGATGGCTTCTATACCAACTCCACTCTCCTAAGAGACAACGTTGGGCTACATTTCTTGGCACAAAAAACAGCTATTGAAACACGGTGGTGCAGCTCCAATAATACCCAGTGTGTGAAACATATTTTGCAGATAAGACACATTTTCTTTTGAGTTTAGTAGCAAAAAAAAAAAAAAAAAAAAGAGTAGTGGTATTGCAAGATCACTCCCGTTAGTAACCAAAATAATGAGCAGAGAATGAGGAAGGGAAACAATAGTCAAATGTTCCGCAGAAACAATAGAGAGAACCCCACGCGGGGAGTCACCTAGTGCCTCTGTGTACCTTTGCCGGTCTTTTAGCACCGCGACCTTGGAAATGCTGCATTTGATACATTTATTTTCTCTTTTGTTTGCTCATTTATTTTGTTCTTTAGATCCCACATGTAAGTGAAATCGCATGGTATTTGTCTCTCTGGCTGGCTTATTTCACTGAGCATAATACCCTCTCGGTCCATCCATGCTGTTGCACATGGTAAGATTTCCTTCTTTCTGCCTGAGTACTAGTCCATTGTGTACATGCACCCTGGCTTTTTTATCCATGCCTCTGTGGATGGGCCCTTGAGCTGCTGCCAAATCTTAGCCATTGTAAATAACGCTGCAGTGAACATAGGGGCGCACCTACTCTTTCACCATATTGTTTGGGTTTGTTCAGATATCCATCCAGAAGTGGAATTGCTTAATCAAGTCCACTACAGGGACTATAGTCCACAACAGTGTTATAAGTATGTTTGGTGCCAGGTGGGTGCTGGAAATATTGGGGGGGGAGGAGCACTTTGTAAAGTATGTGATTGTCTGAACACTATGCTGTACCCCTGAAACTAATGCAAACTCATACTGTACACGGTCACTGGAAAACCGTTTAAAATAAATTGAAATTCAACGAGAACAGAACTTGTTGAAAAGATACGCGTATTTCCCAACTTTCTAAGGTTGCACGAGAGTTGATTTCTCTAGAGACGTTCAGAATCGTCTAACCGGCAAGCAGTCCTCTCCCCACCTGTATGTCTACCCTGAACTCTTTCTGGGAACCCCTTCTTCATGGCTGCTCCCTGGCCCGATTCAGCCCATGGCCTGAGTGACGTTGCCTCTCCAGGAACACAAGCCCATTCACGTCCATCGAGGGTCTCTGCTTGGGTGAAGAACACTTGCCTCCCGCCCCGCCGTCTGTCAGCAGCCCCGGAGGCGCTCCTAGAATTGGACACGAGGCTGACCTCTGAAACAGGAGGGGACTCTTTGGTATTTCCCACGCTGTGATGGAACAGCTGGGGCTCTGTCCTCTGATGAAAGGTGTCTCCTCTCTCCGTTCAGGATGTGGGTGCCAGCGGCGGCGTTGCCGCGGCCTTGCTTGCACAGGATGATGGGTGTGTGGTGAGCACGCAGCGTCGTGCTGAGATAAACGGCAAGTTAAAGAGAGAGAGTGGGGAAGAGGCAAGACCAAGAGCCATCTGCGGGAGCAGGTAGAGAGCGCTGCCCACAGCCCTGTCAGAGCACAGGTGAGCCTCGCCTAGGTCGCCCTTGGGTGTCCTTAGCTGTGGAAGGCACACGTGGGCCCCCCGCCCCACCTTGTGCCCTGTGGGGCAGGAAGACCCAAATTGGCGCTGGGCCCCGTTCGCCCAAGGAGAGAGAGCGGCTGCTGCGTAGGAAAAACAAAGCCCAGGGCCCCTTCGTTCCTCCGTCCTTGAACCAGAGCAGGAGTGTGTGTGTGAGGGCGTGTGTGTTGTCATACACTAATGGCTCAATTGGCACAAGGCCCTGAGATACTGACTCAATATCTGTCAACGTCGTGAGAGGAAACAGGAGGTCACGCATGGAGCCTTTAGCTCAGAGTTTGGCACAGACCCTGCACTGGGCCTCTGGCCGTTGTCACCGTCCTCAGTCTGGGAATCAGGTCGCGTTGCTGCTGATCATGACTAGCCACCGATAACTTAGGTCTCTTTGACCCCCGGTGGAGGAATAAAGAAGACACATGTGGCTAATCTGTCCTCGTGACCCAATGGACACGTTAGCCGTAAAGGAGCTCTTCCCGCGGGTGACAACATGGAGGGGCTTGGAGGGCGTTGGGCTCGGTGAGGTAAGTCAGAGACAGAGAAATACCATACGCTTTCTGGTATACGTGGAGCCTAAAGAAAAAGACGAAGATCGTAGAACGTACAGGAAGAAAGGTCGGATGGGGGTTCGCGGCCGTGGAGGCTGGGAGACGAGGGTTGGAGAAAAGGGGAGGAGACTTGCGGGCTTGCAGCCCCGGACGCAGGAGCCCTGAGGGCGCACCGTGCCGCGGATGCTGCGGCGGCACCGGAGGGCGGTGCGTTTCCCAGGCCCCCCCGAGCGTCAATCCCTCACGAGAGTTCTCCTCCCGAGGGAGAAAGCCTTTTTCTTGTTCTGTCGCGGCTCTGTGAGAAGACAGGCGTGCGCTGACCTCCTTGGGGAGGGGGCCATTTCACGGTGGAAGTCAAGTCAGCGTCCGGCCCACCTTCCACGTCCACCGTGGTGGGCGTCAGCTATTTCTCACCCGCCCTTTTGTCCTGGTTTCACATCCACAGGTCGCACGCATCCCATGTGGAAGGCAGCTCCGGCCCCGTTTTAAAGAGGCTGCATGTATTTGTTTTACTGTTTATGCTTCTTTCATGCTGCCATTGATCGTGCTCTTTAGATTCCTTGATTCTCATGGGCCAATCCTATTCTATGGATCCTACTCTACACCCATAGAATATATAAATAGCAGCCTCTTTATCCACTGATTCATCCTGAGGGTTGTTTTTGTGTGTGTGTGTGTGTTTTTTTTTATGTCGTGTGGATTATAAATAACGCCACTGTGAACAAAAGGGTGCGCATATTTTCGCATTGGCGTTTGGGGCGTCTGAGGATTTATTTCCACAAGGGGCACCCCTGGGTCGAGAGGCAGATCCGTGTTTGATTTTTCGAGGACCCTCCATCGTGTTCTCCGCAGGGGCCGCCCCGTGTGCGCTCCCACGCGCAGTGCCCGAGGCCTCTCCTTGCTCCTCGTCCTGCCTGCCCGGGCCATGGGCTACAATCCTGAGCGCAGCCCCCCGGACCCCGGGAGCTCCTGTGTCCCCTGGTCCCCGTCCTCGTGGCAGGAGCAGAAAGGGAAGGTCCCGCAGCACGGCTGCAGCCACGGCTTCCAGAGGATGTGGCCCAGCGAGAACTGCAGGGGCACCGGGCTCAGCGTCTCCCGGTGCCGCTGTGCCGCCCGGCCAATCCTGGCCACCACCGCGTGGAACAGCGGCTCGGAGCCGGGGGACAGGGGCCGCGCCTCCACAGGGTCGCTGGAGAGGTCAAAGAGCAGAGGTGGGTTGTGCTGGGTCACGCCGTCGCCCGAGCAGGGGCACACGCCGCGGCCGTAGCAGGCCCCCGCGCCCGCGGGGTGGAACTGCGGCGTCATGTAATGCACCTTCCACAGTCTTCTCCCTACAGGGACATGGGCAGAGGTCAGGGTGTCGGCAGCAGCCACCCGGCCCAGGTGCCAGCGCGGCGGCGCGATCCTCGCCTCTGTGTGACGTGGAAAAGGAAGGGGCAGCAAGCAAAGGGACGCGTGGGCAGGGACATGGATCTGTCACATGGTGCGTGCGTGTCTCTGTGTGTATGCTGTGCTCACGGCGCGGAGAAGCAGAGACTCCTCCCAAAGTGCTCAGGGTGGGGAGCGCAATCCCAGGCGCCCCCGCCATAGTGCCTCCGCGGCACCAGCTGCCGCCTCTCGGAGATCCTGAGGGACCCTCCTCGGCTGCTAAGAAAATATTTCTGCTCTGTGACGGGATGTCCTACGTGGACACGGCGGGGCGGGGGCACCCACGTGGGCAGGGCAACCCGAGTGCCGACGTCGCCGTGAAGGTGTTTTGGTTTTTGGTAGATGACTTCAGCGTGGACGTCAGTGGACGTGGCGTACGGCCGGTTGCCCGCCCTGGCGTGGGTGGGCCTCATCCAATCAGCGGAAGAACTTACGCGAAGGGACACAGAGGCCCCCCGGGAGGAAGACGCGCTCCTCCCGGGCCATGGCAGAGACGTCCCCCCGGCGTTTCCGGCCGGCAGACTCAGGCCAGTGGCACCCACGCCCGACGGGCTGGCGGCCGGCCCTGCGCTTGGCACACTTGCCAGCCCTCACGGCCGGGTGAGTCGGTTCTTTACACTGTCTCTCTCTCCATCCATCCATCCGTCCGCCCACCTGTCCATCTGTCCGTCCGTCCATCCTTACCTTGTATCTATTCACTGATTTACCTATCAATCATCTACCTCCCTCCCAGTCATCTACTCTCTCTAATCTATTATCATCGTGTCTGTATAGCTGCCATCTTTTGACGGAGGTAATTTTCCATGGTTTATTCACCCTCTATCATCTACCTACCTATCTGTCTGTTATCGAATTGTCTGTATATCCTCTCTGTACATAGGTAACATGCATTTACTCTATCCTCTTGGTTTCCATAGAGCTGTCATCTCTGACCTATATAATTTTTATCAGCTAGTTATCTATCTGTGTATCACCATCATGTTCCACCTCTGTCATCTCTCGTCTCTATCTGCCTATCTGTCAGCTTTGTATCACCTGTCATTGTTCATCTCTCTACATTCTTCCATCATGTGTCTATTTATCTATCACCTATGTACCTAGCTACTTAACATTTATCTATCTAATCTATCATCTTCCTGTATATATGACAATCACTTATTGATCTATATAATTTTCTCTCACCTGTATCTGTCTATCCATCTACCCACCTACCCACCCACCAATCCATACACCCACCCCCCATCCATCTATTCACCACCCACCCATCCATTCATCCACCCACCCATCTACCCACCCATCCACCTCCCCACCCTCCACCCCGCCATCGCTCCCGCTGTGCACCCACCCGCCCTCTTGGTCCCGCCTCCCTGGGGAGCCGCCCCGGACAGCAGCCCCGCAGGGCGGGCCGGCGTGCACTCACGAGCCTTGTCGTGCCAGCGCGCTGCGTGCAGGTACTTCCCGCAGTAGTGAAACAGGAACTCGTGCGCCGAGTGCTCCACCGCCCCTTGCAGCAGGGGTAGCAGGCTGCGGCCGTCGATCACCCTGGTTTGGTGAAGACGCAAGAGGAAGGAATCAGACCAAGGCCACCGGGACTGTGCTTTGCGCCTGGGAACAAACCCCGAGGCGGCACGTCACAGCGAGCAGAGCAGATGCAAGCTGTCTCCCTGAGCTGTGGCCAGACTGCAAGTGGCTGAGCAAGAGACATCCTGTTTTATTAAGACTCTAAGTCATGCCCTGGCGGGTGGGGCTCAGTGGACTGAGTACCAGCCTGTGAACCGGAGGGTCGCGGGTTTCATTCCCAGTCGGGGCACAGGACTGGGTTGCGGGCCAGGTCCCCTGCGCAGGGCGCATGAGAGGCAACCACATGTTAATGTTTCTCTCCCTCTCCTCCCCTCTCTTTAAAAATAAATAAGTAAAATCTTAAAAAAAAAAACAAACCCTCAAAGTCATGAAGTTTCAGGGTTGTTACTCAGTATTGTGTAAGGAGAACACACAGACGCGCGCGCACACACACACACACACACACACACCCCACCCCCCCAACCCCCCACCCCCATTTGACCTTGGATGTTAACACAAAGTTGTCTGCAATTCCAGCTGCCAAGGTTGCAGGTTCAATTCCTGGTCAGAGCACACACCTAGGCTGTGGGTTCAGTCCCCAGTCTGGGCACACATGGGAGGCAACCAATCCATGTCTCTGTCTCTTTCTCTCTCTCTCCCTTCCTCTCTAACCATGTTCTTGGGTAAGGATTAAGAAAGCATATACTGAGTTCTATTGTTTTCTTTTGTATTCGATGACTCTTTGCCAAATACTAAGGCAAAAACTCATTTTTAAGTTATATTCTCATAGCTTCATCAACGCGGGCACAAAAAGCTGCATTTCAGGACGTGACACGGTGATGTCTCTCAATGGGTCACATGCTAACGATTCACTCGCCTCCCCCTGGTGAAGCAGAGGTCTAAAATTTTACCAGAACTGCAGAATGGGGAGCATTGACCCAGTATTTTATTTAATCTTGTGTTTTCCTGAGTTTGGTTCTTTTACATTACGCTGTCCCCTACGTTGGAGGACGTGACAATTTTTTTAGTGTGCTCCACTTGCCGGTTCCCCGCTTAAATGTGAATGATCTCCGGAATTAGGGAGCGGGGGCCTCGTCACACGTGTACCTGTCCCGGGGCACCTCGCCGCCCGCCAGCTGGACCACGGTGGGGAACACGTCCATGAGGCTGGTGGGCTCCGCGATCACCCGGCCGGCGGGCAGCACCCCGGGCCACCGGAAGATCCCGGGGACCCTGATGCCGCCCTCCCAGCCTGCCATGCCTTTGCCGCCTGTAAGTAAACGACACCGTTAGAACTCTCCAGGGGCCTGTCCAATCCGGACACAAAACAATGCGCACGTGTCCATCTGTCCGTGGACAAAGACACCCCTGTGCCCAGCTGCCCACGGGGCAACTTGTATTCCCCAGAATCGGCCCCAGTGACTGTTCCAGGACCTTGTGATGCCTCAGCCCCAGCAGGTAGAGTGCACATCCCTCCCCCCTGACATTCGGGGCGTTGGGGTAAATCCCCTCAACCAACAGGACACGGGGCGCGTCCCTGCAGAACCACTCCTGGGAGGTCAGACAAATGCAAAGGTCGTTGTCCTCATCTTTTTTCTTCCTTGTTTTCCTGGATGGAGAAGGGATTGGCGCTGGGAACCTACTTTCTCCTCCTGTCTGAACTCCTCAGCACACCCACCGCCCTGCTTTCTTACCCTCGCTGCCCAGGTCCTTCATTTGAAAGGTGAACCCCACCAGGGACCTCTGCTTGTGGGTGAGGGCCCCATCTACCCCTTGAGGAAATACAAATAATGGTTAAGCACTACACAACGACTATTTCTTCGTAATATGCAGATAACGATTCACCCCATGCTCACACTCTAGGAACTCCAGGTGCAGAAATAAAAGCAAGCACATTATGGGGGGAGAATTTTAGACAGAATCTTGATCAATAAATGCTTCCATCTGGCTGTTGTTATGGTAACGCTATTGCTGGTTTCGTACGACGGCTTAACAAGTTACTACAAACTCGGCAGCTTAAAACAACGGCCGTCTACTAGGTGTCAGTGCTGTGGGTTGGAAGTCCGCTGGGTGCAGCTCTAGGACCCACAAGTCTAAAATCAAGGTGTCCGCTGTCTGGGCTCTGAGGTACAGCATCGGAGGTAGAATTCGCCTTTTCTGGTGACCCCCATCTTTGAGGCATCAACAGCTGGTCAAGATCTTATGTCTCAAGTTTGTCTGACTTCTTTCACTCTCTTGGATTCTCCGGGGAAACAGGACCAACAGGGTGGGTGGATGCATAGGTGGGTAGATGGATGGATGGATGGATGGATGGATAATGGAGGGATGGATGGATGATGGATGGTTCAATGGATGTGACGGATAGATGGATGGGTGGATAGATGGATGGGTGGGTGGATGAGTAGACGGATGGAAAGATGGTTGGATGGATGTGATTAGGCCAGGCCCACCAACTCAGATAATCGCCGTGTGTAATGGTCACCTGTGCTGTGTTGCAGGATGTGACCTTGGCATTGGTATCTGGTGATGGGCACAGGGACGGCTGTGTTGGAGGGACCACCATCAGAATTCTGCCTACCACAACCACCTGGGCACATGGGAACGTCCCAAGATGTTACAGGTCCCACCATAGTCCATCCGTATTATTCCCAGTACATATATTCTAGAAAGTCACCACCAACACTGAAGTCTAAATTACTAGGCTCTTGGTGTTCAGGACAAGATGGGGAAAGGTTCCTGAGAGCCCGTGGTCACCATATGCACATCAGCCCAGCAGTTAAAGCTTTGCTTTATGGTGTTTCTGTTTAAAGACACCTGACTGGCTGGGTATGGCCCGTTTGTCAACGCTGAACTCACAGCCACCAGCCCTGTAACCGTGTGTGAACGGAGCTCATCTCCATAAAGCACATCCCAGTGTCCTGGTGCTTAGGGACACCGGACAGGACCTCCGTGCCCAGGTGAAGCTAAACAGCTCGATCACCCCCGAAAGGCGTGCCGATATAAACAAGGCGTGGCAGGAAATAGGCCGTGTTTCCAGCCTGAGAGCTGACATCAGCAAAGCAGAACGTCACCTCGTCCAACCTTAGCTGCGCGTGCCTGTCGGGAGAGCCCATTTTTTGCCGCTGTTTAAATGAGTTCAAAAGCAACGCCCGTCCTGATTGCGGAGATGCCAAAAGCACTTTCGCAAGGAGAACACGTCATCAAGTTTCAATCCCTAAATAACGTGAGGGACTGTATCAGAGTTTTTAAAAAATGTCAATGTGCCAAGGTACAAGTAGGACATCCTCAATCTGACAGGATCTATTGAAGTAAAAGCACACCCACCGCGGGGGTTAGACGGGTTATAGGTGAAATGCCGCCTTTCATTTAGAAGGAGATATATTTTCATTTTATTTTAATTCTTTACTTGTACATCTGTCTCTTCCATAAAAATGGAAACCCTTTAAGGGAAGAGCCTGTGGCTTTATGTCTCCCTGTTGCTTTGAGGCAGAAGAACATGGTCCCGAGCAGATGCTCAGAAACTACCCCTTGAATGTACTCTTTCTGGCTCCAATGTCACCTCCAGACGTCACTGTTGGGACTGAGTGTGCTGGCCGCGTATCTGTGCTGTGAAGCCTGATGTCCGTCGGTCTTACCTCTGTAAATGCCGTTCCATCCCCCCAGCTGACCAAGCTCTTCGTCCCTGGCCTCCAAATGTCCTCCATGGTCAGAGGTAAAGTACGTCAACGTCTTGTTTTTCAAACCATTTTTGTCAACGGCATTGAGAATCTGACCTGTACGAAAAACAGGACGTTTCAGGAAAGAGTAAATAAGGCAGCACCAGTGAGCTGAACACAGGTCCCCGTTTTGGTAAAAGTCACCGCTGGCTCGGAAGTCAGCCAAAGTGACGGCAGTCCCCCAGAAGACCACAGTCAGAAACGTGATCGTGACGTGTGAACATGCCTCTCATTGTTTGGATGCAGTAAGGCTCAGGTCTTGCGTACAAAGAGATCCACAATTCAGAAAACCCAATAAACACAGTGAGCCCACAGGTTGCCAAGGGCATGTTTTGAATGTGCCACCGGTTGTGTGTCTGTAAGTGTATGGAGGTGGGCACCTGCTGAGAAACAGTGGAATCGGAGGTCCCTGTCCACACAGGACGCAGCCAGGACTCTGAGCTTCGGTGGCTGTCAGCATTCGGAGGCCAAGACGCCTCAGGGCAGAGCTGTCTGCAAACTACACGCCTGCTTCCATGCATGACCTGATGTGCTTTGAAATCATGGAAAGTCCAGGTTATCAACCACCAGGAAGTTTGCAGCGCTGAAAATGCAGGCTGATCAGACATCCTGGAACCCTGTCTCCTCTGCTGGGGCTGTGTGTCTCTTTACTTGGCCCAAGGTCTCACGGTGCTTGTCTTAAGACATGCGTTATGAAGAATAATATAGAGGAAGCACCTTTGAAATGGGGCCAGAGCTCCTGACTCAGGGGAACTGTGTTGCATGTCGGACGCGCCCAAACTGTGAGAGTTAAACCAGGACAGAGTCCCCTCTGCCCGGGGCCTAAAGCCGCCTTGTGTCCCAGAGAGCCGTCTGCAGAGAGGACAGGAACGCAGGCGTGGGGACGACGGGACGGGGGAACCCGGGACTGAACATGAAATGCGTTGTTTAGAATCAGTGTCATGATGTCATAGTACCTGCACCATAGCCACACCTTCCCACGGTGGGTGTCGCGGTCCCCTCCCCGTTCTCGTAAGTGCCCTCCCTTTGTCTCCTCATCGGGACCCTGTGCGGGCTCCTGCCTGCGTCGGCGCTTCCGAGGATCTGTGCCTATTGACCTCACATAAGCACTGTTGCCTCTCCAAAAGCCTTTCACTTTGAGGTTCGCAGTGTCATCTATTGGAATGATGTTAACGTCTCCAAATGTCTAAGAGTCTACAACCTCATGGGTTGCCTGAGGCCAGAGAAGGAAAGGGATCTGGGCCCCTTGTCCTGAAAGACAGCACGATGTGACACGTTCCATAATCTCTTAGGATGGCTTTCAATAATAGCCTTTGTGGAAGGATGGTTTTGACACAAACGCAGGCCAAGAAATGCAAAACAGCAAAGCGGCACATGAATGACGATATGGAAGAATCGTCTCGCTATTCTTTCTTTTCCCTCATTCTATTGCAACCTGATTCAGAGGCAAAGGGCCAACGTGTCAGCCTTCTTTTAACGGTGAGGCGAAGCGTGAGTCCGCTTGCGCCCGGACTTACCGACGAGCCAGTCCATCTCTTCCACGTTGTCGCCGTATAAGCCATGTTGACTCCTTCCAAGAAACTCTCTCGTGGTGATGAGGGGAACGTGTACATGCAGCAAGGAGACAAAGAGGAGGAATGGCCTGTGTTTATTTCTGGAAGGAGAAAAACACCCTTTCAGTAGAACGGCCTCTGTTTCAGTGCTCTTGGATCCATGACGCCAAAGCACAGACTGGAGTTTTGGCAGCCAATCCACAGAAACGGTCGCGTTCCTCCAACGCGTCTGCGGATATGGCGGGCGGATAAAGGATAAAGAGATGCGGGCGCTGTGCGAACTCATCTTTTCCTGGCAATGTGCTGATTTCGGGCGGGAGCAGACACAAGAAAGGACACTCAATGTCATTGACCGTCGGAGAGAGGCACATTGAAACCACCACGAGCCATCGCCGCACGCCCGTCACGATGGCCGCCCCCAATCCCTCGGCAAACAACACGCGCTGGCGAGGACGTGGAGGGAGGCGGTCCTCGGGCCGGCGGGCGGGAGTGCAGACGGGAGCAGCCGCGGTGGAAAACAGTACGGCGTCGCCTCCAGCATTAAAAAGGGAACTGCCCTACGGCCTGGCCATTCTCCCTTTGGGTGTTGATCTGGAGAAACCGAAACACTCATTCGAAAAGATACGGGCAACTGTGTATTCACTGCCGCATGACTTACAGCCGCCCACACAGGGAAACAACGCAAGTGCCCATCGGTAGACGAGGGGATAAAGACACGGTTGTACATACGTGCAATGGAATGTTCCTTGGCCACGAAAAAGAACGCGTTCTTACCATCTGTGACACTACGGCTCGACCTAGAGGGTATTAAGCTCAGTGAAATAAGTCAGAGAAACACAAATACCATACGATGTCACGTATACGGGGAGGCTAAAAAACAACAGCATGAAACGCACACAACGAGACTCAAAGACACAGAGAAGAGAGTGACAGGTGCCAGAAGGGAGGGGTTTGGGGGACTGGGTGGAAAAGGTGAAGAGATTGAGAAATACAGACTGGTCGTTACGGGAGAGTCACGGGATGTACACTGCAGGGCAGGGCCTCCGGTCCGCAATAGCGTGATAGCTTGGTACAGTGCCAAGTGGGCCCCGCACACATCAGGGGAGCCCTTTGTGTGTGACAGAGAAGCCTAACCCCTGCGCTGTCCCCCTGAAATGAACATCGCACATGACCTGTCACTGCAAAATAAATTACAAAGAAAACAACACGGCGGTCCCTTCACCTTTCGACGAACGAAACCGCTTCCTTCCGCAGAAGGTGGGTGGTCCTTTCCAAAACCATGGGCTGCTCGGTGACGTCGTGGTCCCTCATGAGCAGACAGTTCCAGCGCCGCACGAAGCCGAAGCTGGCGTACCAGGAGGCGAAGAAGAGGAGGAGGAGGCTGGCCGCGCCCGCGACGGCTCTCCAGGACACGGAGGTCCACCCGCAGGCCCTGCTGGCGGCCACTGTGAGGATGGCCCAGGACACCCACTGGGTGTAACGCCAGAGCCTGGCTCTCAGCGCTGCGTCCACCTGGGGCGGCCGGCCCGGCTGGCAGTCGTTGACCAGCGTGAAGGGCATGCCGTAGAAATAGCCGAATCCGTGGCGGAGCGGGTGGTGGCAGTGGTCCTCGCGGGACGCGCAGTTCACACCCTGGTGCCATTTTCCTGAAGGCAGAAGCAGAACGTTCAACAACAAAAACCCCACGCCTCAGGTCCTGTGTCCGAAACGAAGCTCCCCGTCCGGGCAACCTGTACGTGCCGATGACAGCAAAGCAGGGGAAGCAGCTCCAGGTGGCACGCAAGAGGGGCGTGATAGGAATCAGAAACAGAAAAAGGAGGACAGACGTGGAAGGGAAAACCAGGAGGCAACAAGATTGGTACGTCCACGGAGAAAAAGAGGCCAATCTACTAAGACTGGGAAGCAAAATTTCTTGTCTGTGAAAAATTCCAACACTGGAAACAACCCAAGAGAACCTGGACAGACCGGCACCAAATTTTGGTTCTGACACGTGACCTTTTCCCCCATGAGAAGGGGGGTTCTTGCAATCACGGCCCTTCTAGGGGACCCCGCATACCTATGAGGCCCGTGGCATAACCTTCCTGCTGCAGGACTGTCGCAAACGTGGTTTCGTTCTCGGGAAGCCCGCCCGAGCCCCCGTTCCACTGAAGGGCCCGGTACCCGTTGCTGGCGTCCATACCTGCGAAGCAGAGCGAGAGGAGGCGTTCCGGTTCTGTCGGCGGCTGTGGGTGCTCTCTGTAGGGGGTGGGTGCGCTCACCCCTCAGGGCACACTCTGCAGGGCCTGGGGTTGCTTGTGGGTGTCATGGCTCGCAGAGGGGGTCCTAACAGCATCTTGCGGGTGGAGACCCCCTGTAGGGCACAGGGCACACCCACCAGAGAGAACACACCAGCCCCAAAAGCCAGGAGTGCTGAGCCTGAGGGACCCCGAGTCTTCATGTGAGCCCGTTCATCCGTCTATCCATCCATCCATCCACCATCTATCGTATTTATCTAACTATCCACCTATCTATCCATCCATCTACCATCTATCTATCTCTCCATCTACCATCTATTTATCTCTGTATCCATCCATCATATATCTATTTATCTATCCATCCATTTATCTATCCATCATCCATCTATCCATCCGTTATCTACCTACCCATCCATCCATCCCCTATTTATCTATGTATCCATCCATGCATCTATCCATCCTGTATCTATCCATCCATCAAGTTATCCATCCATCTAACATCTATCTATTTACCCACCCATCTAGCATCTATTTATCTATATATCTGCTCATCTAGCATCAATTGATCTATATATCCACCTATCTGTCATCTATTTATCTATGTATCCATCCATCCATGCGTCATGTATCTATTTATCTGTCCACCCATTTAGCACCTATTTATCGATCCATCCATCCATCATCTATATATCTATCTATCCATCTATCATCTATGTGTCCATCCATCCATCCACCCATCGATCCATCCATCCACCTTGGGGCGGATGGGAAACCACTCCGACCAGCTGAGGCGCCCGGCCAGGACTTGATGCAACTATTTAACGAACGACAACATCCCAGTCATCTACCACGAGAGTTTCAGCCTTTGGAGTTCCCAGTTATCATAACTTCTTTCGTGACTCCATAAAAAACGCAGGAATTACCAGACAATACATGGCAGGTTATGTTTTTACCATTTTCCTTGTATCTCAGGGATTGCTACCCGATTATTAAAAACGATAAATGAGCCCTGGCCGGTGTGGCTCAGTGGATTGGGTGCCGTCCTGCAAAGCAGAAGGTTGTGGGTTCGATCCCTCGTGAGGGCGCCTACGGGAGGCCACTGATCGATGTTTCTGTTTCACACTGATGTTTCCTTCCCTCCCTTTCTCCCTTCCCTCTCTCTAAATAAATACAATCTTAAAAATAGAAAATAAAAACAAGACGTGAGTGGACATGGATGTGCCTTTTCTTTGGTTGCTCCCCCCAGCCCCCACCGCCCCGCCCCCGCCCCCCGCCACACCCACCTGATCTGAACGAGTGTCTCCCGGTCAGGAAGGCAGCTCTGCTTGGGGTGCAGAGCGGGGCGGCCGCCAGGTGCTGGGTGAGCTTCACACCTTCCTCCGCAAGCCGGTCGATGTTGGGCGTCCTGAGCAAACCACAGCCTTGTCACTTTCAGGGAGGGGACGGCCACCTGGCCGCCGCAGGTCCCCGGCATTCCAAGCCACGTGCGAGGGACCGTGTCTGCAAACGGGGCCTTTCCGGAGGGACGGGATGAAGGGAAGGACCTGAGAGGAGGTCGTCCTGGGTCACGGGGGCCCTGCGTCCAAGGACAGTGTCCTGAGAAGACACAGAAGGGGGGACGCAGACCCCGAGGGGAAGCCCCGGGGAGACGGAGGCAGAGACGGGAGGGACGCGGCCACTGCCCAGGAACGCGGAGCGGGTGGGGCCTGGAGCTGGAAGGGGCGGGAAGGCCCCTCCCTGGAGCCTGCGGAGGGAGCGCTGCCCAGGGACGGCTGGACCTCAGACGCCTGGTCTCCAGGACCCAGACAGGAGGAAGGTCTGCGGTTTTAATGCGCTCCCTGCATGGTCAGTTGTTAAGGCAGCCAAAGGAAACACCCACCCACCCATCCTAGTTCCATGTAGTTGCAAAGGTGTACTATTTTCCTCTGGAAAAACAACTTTTTCGGTGTTGGGATCTGATACCGCCAGGAATTTCTTACTTTCTACAGGCTGATTTTAAAAGCGTCATCAGCCCCAGCCACCACCAGCGCCAGGTACCTCAGCGTGTGGTTCCCATAGCAACCGAGATCCCCGATGCCCAGGTCGTCCGCCATGATCAGTAGGATATTTGGTTTAAAGGTATCGGCTGCCTGGAAGCCGCCAGTCCTCAGAAGCAAACAGACGGTGACTAGAAGCGGCCAACGGTCCATGGAGAGGAGTGGAAAAGACAGGCACCGGCGTCTATAGTTTGGAAGGAAAGGGCACCCTTTCAAGCCCGCGGGCTGGTTTTTGAATGGAGGCCCCTCCTTCCCGCCACTGTGTAAAGCGCAGTCTATGGCGGGGTGGGCGGGCTGGCGCCTCCCTTTGCCCGGGCGGAGAGGCGCGGTGCCCTCCGAGTTCCGGCCGCGCCATGCTGCCGGCGGCCCGGCAGCGTCCGGGCGGAGGGATATTTACATATTAACGTGGAAAGTGTGAGATTAAAAGCGCCCCAGACAGGCCCGGAGATTCAGCACCGCTGGCCGCACTACAGAGTTACCGCGCGGGTTTGAAAGGCCTGTTGACCGCGCGCGTCCGAAGTGCACCGGCGACCTCGCGCAAAGGGACTTGGAGCGCACGGGGCGGATCCCGGGCTCTCCCCGCCCTGTAACCCGGAGGGACATGGCGACGGTGTGGCCCGGCCCGGATCTGGGCTCTAGGATCCAGCGTGTCCTCGGGTCCCGAGCACTTCAAGTGCCCCGGTGCTGTGCGCACCCCACGATTGCGCCGGGGTGCGAGAGCCGTTCGGAGGTTCGCGGAGTGACAGCCGTATTCCGCGGGGACCCGGACTGGGGCGGGCTCGGGACGGGGCGTGGCCGGAGAGTCGGGCGCCTTGGGGAGTCTTGTGGGCTGGGGACAGGGGGACCGGGTGCGCTTTAGCGTTGGGGGTTGGGGAGCGCGGGCCGGGTCGGGGGAGCGAGTGTTGGAGGGAGGTCAGGCCGCACTCGGGGGACGCCAGGAGGGGTCGCGGGGGCGTGTCTTAGAGAGTAGGGGCGGGCCCAGCCCGGCCTTTCTTCGCTTTTCCTTTCCCTCCCAACCCCGTGGAGCGGGATTTCGTCGCCGTCCCGGCTCTTTCAGGCGGCGTCTCGGTGACTTCCAGGCACAGCGCAGCTGTTTTTCCCGGGGACCCCCCCGGCTCATCACGGACTCCCCTCCCCTTCACCCCGCGCCCCCAGCCCCAGGCCCCAGCGAGGCCTGCGTCCCGGGGTCCCGCGCACCTGGCTGCGGCGGCTGCGGCGCGTCCGCTCTGCGCCATCTGGGCCGCGGCGGAGCTCCGACGAGACGCGCAGGACCTTGCCCCCGAGCCCTCGGCGCCCAAGTCCCGCCCCCGGAGCTCTGTGACCTGCGGGGTGCGGCCCTTCCCTCCCTAATCTGCTTAATCTCCTGGGCCTGCTGGGGATTCATTTGGAAACAGGTGTTCCTGGGCTCTGCTCTGGCGCGTAGGCGCCCCCCGGGGGACTGAAACCGAACAGGAGCTCACGCAGCCAGGCTGGGCTTGGGCTTGATTACTACCCCGCCCCGCCCCCCCCCCCCCCCCCGTCCCCGCTCAGCCCTCAGGACCGAGGCCCCTTTTCTCCATCTAGGGAAGGACCTTGGGAGTTTCCTGGTGAAACCGAGCATCGCGGATGCAAATTGCCTTTCTCCAGCTCCTGGGTACCAGATGTGGACTCTCTCGCCGAGGAGAGGGTGTGTGTTTGTGTGTTAAACATCGTCTGGCCCAGCTGCGCCGTCACCCGCAGGACTGGACACTGAGGTCTGCCTGGCGGTCCCCGTTCCGGGCCTGGTCCCCGTGAGCTACGCTCGAAGGAGTGCGCTCTGTACCTCTCCGACTCCGTTCTGCGCCTGGGTACCCGTGCTCTCCGAAACCCTGGGGAAAGGGGGGCTCAGATGTCCCCAGCACCCTGGGAGTGTCTGTTGCAAACGCAGCGTATGGGCGCCCATCCTCAGTTCGCGGTGTTGGGGTGTCCGGAACGGGGCCCGGGGCGGGAGAGTGTGTTGGGAGAAAGGATCTTTGTCTCTTAGTCGGCGCATTGCGTGCGCGCACGTTCTGAGGACGGCCGTCTTCATGGTTGGGCATGCGTTAGATCGGCGCTCTCTTTGCTCTCCGGGGCCCGCTGCTCGCCGGAAGCGCCCACTGGCGCGGGGCTGCCCGGCTGGGGTGCTTTGTTTCAGCAAATACCGCCCCGAGGGAGAAAAAGGGGGGTCCCAGAAGGAGGGGCCAGGGGCCAGGGGACCGAAGGAGGAGGGAGGTTGGCAGGGACGCAGTCAGGCTTGACCCTTTGATGAAATCCTGCTTGGGAGGCGGTCAAGATTCTCCTAAATGGTGCAGAGAAGGAAGCGGGGCGGCGGGGGGGGGGGGGTGGTACCTGCGCAGCGCTGCTTGGGGGAGGTTGCGCGGGTGGCGGAGCCAGGATGACCTTGATCCTGTGGGTCTGCGTGGACTTCAAAGCCACCAGGGACAAGAGTGTGGATGGGTCTGGGCCGGGCAGTGAGCAGGCACAGCTGATGTTGACCCGGCCAGAGGCGGCTGCGTGGGAGACGCAGGCAGGGCGCGGGCAGCCCTGTTGGAGACGCGGGGGCGGGGGCGGGGGCGGGGCGGGGCGGGTTGGGGGGTGCTGCTGGTTGCCAGCCGGGGCACCATTTCTTTCTTTACTCCTGAGAGCACACGCCGGCAGCCAGAATCGGCCAGACACGCGTGGGCCCCGGGGCGAGAGCAGCGAGCGGCCTGGCCAGCTGGAGGCCGGGGTTTGTCCACGCGCCCCCCAGGGGCTGGATGGTTCGGGGAGAGTGTGCTCCAGGCTGGGGTCCCTTCACCCAGCCTTGGTGTGGAAAAGTGGCAGGAGTGACCGTTTCTTGCTTCTGGAGACAGAGCGGACGAAACCGCAGCGCGCACCTGGCAGAGAACGTGTCATGGGCTGAATTGTGTTCCCCAGATTTGCCTGGTGCGGTCGTACACCCGGGACGTCAGAATGGGACCGGATTCGGAGGTGGATCTTTAGAGAGGTGATGAAGGGGCCGTGAGGTCCCCAGGGCGGCCCTGATCCCGCAGGACGGGGGTCCTTAGAAGAGGAGGAGATGGGGACACAGACACACCCAGAGGGACAGCTGGGAGGACACAGGGGACCGCCATCCGCACGCCCACGAAAGAGAGGCCTCGGGCGGAGCTGGCCGTGCCCCGATCGGAGTCTTGGACTCCAGCCTCCAGGACGGGGAGCAAGACATGTCCACTGGGGAAGCCACTCGGTCCCGGGCCCCCCGTGACGCAGCCCGGCTGACTGACGCAGGCTGGGGCTCCCCACGGGCGGTGGGTGAGTCGTGGAGAGAGGCGGTGGGGCCGGCGGGGGCCACGGATAGACCTGCACCCCTCTCCTCCGGGGGCAGCCACTGAGCAGCCAGCGGCAAGACCCCACGCAGTGACCTACGGGCGTAGGCTCGGGCCGGCCTTGAGTGTGCGGCATACGTTCCGAGTTCTGGGCTTCCCCGAATCCCCGAGTCCCGGGGGAACGTCCCCCCAAAACAGCTCCAACCTGAAAAACACTAACTACGTCCTCCACGGGGCAATGATCAGCCCACGCCCTTCACTGTGGGCCCAGCCCGACCGCATCGCGACCCCTTGTCACCCTAAGTGTGTGCACACCCATCCGGCAAAGCAACACATTCGTTGGGGACTTGAACTCTTTATAGGGACAGAGCAGGCTTTCCTGCCGGTGCGTGGGGATCTTTGCGACAAGCAAGGGACAAACAGGAGGGACTTTGCTTGTCCCTTGCTTGTCTCCTGGGCGGCGCATTTTATGTAACGCAGTTGCTTGCGTTCCTGCCGTGCCTCTTATTAACACGGTCCCTCCCCGTCCGCACCTACAAACAGATGACCGAATCTCACGGCGGCGTTTTATTCTGTTCGCCCTGGAGAAACCCACGCAGGCCCGCTCAGGGTTCCCGGGGAGGCGGCGTCTGCGCGTGGGCGTCTGCGTCCGGTTCGTGGTCGCACCAGCAGAGCGGGAACGGCCCACAGCACGGCTGCAGCCAGGGCCTCCAGGCGTTGCGCCCGTCCAGCTGCGGCGCCGCGGGCCGGAGGGTGCGGCGGTGGCCCTCCACGGCCCGTGCCACTGTCTCCACCACCTGGTAGAACGAGGGCTCCGTGTCCGGCGTGAGGGCGTGGGCCTCGGACGGGTCTCTGGAGAGGTCGAAGAGCAAAGGGGGGTCGTGGTGAGCCACCGAGGGCCCGGAACAGGGGCAGACCGTGCTCCCGTAGCAGGCACCGGCGTCCTGGGGCTGGAAGCGCGGAGTCGTGTAGTGGACCTTCCAGACGGCTCCTCCTGGGAAAGACACGAATCGCCAGGGGTTGTGTGCGAGGTGACGAGGCTTCGCTGAGGTCCCAAAGACGGGGCCCCCCAGGGTGGGGTGGGTGTTCCTATCAGGAGAGGGAGCCCAGAGACCTGTCTCCTACGCGAGGCCACCCTGAGAAGCTGACCGGCCGTCCCGCCCCATGCGGGCCCTGCCGCCACCTCGACCTTGGACCCCTCGCCTCCGGGACCGCGACACCGGAGCCTCAGCGGGGGTGTTTGCTCTCAGCAGCCCGAGCTGATGGAGCCTGTGCATGGCAGGTCCATCCAGTGCCTTTCACAGAGCCTGCTGGGGGGCGGAGGGGGAGGTTCCTCCAGGAAGGGTGGGGGGAGGGCTGAAATACGAGGAGGTGTTCGGAACAAAGTTTTCACAAGATGCTCTGGAGCTAGGGAGCAGGAAGAAGAGGAGGAAGGACAGGGAGGGACAGGCAGGGGCGGGGGAGCCCCCCAGCCCTAACGGCCTGCTGCCCCAGACCTCGCTCAGCCCCAGGGCCGTCGAGGAAAGAAGGCAGCGAGAGACTAAGATGCCCCACACTTGCCTCCTCGGCAGCCTGCGCCCCCCACAGCCTGTGTTTTGGGGCATCTGCTGCTTTGGGAGGGAGGCCCCCAGGCTCCCGGCAGCGCACCCTCTCCGCCGCTGCTCGGGCAGCCGCCACACAGGCACAGAGCAGGCCCCAGGGTGCCCACGGCTTCAAGGACAGAAGGACACGAGGCGCAGAGATGGCGGCTGCAATGGAAGGTGCGGAGGTGGAGGCAGAAGGGTGGTCGGTCCCCGCACACTGAGCGGGTGGGGGCCACCGAGGGAGCCGCCCAGGCGGGCGCACGCTTCCTGCCCACCGGGGCACGGCGGGGGGGGGACGAGGGGGAGACGCCTTCACAAGTAGAATGAGGGATGGCGAGACGGGACCGTCACGCACAAGGTCAAGCCCGTAGAGCCGCTTCCGGGCAGCTCGTGAATGAGACGGTTTTGTCTCCCCCCCCCCCGGCCCCGGAGGGGAGCCAAGGCGTCACACATCCCAGCAGAGCGGCCTCACTCTGGCCCCCGTCCAGCGATGCCCTTGGAAAGTAAAACGAACGCGCGCAGCAGCGTGGACGGGCGTGGAGCGCGGCGCGCTGCCTGGGGAAGCCGGGCGGGGACACACAGATACCCTGGGGCCTCGCCCGTCCGCGCAGCCTCCGCGACAGCACCGACAAGCGCGCAAAATAGAACCAGAGATGTGGACGGGAAGAACCAACGGGCAGGGACCGGGGGTCGGGGGGGGGGGGAGGGGTGTGGGGGAGGAAGGGAGGGGTCAAGTCAAGGAGCGTGTATAAAGGGTCCACGGACAAGGACCGTGGAGTGGGAGGTGGGGGTGGGTACAACTGTACCTGAACAGTAAAAAACATAAAAGGACCCAGAAAACAGCCGTGACCTTTCCACATGCACGTTGTGATGAATGTACACGTGGAAGGGACACACGGAAAGCTGGTGAAGATCTTGTGTGGACCCTCCCCTGAGACCACCGCCCCGCCGGCCCCAGGATCCCAGCCCACGGGCAAAGAAAGGTAAAAAGCTCCACGCAAGGGGTCCCCGGCGAGCTCTCCGCAGGGCACGCCCACGCGCCGCAGTTTCCTCCTAAACTCCAAGGGATGTCGCCTCTGACCGTTGCCCCAACTGCATCTGTCTGTCCGTCCGAGACCCATGGAGCTCAGTTCAGCGGCCGTCTGGAGACTCGGGCGGGGAGGGGCTTGCTCCTCTTCCAGGAGGGGTGTGGACTTGGGGTGACCGGTGTGTGCTGGGCGGTCCCCCGGATGCTTCCCGCAGGGCACTAAGTGCCCTGTAAATGCGGGGTGAAGGGGAGGCCCCATCCCCGCGCGCCTACCTTGAAAGACGTTTCATTAAAACTGTGCCCGATGGCCAAGGCGCGAGAGATCGGTCATGGGGAACCACAGCAGACGAAAGAGTGAATAGTTACCCCGGTTACCCGTGCCGTAAAGCGTGAGGAAGCGCAGATTGAACTATTGCAGTGCAGGTGGGACAGAGCGCAACTGCACGGATGTTAGAATACACTGAAAGAGATTATAATACGTAGCTTTAAAAACGTAGCAGGAAGAATTATAGTCACATGGAAGAGGATGGATGGGAGGGAAGAACATAAAAAAGACAATCCTTGGTAAGTTCCATAAATACGGGAGATTCCAAGAGGCATCCTGAGTTGCTTGTTATGAATACCGGGAATGTCTCGAGGATGCTTTTGGGGGCGCACGGGAAAAGTGCGGGTTCACCAGCAAGGGGGGGATAGACCTCCCCAAACCCTGGAAGAAGAAAGGAATCCATCAAACCGACTGCGGCAAGCAGGCCCAGAAAGAGCGGAGAGAATCCAGGGAAGGCAGACTCCCAGGCTGCACACACGAAGAAGACAGACTCCGAGAGGTGAGATTTCGTCGTCAGCAGACGAACGTAGAGACAGAACTTCACCCCTGACAACGTCAAAAAGTGGCCAGGCCCCGCTGTGTGCGGCTTAGTGGGTTGGGCGTCGCCCCACAAAGCGGAAGGTAGTGAGTTCGACCCCCAGTGGGCACACGCTTGGGTTGCGGGTTGGGTACCCGGTCAGGGCACATACGACAGACCACCGATCCATGGTCCCTGTTTCTCTCCCGCCTTCTCCCTTCCTTTCCCTTCTCTAAAATAAATACAATGTTAAAAAAAAAAAACAGTGCGAAAGTCAATCCCAGAGTGGGATATTTAAAGGCGATTCCTGAAAACAGAAAAGGTTTTTCAATCGCTCTCAGCTGGACAATGGGAACCGGGGGCCAGAAACAGGGCGGCGATGAACACCCACGCGATCGCGAAGCGCATAAAGTGCCTGGTGAATTGGATATTTTCTAAATAACAAGTGGAGAGCTGGAACATGCTTCCACTTGGGAAAATGGGACAGGGGAGAGAGATCCGTTTCCCCCAGGTTGCGTGATAGGTACACCGAAGGCAAGAGCAATGCCCAGTCTCATGGGATTTAAAAAAAAAAAAAAGACAACTTGCAAATAATTGTACAGGTCATTCGAAACGATCAGGGCATGAAATAGCCCAGAACATTCTGACACGCCAAAAGGGACTTGGTGAGCCCGTTGGTGCTTAGATGGCAACGCTGTGATCGTCACTCCAAAGATGCAATGGTGCTGCTTGGTTAAGGTGCTGAGACATGGGACCAGCCATGTAGGTGGAGAGAATAGACGGGCCACAGTAGGGACATGCGCACACATGTGCGTAGAAAATCCCATAAGCCATGCCCCGCCCTGGGTCGTGACCGCCTCCCTAGAAGGAGCTGCCCCAAGGACGTGGCCGGAAAGAGGAGGAAAGTCCTCCCAAGGAGCAGGCGAAGGAGCCCGTGGGGCAGGGTGCAGACAGCCGATCGGCGCGGCCCCCCACCCCCGCCTCCCGCCTACGTACGGTCCCGTTGGTGCCAGCGGGCTGCATGCAGGAACACCTCACAGTAATGCATCAGGAACTCGTGGTCCGAGTGCTGCGTGGTTCCCAGGAGCAGAGGCAGCAGGTCCCGGCCGTCGATCACCCTGCACAGAGCAACGGGGGGCTCAGGGACCGAGGGGCGCGCCCTCGCCGGCTTAGGGACACAGCGCGGTCGCCCGGGTGTCCTTCGCCTACCAACACTGCCTTCGACAAAAAGATCCTCAACACCAGCTTGTCCTGGGTGGCACTGTCCACCCGAGCGTAGAACGGATCCAGAAAGAAGCTACCGTGCCTTTGGGACATCTGTTTTGGCTTTTTATGCTGGTGTGGGTGTGGGGTCCTTTTAAGAATGGCCGTCTGCTGCCACAGGACCCGGAAGCCGGTTGTTCTCTGCTCTCATGTCTTCCTGTCCTTCCCGCGAAGGGGGTCCGGGCTCCCGGGTCCGGCTCCACCCCGTGGCGCTGGCTCCCATCCCTCACCCTTCTCAAGGGAGAAGATCAGCCTGCGGGGTCCGCCTCGGGGGACTCCTATTGTCCTGCACATGTGCTGTCTCAGGGATGGGGCCTCTCGCTCCCGGGTGGGAAGCGCGTCTCGCTGTGTTTTGGGACTTGACCAATTACTCCCACGTGGCAAACGCGTATTAAAAACATGTGCCCGTGGCCCGAGGCCGTCGACCTTCCACACAGGGCAACGTAATTCCATGCCTTGGTGGGAAAGGGGTCCTAGTGAATGTGCTTTACGTGAGTTTGAGCCATGTTTAGGGTCTGGTGTCTCGAACTTTCATCGTAAATACAGATGGTAGATTGTTACAAGCACCAGGAAAAGCCGTAACATCCGTCTTGGACTCTTAATAAGATCAAGCGGTCTTGGTCAAGTTAGAGAACTTAGAGCCCTCATGGTTTGTACTTGGACAGAAAAAATGAAATAAAACAATCTTTATCAAATACCTAATGTATTATTATATCATATTATTACTGGTTTAACATGTGGTATTATATACTCACATTATATTCTTATTATCATTACCTATATTTATACTCTTCCATTATATATTTATGCATATGATCTATAACATAATAAAAATGTGCGTATATACATATATATCCTTTCCCCTGCAAATATGGATATTTGTAGAGACATCCATGGATGGGTCTGTTTATTATACGTCAATGATACTTGGCAGAATTTGTTTTCTACTGAAACACAGTTGCCACGACAGACACATTTTTAATTTCTAAAACGCGTAAAACTATATGACTATATTTTGAAATTAACTTCCCCGTAAAAAAAGAAAAGCAACCAGCAAGTAGGGGCGGGAAATGCAATGGGAGGAAACGGAAGCGTGCAAAGGGAAGGTCCGCACCGCTGAGAGGAGCTCCTCAGGGTGTCCGGCCCAGGGCGCTGGGGACGCCGACCCAGCCGGAGGGACACGCGCGCGTGTCATTTCCATACGTAATAAATGAGGCGCGTAGTCGCATATGGAACTTAATCTGAGTTTAGCTGTGTTCGCGGTGAAAGAATAGACACCGCAGACGGCGGGTAGCGATGCCTAGGAAACAGGCGAGCGCTCGGAAGGCAGAGATTTACCTGTCAACGAGGGTAGCCTGGGACCCAAGAATTCACGTCCTAAGGAGGTGGTTTCGACACGCAGGGAAGTGAAGAAACAGAATGTTGGGAGGGGAAAAAAAAGCGACTGTCTCTACACAGAGGTGGACAAAAGTAGGTTGGCAGTTGTGTGCAGGGAAAATAATGCAATAACTGGGAATCATAACACCAGAATAAATTCTATGTTTCACGTAGTCCCACGCCTGCTTTTGCTCACCTCTGGGGAAGCCCTTCATTTCAGGTCCAGGCGCAAAAATGCGACAATAGAAGGAAATGTGTAAAATAGACAATATATAAAGAATATGTAAATATCTATGTATTGCTCAATTTAATGATGTATTCATCTCTCGCCCGTTAAAACGATGAACTCATTGTATTCCCTTGCCCGTGCTCCCCGAAACTTGCTGTGCATTTTAAGACAAGGAAAACTGCGGTCATAGAAAATTTCTGTGCCGCACGGAATCGGAGGTACTTCCCCGCAGGGGATTGTTAGGTTTTGCCTGGACCGCGGCCCTTGTAATAAGAGGGGTCCGCCTCAGCAGCCAGGTGAAGACAACCAGAGTGTTTTTGGTAAAAAGGAAGTGGACACTTGACCCCAGTAGACGATGACAGGGGCCTGGACTTTGTCTCCAGCCCCGCGTTTCCTGATGCTCGGCCCCGCGTGCACATTGACACTGCGTCTAGGGAAACGTGACTGCCTTTCCCCGGGCCGCTCCCTACCTGTCCCGGGGCACCTCGCCGCCCGCCAGCTGGACCACGGTGGGGAACACGTCCATGAGGCTGGTGGGCTCTGTGATCACCCGGCCGGCGGGCAGCACCCCGGGCCACCGGAAGATCCCGGGGACCCTGATGCCGCCCTCCCAGCCGCCCATGCCTTTGCCGCCTGTGGTTACGGAGGAACAGAAAAGAGCGGGGTTGAAATCAGGTGCGAGGTAACCTTTCTGCTTGTCTTTCAACTTATTCTCTCCCTCCCGAGCGTTCTCTCCTTCTCGGCCCCCTGGCCTCCACGCGCGTGTGTGTGTCTGTCTCTAATTACATGGTTCCCCAGCAGAGGTGAGGGTTCACAGGTGTTCTATTCTGCCTTCGGTCCCCTGTGCCAGCCGTGGACAGCAGCCAATTGCCTTCAAGCTCCTTACTTACCAGCCTCATTCTTTGGGAGTCTTTAACAGCGTCGTTGAAAGCATACTATTCCATCTCGAAATTCTTTGTTTAGAAATCATGAACTCAGGGTATGTTTATTGATTTGAGAGAGAGAGAGAGACAGAAACATCCATATGTGGAGAAATGTCCATTGGTTGCCTCTTGTACGTGCCCGAGTGGGGATCGAACCCGCAACCTTTTGGTGTACGGGGCAACACTCCCCCTGCCCCCACTGAACCATCTAGGCAGGGACAGCTCAGCCTTCTTAATCATATCGGCAAAGTCCATTTGGCCGCATAGAATTTCCATACGTTCCAGGAATGAGGGTGTAGACCTATTCAAGAACCATTCCTATGTCTCTCCGACGGTCATTTGGACGTCTCCGAACTTTGGGCTTCGCCTTGTAAGTTCCAAATCCTGGATCTGACCGTTCCTCAGGGCATCTCTGTTCACAGCCATTGGAACCTGGGTGGCCGTCGGCACACGGCTACCGTGGCCTGACTGTGCGGACGAAGCCCCCAGGTGGGACTCAGACAAATTCGAGGGAAACCTTCGTGGGACAATGGAGCAGGAGGTTGGCAAAGGGCCGTCGGGCCCTGGCTGGCGTGGCTCAGTAGATTGAGCACTGGTTCGATTCCCAGTCAGGGCACAGGCCTGGGTTGCAGGCCGGGTCCCCAGTAGGGGGCGCATGAGAGGCAACCACACATCGATATTTCTCTCCCTCTCTTCCTCCCTTCCTCTCACTCTAACAATAAGTAAATAAAATCTTTAAAAAAAGCGGCAGGGGGGGCCAGGGTACTGACCCCCCCCGCCCAGGGGCACAGTGCATGAAACCAGGCAAAGAAACATACACATGCAGGACATGAAAAGGGTGTAGGGGAGTTAGACACCCCAACGTGAAGCTTGTCAGGCATTGACGTATTTAATTTCCATGTTTATCTATAATATCCCCTTTATGTACGGAACACAGGGATGCATGTTAAACACATAGCCAACGCTGACGTCAACACATTCACTGTTTTGAAAGAGTAAACTTTCTAAATAAAAGGCTGTTCGGCCACATAACTTTGGCCAGTATGGTTTCGAATCTTTGCGGTACATCAACTAACATTGTCTTTATAATCACTAGGTTCTGAATTTGAATAGAATGTGGCCACAATGGATGAGTGTACTCTCTGAATGCAAGGCCTGCATACGGAATTCAAACCTGAGTCTATTAGCAGGTGAACAGACACACAAAATGTGGTCTATTGGTACAGCGGAATATTACTTGGCCATGAAAAAGGAAAGCCACAACCTGCGTGATGCAAGACCGATGGACCTATAAAACATTGTGTGGAGTAAAAACAGCCGCAAAGGACTACATATTGAATAATTTCATTGATGTAAAATGTTTGAATGGGAAAACATACAGAGAGAGAAATAAGTTGGTAGCTGCCAGGGCTGGGAGTAAGGGGAAATGGTGAATAATTAGAAGTGGGTACCTGAGCTTCCTTTTCAGGTGATGAAAATATTCAGTAATTAAGTAGCGGTGGCGGCTGTGCCATTCTGTGAACGTACTAACAACCAGTGACTAGTGCAAAGAAGAATCAAAGCTGAACAGGACAAATGGTAACGTCCGCCCTCCATAGACAAGCAAAGTTCTTGGTCAGTAGAGTTTGCTGCGTCTCCTAAGGGACATAGCCTCATTCCCGCGGAGGGGTTGGGGATGGGCACGAAGGCCCCAGGCGAGAACCCGGGGGTCTGTCAGCCTTACCTTTGTAGATCCCATTCCAGCCCCCATATTGCTGGTCTCCCACTTGAGACTCCAAGGATCCGCCGTGATCCGACGCAAAGTAAACCAGCGTCTTGTTGGTCAGACCTTCTGTGTCCAGAATACCAAGGATCTGCCCTGCAAAGAGTTGGCGCATTTGAGCCGGACAAAATAGAAGACCATGTTCAAGCCATGTTATTCACGGGTGTGCTAGCATTTTGGACGTTCTCAAAAACGAATCTTTCGTGCTGACGCACAACGGTAGTGAGTGGTCACGTAGCTGTGCTCTTCTGCGCATCCTTGATTCAAGAGCGACGCCTCTTTCTATAGAGGCCGCATTTTGTTTCTAAAATGTTTTAGGCATGCTGCTAGGGTATATGCTACAGAGGACAGAAATGGTAAAAACTTACGATGGAGACAAAAGAAGATTACCGGAAAGAAAAAAAAAAAAAGGTAGGAACAAGGAGAGTCTAGGAAGGACGCTGATTATGGAAGGGACATGTATGTCCCTTGGGGAAAAATAGGGTTCAGAGCTGTGGGTGTAAGTTCTTTGAAGTTACACAAAAGATGTCTTCCGCCCACGTTCATTGCTGTGTGTTTCACAATACCTGAGCCATGGGTGCAACCTCGGTGTCTGTCGGTGGATAACGGGATAGAGATGTGCTCGATCCACATAGTGGAATGTTACTCCGCCATGAAAAGGAAGAAAACGGAGCCAAACGCAACAGCATAGAGGGAACTCCAGGGCGTAATGGGGAGATGAGTCAGACAGAGAAATGCAAAGACAAAGACAAAGACAATTGTCTATCCAGTTATGTTTTAGTCAACCGGATCCGTCTCTCTCTTTAACAATCTTTGTTCCAACTTTTGGCTGTGTATTCCTCTTTCCTTGTTTTTCTTTGGAACAAGGATTTAAGATTTGTGATGTTATTGATTTTCCTTCCCCAAAATGAGTAGGTTTACTTTTTAGAACAGCGTGAGACTGAACAGAGAAGCTGGGCCATGTTGTAATTGATGAGCCAATCTTGATACACTGTTAAAGTCATTGTTGGTGTGCGCTCTATAGTGTTTGATAAACGCGTAGTCATGCATCCATCATTATGGTATCAGATGGAATAGTTCCTGTGCCCTAAAACTCCTCTCTGTCCCACCTACCCACATCTTACAATAATACTATTTTTGAAATGATCATACAATTGTTTGGCCGAGTTTTAAATTGGGAGAGAGAAAAAGTGAATAGAGTGAAAATATACTTTAACTGTACTCTGTGATGGGTTTCCTAGCTTGATGACTTTAAGGGAATTCTTCATTCTGAACTTAAGGGAATTTACAGTCTGTACTGTAAAATTTCAGTCTTTTTCATTCCATAAGTATCAGATTACATACATCTGTGCATTTATTCATTTGAAAGATTTATTCCCCCCAAATGGGGCATTGCGAATTCAATTGGAAAAAACACAGTATTTGACATCACATAAAGCAGTCTCTGTTTTCCAGTGATTTCTTTGTCTTTTCTACACGATGGCCCCTAGTGACAACAATGGGCAAGTTTTTGTAAAATAAACTTGTTCTTTGCAATAATAGGTGCATTTCTTTTAGGGTGAATGGGGTCAGTCATTCTACAGAAAGGATGTAAAATGAACTGTCGAACACATGTTTTCCAACATCTATCATTTTTCATCCCCATCACGCATTTTTACTCTAAGACGGTGTTTACAGAAGATTAAAAAAAAACCATTTCCCTTAAAATGTCGGCTTACAAGCCTTCCCCAGCCCCTGACCCTCCCCCCGCCGCCCCCATGATGCCACGTGCATGGGAAGATGGAGGAGTAATTTGGAATACTTCAGACCCTGAGCAGCCCACGAGATTGCAATACATATGCCGGTGTCCTCTATCTCTATGCCTCATCAGTTCCCTTTCCCATCTGTGATCTCCTTCCCTGCTGCTGGGTGAGGCGACCGCACACTGTCACCAGAAAGAGGCACTTACCCACCATCCAATCCATCTCCTGCACATTGTCCCCGTATAGCCCGTGGAGGCTCTGCCCGAGGAAATTCTCAGTAGTGAAGAGCGGGGTGTGGACGTGTAGAAAGGACACAAACAGAAGGAAAGGTCCCTGCTTGTTCCTACAAAGAAACATGACAGGACAAGAGTTCATTTGTTTTTGGAAAAAAAAAAACCAGAGATTGGAGTCCTAGGGCTACAAGATAGCCATTGGGATGCTCTTGTCCTTGCGCAAGTATTTGTCTTTGCGGTTCAATGCACCAGGAGCAAACACATCGAACTCTAAATGGGAGACTGTGTTTATCTTCAAGTGTGTTTCATGGGGTGATGTTTCCCTTTCAAAGGCTGTTGAAAAGTCAACACTGGTTTTATGCATCTTACCGATTATCATTTTTTTTTTTAACTGACCATCTTCTGACCACTGAAATTAAGAACATCAGTTGACTCTGCGATAGGATGTTTCTTTTGTTCCATCATTTCCATATGTGTTTCCAGCTCAAACTTTGGCTCATGAAGTTAGTGATATTGCATATTCAGTGAAGCTTGGGGCATGGACTTTTAATGAAAGAACACACGTTAAAAATTAGGTGTAATAGGTTATCAGTTTCTCTTTGCTTCTCCCTTATCTATGCAGGGCCTCACTTTTCCTTCTCCATTTCTGAATTTTATGATCTAATTTCTGTCTCATAGATTTTAATTCTTGTCCCATAAAATGGAATACTAACTCTTAAGCTGTAGATGCAAAGGTGGAGACCTTAATCGGAAGTAGGACCTGTCCGACTCACGGGTCTCAATTTACAAGTTAACGATCAGCTTCATACCTTACGCACAGGATGCGATTCCATCAAGACTTCTCAAAGAATGTTCTAGAACATGATCACGGTGGCATTGCTACAAGGTGGTTCCACTTCCCTGGAAGACCCTTGGGGGGCATGGAGCTGCCTCTGTGTGTAGTGTCATTTTTTGTCACGCGCCTGTTGCTCTGACACAGTTCCCTCATCACTCCAATTGAAATCCAGTCTGAAGGGCGCCTCAGAACCCTTTAGTCTTGATGATGGAGTTTAAAAAGATTTCGAATTTTTTGTAAAGAGCGGTGAGGCGATTCATTTTGTTGTGTTAGTTCAACGTGGCCTGTAGTGGTGGTGGTGGGGGGGCGGCTAATGGAATGGGATTTTTCCCTAAGAGTAAAAGGGGACAGCTTTCATTTTAACAGAACCGTCCCCTGTTTGAATGGACACCACCTAGTTAGGCTGAGGGAGACACCAGCCGTGGGCTCATTTGAACAAAAACGTGTTTCTGGGTCCCCCCCCATTTCACCATCCGAACACGCATGACGGAAGAAGACTTCAGAACACACTTCTGTCATGAAACAGAGCACTGAGATGAGGTGGGCCCTTTGGTGCTCACCTTTTGAGAAAGGTCGAGGCCTCCTTGAGGAAGAGAGACGTCGTCCTTGACAAGTTCATGGGCTGCTCGGTGATGCTGTGATTTCTCATCAGAAAGCAGTCCGCGTGAATAATCAGCACACCGATCAAATGAGAAGCCATAAACAACAAGACGGCCAGAAGGGTTGACCAGATGGCCGGTGCCCACGAGATGGCCAGGAGGTGGGTGCTCTTCCCAGCCGTGAGTGTTAGAGCAGCGAGGGCCATCAGCTGCATGTAGAAGTTGAGTTTGCTCTCCAGGACGCTCCGCTTTTCTGATATTTCAAAGGAAGCACAATCTGCCATCAGGCTGATAGGCATCCCAAAGAAATGGTCAAACCCGTGGTTGAGGGGGTGGTGGCAGTGGTCCTCGGAAGATTCACAGTTGAGACCCACGTGCCATTTTCCTGAAAGGCAGAAAGGATGTTGGAGTGACCGCGCACGCATCGCCCTCCTTGGAGGCACGTGGGGCGTGCCCGGTGTCCTTAGCTTTATTTCATGGCACCATGACAGAGTTTGCGGACCTGTCAAGAGATAAGAATGCTATGCGTGGAAGCCAAGAAAGAACAAAGCAGTCACATTTGTATTCAGAAAATAAAGAAAACTGCATGAGGGAAGTAGGGGGAACATCGGTAAAATGAGAAGAAAATTCGTGTTTTTGATGATGGTGCATCAGCACAGTGGCCCGTCCAGTTTGGCCGCTGTTTCCTCAACCGGTACCGTGCCCGCAATACCCTGGCTCATGATGTGAAGGCTGCTGGCTGCACGGAGCTTCCTTTCCAGTGGAAAAACCCACCCTGTCAGCACCCACTCACTCCCAGACCTTGCAGGGGACTACGTGCTCCGTAGAAAAGGAACGTTGCGTAGGCTTGAAAATGAACATACCTATCAGTCCCGTAGCATAGCCTCCATCTTTCAATATTTTCGCGAACGTTGTCTCATTGGTCGGAAGGCCTCCGGGGACCGCGGTCCAGAGGAGAACGCGATGGCCGTGGCTGGACACCATGCCTGCCATCGATTGTTTTCAGAGAAAGGTCAGCGTCAAGCACAGCTCTTTACCGTTCTTGTTTTAATGGTTAAACTTAAAAACCAATTTTGTATGTTCCAATTGCAGGTGACCTCCGGTGTCATATTCGTTTCGGGTGTGCGGTGTAGCGGTTACACATTTATCACATACGACTTACAAAGGGTTCCCTTTGATATTTTTGGGGCCCCCCCTGATCCCACACATGGGTACGCTCTGTGATTGACTCTATTCCCCGCGCTGCCGTTTACATTCTGTGGCTATTCTGTAACTACCCATCGGTGCTTCTTAATCCCTCCCCTTTTCTACCCAGCCCCCCAAGCCCCCTCCCCTCTGGTAGGTAACAGTCTGCTCTGTGCATCTATAACTCTGTTTCTGTTTTGTTTGTTGGTTTACTTGGTTCATTAGCTTCCACATGGAAGTGAAATCATCTGGTTTGCGTCTTTCTCTGTCTGACGTATTTCACTGAGTGGAACACCTACCCGGTTCATCTATGTTGTTCCAAATGGCAAGATTTCCTTCTTTTTTTTGGCTGAAATACATTTCATCATCCCTATGGACCACATCTTCTTTATCCCATTATTTACTGAGGGGCAGTTTTTAAATCATTACTGTCCGTTTTAAATGTAGAATATTTGGTAAAAATCGCTATTAGCCAAATCTAAGTGGAAAGTGTGCTTCTGACATGCCTTTGTATCCGGAATCATATTTTCTGCAGCTAATAAAATGGTCAATTAATCAAGAAAGTTGGTGAGAAGAGTTATTGTTTGGTATGTCAAGGTTATCACCAAAAAGAGAACTCCATGAAAAAGAAAGAATTAAAAATGGTTTTATGATTTCATCAAACTCTTGATATCACCCAGGGGTTCTCACATGCGTCCGGGCATTGGAATCATTCAGGAATGTCAAAATCGTCAGATGCCTGGTTATCAGTCTAGGGATTGTGGTTTTATTGAACAGCTGGCCTGCAGTGGAGTTTGTGGTGTGCAATGCCTGCAAGATGCTACCCGGTGATTCTAAGGCATTGGCACAGTTAGGCATGTTCAAATGGTCGGGAAAAAGACGTGGACTCCGGACGTGTATTGCGTAACATGTGACATGACGTGATATTCGTGTGTCAGCACTGGCAGCCACGGCCACTGGTGTGTGTATCGTCGATAGATGTTTCTGAGCTGCAGCAGCGTTCTGTGCTGGCTGCCCTCGAGGCCCAAAGAATTTCTTCCCTAGCCCTTCACAGAACCCGTTTGTCAAGTCCTTCCTCGTGTGCTCACCCCCATCTCGGGAGCCCGTCCTTCGCCACGGAGCTCTTTAAATGAGTCAGCTCACTAGTGTGATGAAACGCGGGGACCTTGGCCTTGGCCAGGTGGCTCGCTGGGTTAGAGCGTCATCGTGCTATGCCAAGGCTGTGGGTTCGGGCACGCCCAAGAATCAACCTGTGGCCTTGGCCCGGCGGCTCGGTAGATTGGAGCGTTGACTTGCATACTAAATAAGGTCACACGTTTGATGCCCGGTCAGGGCCCATGCGTGCGTTGTGGGTTCGATTCCCAGTTCGGGTGTGTGCGGGAGGCGGCCAATGGATGTCTCTCTCTTGCGTCAACGTTTCTCTCTCCTGTCTCTCTCTCCCCCTCTCCCCCCCGCCCGCACCTCTGTCTTTCTCCTTCTCCTTTCCTCGCTCTCTAAAATCCATAAAACATATCCTTGCATGAAGATTAAAGAAAACGCAGGGACCAGGACCCTTCTCTTCCGCTGTCCTGGAGGGTCCATATTTCACAGCCCGAACTCGAGAAGCTAAAAGCTAGAGGCAGCCCATCCCTGTTCCTGAGGTTCGCGACAAGAGAGGCCAAACCTGATCGGAGGGGATATCTGCCCGTGAGGAACGCGGCCCGGCTGGGGGTGCAAACGGAGGCCGCCGAGAGGTGCTGGGTGAGCCGTACGCCGTCCCGTGCGAGGCGGTCGATGTTTGGAGTCCTACGGAGAAAAACACGATTCGTTTTATTCCTTAACCAACAACCGCACGGCTTTTCTAACCAACGTCTGCCGCTCGCTCCTGGATACAGCCAGGTGATCCTAGGAACGACCAAAAGCTCGGGCAACAAGTTTGTGTGTCTTCGGAGCCATGAGAGAAATTCCTCGAGTCGCCCTGGCCGGGTGCCGCCGTGGGTGGGGTGAGGTCCCATAAACCGAAAAGTTATGGCTTTGATTCCTGCCCAAGCCACTCAGCTGGGCTGAGGGTTTGGGCCCCCGGCCGCGCTCGTACAGGAGGCCACCGATCGACGCTGCTCTCTCACGTCCATGGGTCTCTCCCTCCCTCTCTCCCTCCCGTCCCCTCTAAGCAAGCCCTTGGGTGAGGATTCAAAAGCACCATTCAAAGAAAGAGCAGAAACCTAGGTACTGCGTTTCTGCAACTGAAAGACCTATCGTGAGGAATCCAGAAGGTAGGGTCTTTCTGACTCGGGCCTCGCAGTGTCGTTTGGAAGAATCTACCGGGTGCCAGGCACACGTGCGGGAGGACACGTGACAGGGGAGTCAGACAGAGCGTCCCCGTGGCCTCCAAGGGCTGCAGGTAGAAGGAGACCACGGAGGCGTGCGCATTGGGAGGAGTAGGGACTCAGGGGCCCAGGTCCGATCCTGAGATCACGAGGACCCGGGCTTGTCTGGGTGAATTAGAGGTGTTTGTCGGGCAGCGTTGGCATCTCGCACGAGCGGGTGTTTGTGGGATGGATGGAGGCGCAAGAGGGACGGAGCTAACAGGCCAGGAGGGTTTGAAGGCCGTTGTTCCCCGCGGGGCGTGTCGATGGCCAGCGCATTTGAAAGCGAAAAGTGGACGGCTGTGTGGCAGGCCCCTGAGGGCGGGCTGTTGAGGGCTCGGGGATCCTACAGGCCGCGTGCGCAGTTCTGGTACGTTAAATCGCCCACACCAAGGGGAGAGGCCTTGCAATGGCCACTTCCGGGCAACTGGGTCCTTCTTGCCTGATGGTGTCGTTGCCATAGCAGCCGATGTCCCCGATGCCAAGGTCGTCCGCCAGGAAAAGCAGGATGTTGGGGCGGGAGCCGGAGACATCGCCTCCCTCGGAGAGCCTGCAGCCCAGGACGCCGATAGCCACCACCAGCCAGCTCCTGAAAAACAAGCTACCAGACCCGCGCCGAATGCGGCTCCCCGTCTCACGCACGGGACTTCTCTATGTAGAACGCGGGTGTCGCTCTGGTACGGGACCCTGACCGTGTCACCCCGTGGCCGGAGACGTCGAATGCATCTCTCAGGCCTTTGGCTGTTTGTTAGTTTTCCCAGTTCAAAACAGCGCCTGCCTTTGTGCGCGGGACCCGGGCCGTGCGCGGAAACAGAAGGGCCGCAGTCCTCCCATGGCTGGGGGCATGAAATGAAGGGCTGTTACGGCCTCCTGGGCAAAGCAGGTGCCCGGCCGGCCCGCCCGTGGGACAGGACAGAGTGCAAATGTCACAGTACCGTCTGATGCCAGCTGGCCCCAGGAGACCCCCCACCCTGGACGCCTACTTGGATGGGGAAGAGGGGGACACAGTGCCTTCTGAAGTCGCCCTGGAGGGCGCCAGGTGGGGGCCCCACAGTGCACGTCCGCGGACCGCGCGTCCCACGCCCGGGGGTCTGAGACCCACGACGCATGCCTCATCGAGGAAGACCCGCTGTGGTAGGTGCGTCCCGCGAAGACATGCGGAGGCTGGGGTGCCAGATGTGCCACCGGGGAGAGCCCCGCCTTACCCAGAACGTTCCGGAGGTGACGTGTTCTCTCCTGCTTCTTGTTTCCTGCGGGGAGGAGAGAGATGCATCATCAGCGACAGCCGAAAGGGAACTCATTCGATGACTCAAATAGGAAGCGTGTAATGAAAAGGGGACTTGGGTTATTTCTGCTACGATCAATAAAACCATAAAACAACTACTAGGAAACACTCATAAAATAGTGCTCTGCCTTCTGGGAAGGTTTTAAAGACACGTATGTTGGGGTTTTCTGCTCAGGGGGCCGCGCTGCTCCTTCTGGGGTGTTGTGGGGTGAGAGCCAGCAGAGACAAAGCACCGACGATGCGGGGCCGGTGTTTGCTGATACCACTTTATTCGCAGAAACACGCCGGGTTTGTCCGCGAATTAGTTTCCGGTCCCTCATCCAGAAAGAGCAAGTGTAAAAGGAGGAAAAACGCAAAATGAAAGGACAAGACTATCTCTATGGGATCGTCTTCCCTGCAGTCCTTGTTCGCGGTGGTAACTGCGCACAACAACTCCACCTGTAAACATGGGTCCGGGGAGCACTGGACACATTCATTGTTCCGTCCTCACGGTCACACCCTCCACAGGGGTTTTCCTCTTGGGAACCTGGACGTCTGTCCTAAAGACCCTGCCCCCTCCCAACTCTTGGCACCATCTCCGCTTTGTCTCTGGGCCCAAGACCCCTGCAGGGACCACCCGGATGTGGAATCACACACAGGACGCGTTTTGCTGCGACCGGCTGTCCCTGAGCCTCAGGTCTCCAAGTCTTGGAGATGGAATGCGCAGCAAGGATGCACCACCCTGTTTGGCTGGAGGCTGGGACGGAGGCAGAACATTGCCCACCTGACGTGACTATCCAAGGGGACCGTCTGCTTGTCAAGTGGAAATCAGGACGCAGCAAGGAGACTGACCGCGCTCATGTATTTTCCCACCCCCTCGACACGCGTCCTCTCTTTCATTTGTTCCCCTTGGGCGATTTCTGCGGGGCACAGATCGTAAGGCATTATCTCTTTGGGAGTCTACCTGACTAATTAATAGATAAATACACCTGCTATAAACTGTACGTTATAGAATGCATAGGACCTGCGTATTTTATAAAACACATTTCTGTATCATATACTCAAAGGTAGATATGATTTTTCCCATGCGTCTGTTTTAATTTTGTTTTCAGAAAAAGCACAGTGGGTAAGTGCTTAAAAAAGCCGTGGGACGGTCAACCCCATGGCATAGTACGCAGCCGTGAAAAAGGAGGAACTGTTGGAATTGTTCCCTTTTGCGACAGCCTGGCGGGGGGACCTGGAGAACATTATGCCCAGTGAAATCAGCCAGGAGGAGCAATACCGTACGATCTGCGTCTTATGTGGAGTCTAATGAACAAAATACAGTGAGGAAGAAAACAGGAACAGAGCCCGGGACGCATGGGCAGACTGGTAGCTGCCAGAGCGGAGGGGAGGGGACCGGGGGAAGGAAGGGGACGCGAGCAGCCGAAGCACATGGGTGTGTGACCCGCTGACCCGGACAACCGTGTGGCGTGGCTGCAGCGAAGGGGGCGGGGGCTGGGAGCAGGGCTGCCAACGAGGGGGACGATGCTCACGTCTCTAATAGCATCCATTATACAAATCAACACGAAAGGAACAAAAGCTGATGGGAACTGCGCCTGCCTTTGGTAGGGCATGCGGCTGGCTGCGTTTGCAGCTTTTCTATGGCGAGAGTCGGGCGTGTCTGTACGTGGCTCCCTCCCGGCGGGAAAGCGGGGTGCGGCTTTGTTGGCGCCCAGCGTTGGCCTCCCTCTTCCATCGCAGAATCTACGCGTTTAGAGACAGCCAACGGTGACCGTGTGACGCCGTTGCTCTACGGTCCGGAGGGCCGCCCTAGCCGCGCGGCACGCCCGACTTCCCCTTCGCGCCGGTGCCAGACGCGACTCTCCGTAACAAAAATAGAGAGAAACCAGAGAAAACAGAAAGGTGGCCCCCCTTGTGCAGGGTGGGGGCGTGCGGTTGAAGGGTGCCAGCTTGCAAGTAGCAGTCACTCGGGGGGGTTGGCTGACCTCCTGCCCAGGGCGGAGAATGTGCAACACTGTGTCACCGCGCGCCCGGCCCTGGGCAGATAGTTTACATCTTCATTGTTGACAAGAGTAGCTAAATGATGGTGATTACGTAAGGTCATGACCGGGTGTCCTCTGGAAACGGCGGCCCTGGCCTCCCAAGACCGGAGTGGACGCACAAGCCTACAGGGGAGCGCACCCCGCCTTACCTGTCCGTTAGAGCTCCACGTCAGCAAAGGCTCCTAGAACGAGATAGGCAGCCCTTTGATGCCCCAGAACCCACCCATCCTTTAGCCTTGGCTTCTGGGCCAAGGGCAGAAGGAGCTCTCTGGGGTCCGGCTGTCGGCCAGGCCCGAGGCAGGCAGCCTGGCATCACCGCGAGCCTTGGTCCTGTTCCCAAACTGTGGCCGGAGCCTTTCCAGCGTCTCTTGCAAACCCAGTCCACAGGCTGTGCTTTCTCTACGGACCGAATCTGTCCCTTTCCTGCCCCCTCGGTACCCTTTTGGGGTCGATCGGTGCTCTGCATCCCCCGCCTCCCGCCCCGGGGAAAATCTGTTCTGCCTGTTTTCCTCTTTCACGTGGAAGACAATTTCTTCTTCCTCCCAGTGCAAGGAGGCACAGCCCCAAGAAGCCACAGTGTGCCGCTTCCAACAGTCCCCCCTCCCCCGTCCCCAGCCTGTCCCTGTGCAGGGGGACAGGGCCTACGTGTCCCCAGAGAGAAGCCGGTTACCTAATGGCGGGTGGGCTGTGGCAGGCTGGGCTGCGGGACATCACGACGCGGCTCATCCTCCGAAAGCCTTCCTGCCCCACCGAGGACAGAGTCTCTTGCCGGCCCCACGTCGCCCCCTCTGCGGTCCGGGCGCCGCTGATTCGCTCTGCAAAGAAACAGGAATTCCAAGGATGCCGACTCCGGCCCCGCAGAGAGCAGAGCGAACAGGGCGCCTGCTCCAGATGCCTGTCGGCGCTGCTCTGCCAGCAGGGAGCCTGTGTGAGCCGGCCCACTTCCTCCAACAGAGACTGTTTTATTTACCCACGGCTTCTGGTCTTCCCTCAGCCCAGGAAGGCATGGCCTGGCTGTGTGTCAGGCCCGGAAAACCGCTGCCTGTAAGATTCTGGAGTGACTTTCCTTCCCCCTTCTGACCCTCCTGCAGAAACAGAAAGGGGACGCAAAGTCTGTACAAAGGCGGCTTCAGCGACCGACAGGAGCGAATCGCGCTTTGGTTGGGTCACACTTCGCGTCTATGCTTGCAGGCTTCCTTTGCGCTGTGGGCCCCCCTGCCCCATGGTTTCCCGTTTCTTATTCATTAAGAAACACTTTTTTCCCCCATTGGGTTGGGCCACATATCTTTCAGGCAACGTCGCAGGTAAAAATCCTTCTTGTCAAAGGTGTTTCGAAATAAGAACTTTCTGCGCTTGTGCGGATGTTGAATCAGGTTAAAAAACACAGTGTATTTTCAAAGCCCAACGTGCATGTTTATACGGAACGGCCGGTGCATTGCCGCTTTCATTTGAGACGCATGTGGCTAAATAACCGTGTTTTAGCGAGGGGGTCGCCTGGGACAACTCTTATCTTTTTTTTTTTCTTTCCCCTCACCTGAGGACCTGTTTGTTAATTTTACAGAGGGGCAGGGAGGCCCAAGCAGAGGGACAGAAACATTCATGGGAGAGAGAAATCACAAGCAGTGGTCAAACCTGCAGCCCAGGTGTGTGCCCGGACTGGGAACCGAATGAGCAACGTGTGGGTGCGCGGGACCGCGCCCCAACCCATTATACCACACTGCCCAGCCCAGGGAGGATTCCTGAGGGATTTAACAAACCCAAACAACGAAGCATAGCCACACCTACCATGGGAAGCCGTGCGTACTGCATGCTGGTTACAGAAGGCTCTCAAAACACTTGCTATTCTTTTTCCCCACTGTCCACCGACAATGAAAGAAAGCACAGGTCTCTGGGATCCGTACTCAAAATTCCCACCTCGTCTCTCGCTCTGTGTGCCTTCTCTTCCTTCTCTTTCTTTCCTTCTCACTTCTATTTGCTTTATCCTGCGTTTGGCGTTCCCGTGTTACTGTTCACGATGACAAAGGGCGTAACGTGAAAATGTCCCTGTCGACGATGCGTGTTTCCAGAGGGCCTATGGGGACACGCATGTGGTTAGAGTACTCACTCCGTCTCTGACGCAATGGCCTGGGGGTAAACATGTGCCTGCCACGGTAAAATGGACCGTTGCCTTCCATGCGCAAACGTCTTACATGGTGGTGACCTGTTTTTTTAAAACTCAATAAAGGTTGTTTTCAATCGCAAGTGTCGGCATCGATTTTGAAACAGGTCCCCACACGCCTTGCGCCGGTTCTGCCCTGTTTTCGGCGATCGTGACTGGATTTGCCGGTATCGTGAGACCTTCCATCGCTCCTCCGGCCCGCGTGCCGCAGGACTGGGGCTCCTTTGGATTATGTTTTTTTCCAGGCAGCCAGTTACGGCTCTGCAAACACGGGCTCAGAGAATTCAACCACCGCCAGGAGCGCAGATTCGACGCCCTCTGCCGTCGTAACAGGGGACCCTGAGGCTCTCAGAGCTCCAGTCCACGGGCAGGGTCCCGACCAGCAGGTCAGCAGCCCAGCTACACGTCTGAACCAAGGCTCGTGTTCAAACCCTGGGCTGCAATGCTTCTTCTGAAAGGACTGGTTCTCCTTCACCAAGTCGGACCCGAAGACCAGGTCTCAGCCCATTCTCAGCGGCTGCATGTCGCCCTTTGAGACGTCAGGAGTGGGCGCGGGTCTAGGGCGGCCGGGGTGGGGGGGTCTCCCCCCGCCCCCCCTTCCAGCCCTTTCTCACCGAACATGTCCACTCCTGACATGGGATGGCTCAGTCTCTTGTGGGGGCTGCTGTTTTCAAGAGCTGAGCGTTTATTCAAATGATGTAGCATTTCATAAATCTGAAGAGGCGAGAAAAAGGGTTAAAATCCTATCCACGGCAAGTTCAGCAAAACGGAGTATAATGTCCCACCAGGTTGGTGGATAACGGATCGACGTTCCTTTCCCCAAAATAACAAGTATGTGCAGGCTGGGAGGTCGCACGTGGACACCCAGATTCCTGGGGTGCCCCTCCTATCTTGACCAAGGTGGGGAAATTTCAGAAGATGCTGAACCTCCTGAGTCGTCTTTGTAACAGACGATGCATCCATCTCACAGAGCCATGGCCTGTTACATTTTTAAAACATTAGATTTGGCCTTGGCTGGTGTAGCTCAGTGGACGGAGCGCCGGCCTGCGAACCAAAGGGTCGCTGGTTCGATTCCCAGTCAGGGCACCTGCCTGGGTTGCGGGCCAGGTTCCCAGTGGGGGGGGGCGCGTGAGTGGCAACCTCACGTGGATGTTTCTCTCCCTCTCTCCCTCCCTCCGTTCCCGTCTCTAAAAATAAATAAATAAATAAGAAACATTTAAAAAAATAAGTAAAAATAAAAAATTGGATTCGAACCCTGGGTTGTCCAAAACTCAAAATCAGGGTGTGCTATGAACACACACACACACACACACACACACACACACACACACTGGAATATTCCTCAGCCATGGAAAAAGAATAGAACCTTACCATTTGTAACCCAACCGAGGGACCTAGAGGGCATTATGTGAAGTTAATTATAAAACACTTTATTGTTACAAAGGGGACATGTTGGCTCCCCGCCGCGGCCCGCCCTCCCCGCTCGCCGCCGGGCAACGCGCCACGCTCGTGAGAAAGAATGCATGTCCCCCTCTATTCATAGCTGTGCTATTTACAAGAGCCCCCAGCCGGACCCAGCCCCAGCCCCAGCAGCCGCCAATATGCACGTGGATCCAAAAACGGAGAGCCTTCCCACACAGCCTACTGCATGGCCTGAACCAAGAAGGAATCTCACCTGGCAGTGCGTTCATGGATGGAAGCGGGGGGGGGGGAGCTTTTAAAAAGAAATGGTTGCGGCAGAACACCTGTCCGCTATCATGCCGTCTCATGCCGTCCCTTTAATTATGAATGTGTGTTTAAGACCCATCAGAAGACACAGAGGAAAGCATTCGTTCCTAAATGACTATGTAGCTGCTGTCATGCCAGGTCATGTTTACTTATCAAAACGATGGGCAGCCATGCACGGGGCCCCGCCGTGGCCCTGAATAAATATTTAATTATGATAACGAGCACAGGAACACACAGTGCGGTCGGGATCTCCGTGTCCCTGGACCCGCGCTCACACATGTGGAAGGGGCGGAGACAACTTGTTGGAAGTGAGTAGAATATGTCCACTGGACCCTCCTTCCGGTTCCGTGCGCTGAGATGCCCGGGGGGCGGGGCGGGGGGCGCGGAGGGTTCGGAGCAGAGGATGTAGGTAATTAAATCAACTCTTTCCAAAGTTCTGGAATTGGAGGTGCATGGAATTTTGCGATGTGTCACGTGTGGTCTGTCTGCTTTCACGCAGCCGTCTCCTTTCCAGGTCTAGAGGTGATGTTGTCTGGATCAATAGCTTCTCCCTTCCTGTTGTTGCAAAATACGGCGCTGGACGCTGGCTGTCGCGGGCTTGGTGCATGGGCTCGCCTGTGTGGGGACAGGCGGGCCGTCAAAATTGGTTTTCCATAGTGGGTTTTGTCTGTTGGAGAATGTTTATGCCGTTCTCCGGAAGGCAAGGAGGGGAACCCACCAAAGATCGCGGCAGTGGGGGATGTGTGTGTGGTCGTAAAATGATGATATCTGTACAAGTAACTGTGTGGACCTCAAAAGTGGTCTCTTCTTTTTGGCAAGGGTCTCTGGTACAGTCTGGGAAGAGTTACGCGGCTTGTCCCATTGCTGTGAACAAATGAACAGAAAACCAGTGCTGATTAGAAGTGCGCACAGAGCAGAGTCATCCTGCCAATTCAGAAACCGGGCTCCTGGCCTCTAAACTTACTTCCTAATGGGTATCATTTATTTACTTTTACTAGTGGAGTTTTTCTTCATGAGACGCAAACCATGGAAGGACAGGGTCTATATTACCCAACGAGAAAACTAGCTTTATCTTCATTGTTGGGGGCGGGGGAAATAGAAAGTCTCTCATAGCAGATGCCTTTAAATATTTTCATCTTGCTGAGTATCCTTTCTTACATTGGTGGTGAGTAAGGTTCCAAGAATCAGTTCCTCTGAGGCAGCTTGGAAGACGTTACGGGATGTGTGTGAATCCCTTCCAAAATCTCCTACGTAGGAGCTGGATGATTCTTACTAAGTTCTCTCCCATAGGGACGGAGTGAATTAAACGAAGGACGAAACCGCTATCTAACTTTTCACCGTGGCTTCATTTAAATTGGAAAAGAATGGAACGGCAAGGCTTCTGTTGGAAATCAACAACTGTACACTGAGAGAGTGAGAATGTTGTGCCACTGACAATCAGCATCAGCTGTCGGGCACAAAGATACTTTTCCACTGGTCCCGTTGCGTGGACCTCGCTGGAGAGACAGGATGATTTCGCCTAGTTGGGGACACCTGGTGGTGTTGGGGGACACTTTTGGTTGTTTACCTGGGGAAGGGTCCCCTGGAATCTGGTGGGTGGGGACCATGCACGTGAGCTCCTTCCAGTGCCCGGGACACGCCCCCACGGAGAAGGGTCCAGCCCCGAACGGATGTCAGCTGCGCTGAGAGCAATGGGTCCTGTCTCTGTCTACCATGTACATCTGTCTGTCTATCTGTCCATCATCTACCTACGTGTCATCTATGCATTATGTACTTCTCATCTGTTGTCTATCTATCCATCATTCATCTATCGATCTATCATATATGCATTATCTATCTATCATGTATCTATCATCTGCTCATCCCTGCATCCATCTAGCCTCTATCAATCACCTACCTGTGTATCTATCATTTCTCTATCCGCCTATGTTCCAGCTCTCTCTCTGTTCGATGATCCCTTATCTCCCTCTACGTCTCCACACCTACCCACCCTCTATGTGTCTGTCCGTGACACTGGTTCACAGTGAGGCATGATTTCCTCCCGGTGGGAGGAGCCGATGACAATGTCTGGAGACGTTTCTGTCACAACCGAAGAGAGGGCTCGTGGCCTCTGGCGGGTGGAGACCAGAAGCCCCGCTTGACACCCACCAGTGCCCAGGATGCGCCGAGACAGAGAGTCGCCGAGCCCCAGGGTCACTGCCGGAGGCTGAGAACCTGCTGTAACACACGCTCCCCTCACGCCCCCTACACACGTGCAGTCTGACTTCTTTCTAGATCCTTGAGCATCTCTACGCCTCGGCCACACTGACCGTTAGCGTTCGCTCCAGGTTTTGGCTCTGAGTGCGGAACCAAGAGAGGAAGGAGAGGCTGGAGTGGCAAGTACGGTCCTATCCCTTGTCCGCTTTCCGCACGGCCTGCTGATCTTTGCCCGGGTTTCCCTGGGTTCTCTGACAGCTCCAACGGGCTGCTCAATGCAGACTTCCCTCCGTATCGCCTGGGGGTCCTCCCTGGGGGTCCAGCCGCAGTGCGGTGCCTGCTTGGCCAGTCGGCGTCGCCAGTGGGGGGCGGGGCACAATTTCATGGACAGACTCCAGGCGTGGCACAGAATACGCAGCATCTATCTCTTTCCTTGGAAGAACGCAGGGGTTTCCGAGCCTGGTTTCCACGGCTGGACTGTTTTTGTTTGCCCATATCGGTAGGGAGGTGATTTCAATGGATGGGCAGGCTGTGTTTAAATTTATTGCTGTGGCTGAGAGCAGCAGCCCACTCTTGGGGTCCATTTAATTCATATAAAACGGGAACAGATGGTATTATTACCACTGGGCGTCATGGGAAAAGCACCCCTCTCCAGGTAGCCAGGCCGTGTGTCCTTGGATGAAGGGGCCCGTAAAAGTAATTACTATCTGGATTTCACCTGAGGCTGGGAAATGCCGCGTAGAGTCGGACACCTGTGTCATCAAAGAGGCCGGAGATCAAAGAAGCCACTCTCTTTACGTGACGTGTGTGAAATCACCAGTTCATCGGCCCCTTCCAGGCGCACGTTCCACGTACTATCTCTTAGACTCTACTGATCAACAACGTTGCAACAAACGTTCTCATTCTTGCCTATGGAGACTGATTTCTTTCTCGAATCGACTGGCAACGGACCCTTAGGAATTCTTTCACAGGGAGTGAGACGGTACGTTTCTTTGAATCCTTGTTAAAACTGCAGGCCACCCAACATGACATAATATTGACGCTTGGATAGCGAGGCGTACTATGTTATCCTTACAATTCAGTTTTTCTGCCTTGCTCAGGGGGCTAAGCATGTTTTTATGTGCTTCCTGACCATTGCTTTGTCTTCTTGGAATTGCCCTTTGTTTAATTCCTTGACTGCATTTTTGGCCCTTTTATAAGTTATTTGTACAAAAGATTGCAGAGAGCTTCTTCTTCTCTGAACATGGCTTGTTACTTTCCTGACAGGATGTCTTATCATATACAAGGTTTTTTTTTGTTTTGTTTTGTTTACTCATATTTGTTTCCTGTCGTTGCTCTGGCATGATTACAGAGTGGGGACTTTAAACAGCAGGAATTCGCCCCCCCACCCCCGTCCTGCAGACCCGGTGTCGGAGGTCCAGGTGCCCCAGGGCCTCGCTCCCTCCCCAGGCTCCAGGGTGGGCCCTTCCCGTCTCTCCCAGCTCCGGGGGCCCCGGCGTCCCTGGGCGGGTGGCTGCATCCCTCCCTCTCTGCCTCCGTCTCCACGTGGCGTCTCCCCTGAGTCTGGGTCTCCTCTTCTGTGTCTTCTCAGGACACTGTCCTTGTCATTGGATGTAGGGCCCCCTGTGACCCACGATGACCTCATATTGACGCAACCCCACTTCCAAAGACCTTTGTCCAAGTCTTTGTGACATTCACAGGTTCCGGGGGTTGTGGGACTTGGACGTAACTTTTCAGGGACCAACATTCAGCACATTTTGGCAGGATCTGAGGGAAATCAAGTAAAACGTGGGCTTTTGCAGAGGTGAGGAGCTGCGCACAGAAGGCCACATCTTCCTCGCGGGGACCAGCCTGGTGACCGTCTTTGATTCCCCAATGCGCTCTCCATTAAAACAGGGCATTGCCATTAACTCGTGGACACCAGACAGGGGCGGCGTTTCGCGGGGGACCGTGTGTACAGAGGCACGGGGAAGGAGAGACCCCCGTGTGTAACACACATGGGTGTGTTCCTCGTCTTTATTACATATCGTTTGTGTTGTGGGAGCTCCTGAACCTACGACTCCTCTCTGAGTTGGAGAGATTGCAGAGTCCCAGGCGGGGGGGACACCAGATTGGACCCCCCTTTTGACTCTTAGCAAAGAATGATAATTACAGCCGCTGCATGTGACCTGTGTCAAGGCCGTTCGGTTACCATGGTGACGGGCCCACGCTGTTGAAGGGAGACCTCATCCGTCAGCCACCAGCGACAGACCACACCATGATCTCCCCAACAAAGGGCCCCCCACACAAGAATTTCATCCAGCTGTTGACGCGTGGCTGCTCATTGACGACGTGCCGGCTTTCCTGCGTCTCCAGTAAAAGGTGGCCAGACCGACAGACTGTTAGAAATCTTCCCTGAGAAGTGTCCTCCCGTGAGTGGGTCGTGAGGACACTTTTGCCCTATTCTTTGTGGGCAAATGTCATCTGTTTGCAAGGGCGTGTGAAGAATATAATGCACAAACCAGGCTTGTTAACTCTTTGGCCTCCGAAGGGTCTGAGGAGAAAATGGCCTGCTTGGCAGGCCACCTGAGTAGATTCTTTCCTTCGGCAGGTAACAGCACAAGACGCTCTGAAGCCGCCAGTCTATGAACGGTAAGTGGGCGGGTCCACAAGCCTCCATCATTGACTCTATCTAGACAAGAGGGAGCTCTGTCTGGTTTTCTGCATCCTGGCTCCCATTTCGCTTGTTTGATCTACAGGGCATATGAACGGGTAGGGGCCAGTGGGCTGTGGGTAGATGGATTTGCAGAGAACTGCTTTTTTTCGTTGTTGTTGTTGTTGTGGAAGTTTTGTACACCTTGGGAGGACCAGCCCATGTGGGGATTTGTGGAAACAAAAGCCAGAATCAGAGATGGAGGCCGCCCCGGGTCCCAAGTCCCAGATCATGGCAGGAATTTTAAGGCTCCTAGATGGGCCAACGGTTCTGGGGTAACAGAGGGACGTGGCAAAGTAGCAAAGAGCTCAGCTCTGTGGGCTTGTTTGTCATGTGGGGGGTGCGATCTTAATCCCAAGAGCAATGGGACGTTACTGGGCTTCTTTAGACCGAACGCAGATGGACGGAAATGAATTTAAGATATCAAGTTTTTGCTTGTTTGTTTGTTTGTTTGTTTGTTTGTCTAATGTGCATCAAACAGAACTTGGAATTGGCCGGATGAAACTTTGGGTTGGGAAAGCAGTTTTCAGCCTGAGAACCCGTGGGTCTTGGACTTGCGGGAATCGCCTTCAACCAAGGGCTCGGGTGCACGCTCCCAACGTAGGCTCGTGTTCCGCCGGGACGTGTGGGTTGTCCCCCCCGTCGCAAGTCCAGGGGGCTATTTTAAAGGGTCCCATGTCCATCTTCACATGTCAAGAGAATGACTGGGTTTATTTGCTTTTGTTTTGCTGTTGAGGAGGCCCCACCTGTTCTGTGCACACAATTTCTTCATAAACAAAAAGACTGACTCTCTGTGCACAGATGTCGTCTAGCCCCGAAAACGGGTTGTCTGCCGTCGTGTGCTGGGCTCGGACCCAAGAAGTTACGCGAGCTTCTGCTTCACTTCCCCCTCGCAGTGACTTACACCGAAATTAGGAGGTTATAAAATGTATTAGAAACTGCAACTGAGCATTAAAATAAATCAAGCCTGACTGAGGGGCTGTTGGCTCTGGTTTTTAATTTTGTTTCCATTTTTATGCAAAGAAATCCAATGATTAAGCCTTGGACTGAATTTAAGCCACGGGTAGGATTTTTAAAATCTTCACCTGAGGATATGTTTATTGATTTGACTGAGAGAGGAATAAGGAATGAGGAAGAAAGAGAGAGAGAGAGAGAAGCACGCGTCGTATGCCTTCCATACACACCCCTGCCAGGGCTCGAACCCACACTCTTTGGGGGTACGGGACAACGCTCTAACCCGCCGAGCCACCTTGCCAGGGCGTTGATAGGATTTTTCAAAGGGCCTCCGGTCCCTAAAACCATTTGAAAAGGGTTAAGAATTTCACGTCACCCTGCACGGAAAATTAATTTGGAGATGGCCCTGTATGAACATCACACAGGATTTTAAAAAGAAATTCTGTGTTTTGAGGAAGCCTGCTCAGGCCTGTTGCATAGTGAACATTCATAAGGAATACTATTCTTTCTTATTTTAAGCTGGCTCAGAGGCAAACGCGAATTGATTATTTTATTATTATCATTTTTTTTTTGGGGCACAAATACTTTCAGAAACTGCCGGCTGACAGTATTGCCCTGTGTTGCGTGTCCGGGGCTTTGAACGGAACGTTGGTCACTAGGAACTCCAGGCCCAACATCGTGCTGCTGATGGCAGACGACCTCGGAGCGGGGGACTTGGGCTCCTACGGGTACAACACGCTGAGGTAGAGAAATCCCTCCGCTCGCGTGGCCGAGTCACGATATCTCCGTCCTTGCGTGGAACAGCCCCGGCCTGAGTCACTTCTCCACTTGAACAACAGAAGGCGCCCTAGGCGAGCGGCCAAGACCCGCTCTCTCATCTCGACCTTTTTCGTCTCTCGCCGTTTTTATCATTGCGCTAAACAAACAAACACAACAAAACGCCACCCACAAAGCGCAAAGTTTGCCTTTTGAACGCATTCAAAGCTAGAAGTTCAGGGGCATTGAGGAAATCTGCAATGTGCCGCAACCGTGCCCTCTGTCTATGGGGTTATTCTCTACTCACGCCTCTCCCCGGCTCCCGGCAGAGGCTTTCTGATTTCTGTCTCGACAGGTTGGCCTGGGCTGCCACGTTCACATCCACAGAATCATAGAATATGCTCATTTGCCAGGGCTGACATAAAGGAGCACCGACTGCGGGGCTTAAACAACGGACACTTCTTCCCCCGAGTCCTGGAGGCTGGAATCTGAGACGTGGGTGGGGGCAGGGCTGGCTCCCCCTGCTCCAGCCGCCCCCCCAGGCCCCTCTCCTGGGATCAGGCCCATCCTAGGGACCTAATTCTACCTTCATCACCTCTTCAACCTCCCATCTCCAAACACAGCCACTTTCTGAGATCCTTGGGTTAGAATATCCACATGTAAATTTGGGGGACACAGTTCAGCCCACGCCGTGTAGTATGTGCTTTTTTGGCGTCTCTCACGGAGCATCGTGTGCTCAAGGTCCGTCTATGCTGCTGCCTGAGTCAGAGCCTCCCTCCTGTTCATGGCTGCGTACTATTCCGCTGTGCGGCTATTACACACGTGGGTTTCCCGTTTTTCAACATCTTCCTTGAATTCTTTTTAAAGTCTCTGGTACCCAGTGTTGTCCTTGGTGAGCCTGCCCCCCCTCACTGGACAACATAGCTCGTGCCTCTAAGCCTGAATTTAAATCCCATTGTTTCAGCGTAAAAGGAAGATCACAGTATAGCCCTGTATTGTAAGCATATTCTTATACATGGAAAGGAGTTGGTCTCCTTAAAAGCATTTTAGGACCCTGTAAGCAACCATAAGTAGGGGTTTACCTGCCTCCTCCATGGAAGATCTGGGCAAGAAAGGCTGCGTTAGCCCCGGCGGGTGTGGCTCAGTGGATTGAGGGTCAGCTGCGAACCAAAGGGTCGCTGGGTCAATTCCCAGTCTGGGCACAGGCCTGGGTTGCGGGCCAGGTCCCCAGGAGGGGGTGGGTGAGAGGCAACCACATAGCGATGTTTCTCTCCGTCCTTTCCTTCATCTCTCTCTAAAAATAAATAAACAAAATCTTTAAAAAAAGGAAAAGAGACTTGATTAGGGGTTCATACCATCACCGTCGGACATACCCTACCTCTGCGGGCACAGTAGGGGAGCACACAGGCAGACTCACCCACAAAGATACTGAAATGAAGCACCCTTGTTTGCTTGTATTGTTCAGGTGTTCAAAACACTTTTTGCACTAATTCGTTTTTTTAAAATCCTCACCTGAAGATATTTTTTGGTTGGTTGGAGAGAGAGAGGGAGAGAGTCCGAGGTCGGTTGCTTCCCCTGGGCGCCCCCACCAGGGATGGAACCCTAAAGCTAGGCATGTGTCCTGACGAGGGATCAAACCTGCCCCCTCCAGGGGTGTGGAAGGGTGCTCCAAGCAACTGGACCCCCCGGCCAGGGCTTTGCAGTGATTTCGAGACCTTAAAATATTAACCAAACAAAACAGGAAGTCAACTCGAATGCAGAACAATGCCATTTGGTGATTTTAACGTGATAACTTTTAACTACATTAATGTTTCACAGAATCTTGGATACCTACCCATTAACTTGAGGAACAGGATACGATCCAGCAGACGGCCTTTGGCATTGAATGCGTAGTGAGTCAGATGAGGAAATCCCTCCGTTACAACCTGAGAGCCTTGCTCGCCAGATAGAACCACAAGCGCCTGTAGGTAGGTCGACAAATTGTACATTGGGAAGAGCGTACTTTAGGTTGATTGGAAAGGGCATCCTCCTGACCTGGAACGGAAAGGCTTTGCACCTTGTCCCTTCCGTGGGGACGCGCAGCCTGACCCGGCTTCTCTCCGCAGCACGCCGAACCTCGACCGCCTGGCCGCCGAAGGCGTGAGGCTGGCCCAGCCCCTGGCCGCCGCGTCCGTGGGCACCGCCAGCCGGGCCGCCTTCCTCACCGGCCGCTACCCTGTGCGATGGGGTGAGCCGGGGCCACCAGCGGCCTGTTTGTCTGACGGCGACGCTTTCCTCTCAGGCATTCGTACAATTCTGTCCTCAGAGCTCTCAAAAGGGCGCTCAGGGTATCAAGTGTCTAAGTTCAAATGCGGGCTCTGGTGTTAGGCCTGGACGTCTTGAACAGGCGAGTCCCTTGCCAGGGGGCACCAAAGCTGCTCACCTGAGCACAAACAGTTACAGGGAACAGGCCGTGGGTGAGCAATTTCTGGGCTACCGAGAACACGCACTCCCATGTCTATGTGGTGGTACCAAGAGCCCACAACGGCATCTTTATCTCTTAAAGCTCACAGAGACCATGGAGTCCTTGTAAGAAATGTGGCCCTGCCCAGCGTCTGGGGGTGAGAGGCAAAAACCTGCAGAAAAGGAGAAGGCAGAGCCCTAGCCCTGGCTGGTGTGGCTCAGTGGACTGAGCGCCGGCCTGCGAACCAAAGGATCACAGGTTCGATTCCCGATCAGGGCACAGGCCTGGGTTGCGGGCCAGGTCCCCAGACGGGGGCACACGAGAGTCAACCGCACACGGATGTTTCTCTCCCTCTCTTTCCCCTTCCCTTGCCCTCTGTCGAAACTAAATAAAACGGAAAAAAAAGGAAAGAAAATTGTTTTCAAAAAAGAAAATGGGAAGAAAGAGTGGCGAAGAAATTAAGAGCTGTATATAGTCTCTCTTTCTCTCTCGCTTCCTTCCCTGCCCATATCCTTGTCCCAAAAGAGATTTTAAAATTTAGTCTTAGCAAGATGGGTGTGATGATCAGAAGCTAATATTTGCCTTTGTAGCTACGTGATAAGCATCCGCGTAGACCTGACAGTATAAATAGCAGTTGAGAGACTCGGCTGAAACGACGGTGCTATCGTTCTCTACGGGGCCTTCGGGATGCGAACCTGGAACGAAGCTGACCTGCTACTGTGTTTCACTACCTCAACCATCTGCTTGTTGAAATGATAATGTACTCACCCCGGTAGCTTAATGATTCCATGGCAGCTGTGCCTCTGTAGGTTGTCCTTCTTATGAGCGGTAGCATCTCATCCGATAGCTCTGGGCATGTCCGAAGCAGGTAAATTGGAAATCCATGAACATTTACAGTAAATAAACGTTGCAAGTCCTTGTCCCAGGACCACGGATGGGTTGCCCTCTATTTGGGTTGCTCAGAGAACTTCTCTCCTCGTTCACGGTTCTCAATTTTGTTTGAAACCGTCCGTGTGCCACAGAGATGGCCGTACACACCCTGACCAGGGATTGAGCCTGCAATCTACGCACGTGTCCTGACCAGGAGTCACACCTGGGAACTTTTGGCGTGCCGCACGGTTTGAGTGTGCTCCAACCCACTGAGCCACTCGGCCAGGCCAAAGTGTTCTGACGTTCTACTCTATTGCCTCATTTCTGGGATACGTATCATTTATGGGTTTGTTCGTGGCAACAGAGACAGTACGAGACACGGAGAGGTAATCTAGGGATTACCGTGCAAAAGTAGTTGGAATTCAGAATTTCAGGGAGCGACCACACCCTGGGGGAAAGAGGGTGGGAGTTTATATACAAAGGTGAGAGAAAGCCTGGCAGAGAGCGGAATACGCGAGGAAGGACAGGATGCATTTCAAGGACCTCGCGACGGCTTGGGGACGCGTCCAGCCTGCCCTGAGCAGTTGGGCCGCGATAGTCACTTGGGCTTTGCCTCTGTGCAGTTAGGAATGGCGTCCGCCTTCAATCGGATCCGCGGCCTTACCTGGCTTGGAGGTTCTGGTGGCCTTCCCGCCACCGAAACGACTTTCACGGAGCTGCTGCAGCGCCGTGGCTACCGCACGGGACTCATAGGTACCGCCGGGCAGCCCCGCACGGGGAGACAAGGTCAGGCCGGCGGTCCCTCGCTCTCCCCGACCGCGGAGCCTCCGCGGGGGGTCGGCTGGGTGCACGCCAGCACGATGCGTGCTGGGAGGAGGCCATGGGGCAGGGATGGGAGACACAAGGGCTGAGGACCTGCAAGGGCAAGAGCAAGGTAGTAGAAACAGCGCCCGGGTAGAACGCAACGATGCTTAGCGATTCCTGCTCCCCAAACGGAACACTGTGCAGGGCAGGGTACTGGTTTTCCGACACCATCGCTCGCTGAGAAATGAGGGGATTTTTAAAGGTGTCTTCTTGGGCTGGGGGGGAGGGAAGGAGAGTCTTATGTACGGGGACGGAGATGGTTGGACATTGGGTGCTGGGCACATCGATGACATCTCCTACAAATGGGCACCCGAAACCTATGGGACCTGGTTAGCCCACGGTACCCCGATAACGTTAATAAAAAGAAAACGATAGAGACGTCTTCTTGAGCCTGAGAACCAAACGTGTCACTAGAGGTCAAGGTGAGGCCATTACTAACGACTTATTCAGATCGCTCGGGACCTTTTGTCTGTGGGGTGGCGGTCTTGGCGGGGGTGACAACGTGCGTCCGAAAACTGGCAAGTAAGATGATTCCACAAGGTTCCGGTCCCACGACTTACTCCTCTTCGGAGAGATGCGGTGAGCGGATAGTTTTGGGGAAGGCGGCTTGATTGTTATGTGCACTCCTTTAACGGTTGTCTGTGTGCATTGGAACGATCCCATCTTCTCAGATGTCCTTGCTTTTCAAAAACGACTTTGTACCCTCTTTAGGGGACCCGTATGGTGTTCTTTCCCACGAAACCCCTGGGAGCATCGTATGAATAAACATCTTCAGCCTTAGCTTTCAGGAAAACTCAGAGCGCAGGTAAAAGCTGGGTCCCACTTCAGCTCCGCCATGGCTCACGGGACCTCGGGCTTCCTAATAAATCTAGATAGTGACACTCTCTGGTGCATGCAGTAACACCAGTAAATAAGTAACAACAGCCTCTGATCCTTGTTGTCTGTGCTCGTGGAAGGGAATGGCTGCCGTTGCCCGAATCCTTCTGCTCATGACAAGTGTCCGTGACTAGTTTATCATCCACAACGTGGGGACCCTGGAGAGGGGCTCCGCCTCTAGAATTTGGGTGGGTTTGCAGTGGGGGGAGGAAGAGAGGGACACGCCGATGCGCGTGTGGCAACGCACAGCTCGTCAGCGGAAACGTGGGCACAAAGCAGCAAGATGTGGGTTGTGGCTTCTCAGCCAGGGCCGGCCATCTGGGATGCGTCCCGTCCTTCAGGACGTGGTGACCTACCCAGGAAGCTGTTTCTCCCAAATCCAACGCTAGACTCCTCTCCTCCCAGGAAGGACATGGGTTTCTGTTGCTCAGTCTTAGTCTGAAACATGCAGGCTATCGGCAAATGGGTGTGGGCGGCGTGGGAAGGGACTTCTTGGCCCTGGCTGGGTGGCTCTGTTGGTTACAGCGCTGTCCCAATTTGCCAAGGTTGTGGGTTCGATCCCCGGTCAGAGGCCTCAGATGCCGAGAAGTCGAAATCACCCTTCACGTCCACCGAGTGAAATCCGCGTTCTAGAAACAGCGTTTATGCTGCTACTCTTCCCATTTTGGTGTTTGTTTGTTTGGGGTTTTTTCGGCAGGAAAATGGCACCAAGGTCTGAGCTGTGCCACGTGGAACGACCACTGTTGCCACCCCCTGAACCATGGGTTCGACTCCTTCTGCGGGTTGCCCTTCGGCCTCCTGAGCGACTGCCGGGCCTCCGAGACGCCCGAGCTGCACCGCGGGCTCAGGACCACGTTGGCCATCTCCACGGCTGTCGTTGGCCTCGCCCCTCTCCTGCTACTCATCCCCAAGTGCACCCGCTGGTGGGCCGTCCCGTGGAAGGTCACCGTCCCCATGGAGTTGCTTGCGCTGCTGTTTTTCGTGAGCTGGTACTCCAGTTACGGGTTCGTCCGGCGCTGGAACTGTATCCTCATGAGGAACCATGAGATCATCCGGCAGCCCATGCAGGAGGACAGAGCGACGTCGCTCCCGCTGAAGGAAGCCGTCTCCTTCATCGACAGGTATTTCCTCGCTTCTGGCCTGACTTCCTGCGCCATGATTTTTGTTCCAGAGAAGCAGGGTGCGTGCATCGTGGTGATACAACTTTTTTTGCATGGGTGATATTTGCAGTATATAGGAATCTCTCCTTCGATAGAAAAAAAAATAGTTAAATATCTTGCAAACTGGGAACATAGAAAAAGGAAAAAATATTGCTCAATGCTTTAAAAAAAAACAACTTATATATATTGCTCAATGCTTTAAAAAAAAAACCCAACAACTTAGCCCTGGTTGGGCAAATCATTTGGTTACAATGTCTTCCCAATGTGCCAAGGTGGCAGGTTTGATTCCCTGTCCCAGCAAATGTAGAAGCATCAACCAATGAATGCATCAATAAGTGGAACAACAAATCGACTTCTCTCTCAAATCAATAACACATAAAAATAAAAGAATAGCTTGAATCACTATAGTTTAACCCATATTGCTCCCATGTGGATTAGTATCAAAATTGATTGACTCTTGGCAATTGCCCTTGAATTTGCTTTGCTTCCGAAGGAGCCTGAAATACTTGTCTGTCCCTAAACAATTAAGAGGGAACTCTATCGATACATGATTTAAAATTTTATATGGTTAATAAAAGCCATGTAGGCATAGGTGGCAGAATTTCTCATGTTTCTCCACCAGCTCACTTCCGGATGACTCCTTAGAGGTATTTTCGTGTTTGCGGGAATAGTCATTGGCTTGTTTCTCTACGTCCTGCGGGGGCAGGCTGTGTGGCAGAGTGGATGAAGATGAGAAATGATAACGTCATGGGCTAAAACAGTAGACAATGGAACATCTGTCCCTCCTGAGCCTTTGTGACGGTCCCATGCATTTCTTGCGCTAACACAGCAGTCAGAATGGTCATACGGTTCCCTGGCTCTGTTCAGCCTACCTACCTCTCCCGTCGCCAGTTCGGTTTGCTTGGGTGACTGCTGAAAAAGCATACCCGGTTTTTATGTCCCACACCTTTTATAATGGCAGGTGTTAAAGCATGCGAAGGCGTAGGTTTAGAAAGACTAGGTATGGCATTAAAATCCAGAAAAGAACAAAAGAAAAGATACAAAAAGGAGGGAAGCTTATTTGGTGGTTGTCGTTCGTACCCTCGCTCCTTCCATCTTGCTATTTTTGAAAATTCTGCATCCGCAGCCTCATAGCCCAAAGTGGATGCCAAAGCTCCAGCCATTACGTTTATATTCCAGGCAGCACAAAGAAGGTGGAGGAAGAACTAAAAAAAGAATCCTTTCTGTAGATGGCAGGCTATCGTTTTGTTGATATCCCTTGCCTGCCTTTATCAGTAGTTAATCACATGGCCACCCCTAGATATAAGGAGTCTGTGTCCTGGGCAACTACGTGTCCATTTAAATGTTGGGCCTTGTGTGACTGAGGGGCCCAAAGAGAACCGAGAGCAGGGAGTGTCTGAAACGTGAACACAGTGCCTCTGAGTCTGTGTTGATACTGTGAATTGTCTTCACCCATGTCTGAGAGAAGTATTCTCAGAGAACAGGCGGAGAGAATCAATACGGGTTTTGTATTCATTCATCCATCTATTCACTCACTCACTCATTCATCCAACAAAGATGAAAACATTTGATATCAGACGTTCAACTCGATGCAGGAAATCAAAAGACACACGACCCTAGGCATTTCATTGCAAATACACATTTTTTGTTACTCGTCCCGCTCCTCAAATCCTGTCTGCGTGTCTTGCTGGGGGGTTCGCCATTCCCAGGAATGAGATCAGTGACTCGTGTACGTCGAAAACCTCCATGAACCCTGAGGAGATCTTTCAGTGAAGGCCAAGTGGGAGGAATACCCCCGTTTGATAAGGTGACTCAGTGGTCTTTCTACCCCGAAGGTATAAATGCGGGCCCTTCCTGCTGGTTGTATCTTTTCTGCGCGTCCACACACCGCTGATCACCAAAGAGAAGTTCGTGGGGCACAGCAAATACAGACGCTACGTCGACAATGGGGAAGAAATAGATTGGATGGTGGGTAGGTATTTGGAAACAGCAACGTTAAGACCTGACTCTTGAGGCAGAGAAAACAAGTTTGTATTCATCGCCTGAAATAACGTGCAGCGTCTTTCTGAATGAACGAAAAGCTGGCTTTGGGTTCAGGGAATTCAACGCATATGCCCCATGCAAACAGTTACGATTTGTGAATGCGGGTTTTCCTCTCTTTAAAATAAAAATAGCCCCTTTCCTGGGGGAAAAAAAAATCGTTGGCGAGATTAACGCCGTTGTAGAGAATATCGTCACTCCTCACCAATTTATTAGACATAGAAGGAAACATGTTATTTTGCTAAGGTTTTCAAGAAATGCTTACATATGTGGGAGCGAGTTTGCCGACACCAAAGGCGTTTGCTTGAAAGTCACATCATCCCTGTAGAAAAACAAGACTCGGGAGAATGACTTAGAAGGGAAGCCAGCTTAAGAAACCAACAGGGGAAGCCAGGTGCTCATCCCGGCAAACGGGGCCGTTCAAATCACATTGTCCCCAGGTGATAACAGAAGAGTGTTTCTTCACCTCAACAGGAGCCTTTACTTGGGAGACACAGCATGATTGTTCTCCCCCCTCCGGTTCGCGGACGCGTCTAAACCTTGTCCACTGGAGAAGCTCCTGAACTGATATCTCGTGCTTTTTTCCTTCTTGCTACCTGTGTAAATGAACACTCATATTGAGTGCCTGTGAAAGAAACACAGCCAGCTTCACTGAAATGCATTTGGAGAGGGTTAATCCCTCCACATCTGTTGGAAATGTGGTTGCTGAAACCAACCGCTTTGGAAGCACCGTTAACAGCAGGGTTAATGAATGTGCGCATACACAAGGAGATTTCCATGCAGATAGTCACGGGGGAGAGATGCCCGGTGCTGAGACCGCGGCGTGGCCTTCATTGTCCCGGGTGGTGTGACCTGTTGATGGGCCAATGGCCAGCCAGAACCGCAAATACTGTGGGATGTGGCTGGATCAAGTTTTAATTTTTTTTCTGGCACTGTTTGTCTTCTAAGGGGTTGCTAAGTCAAGTATTAACTCGTGTGAGATGCTTCGGGACAAGCAGAATGTAAGAAGTGCGTGTACTTTTGACGTCAGGGAGTGGACAGGAGATCTTTCAAGGGACAGAGAGGTTTTCGGTGGCAGGTGTATGGCTTCGGTGCTTCATTCTGGAAGGTGTCGTTGTTGAATTGCTACTTCTTGTATATCGGAAGTCCTACGTTTATTTGAAGTGCTGGACCTAACGTGCATTGGCTATATGAATTGTTGTGCGTGATGATGATATTGTATATTGTGTATTCTTATCTACTTCATAATACACTGTATACATTGTATAGAATCCATATACAATACATATTGTTGCAATAGCTGTGTATGTGACCTAATTTGTAAAATAAAATATATGCTCTGTACGTTACGTAATAGAGCCATAGGATTGTATAGTAAAATGATACATGTCCACCAGTAAAATTACACATTAAATAATAAAATAATATATCGTCCCGTTAGGTCATAAGCCAGCGATTTTCAGCGGTGCGTCACAGGAATGTTTGCGACATGCCGTTCCTGACTATTCACAGCTGGGCACTGGCCTCTTGTCCCTTAGATTGCTGAATAAAAAACTGGCAAGTATTATACATTATATTACAGTTTTTCATTACACCTGGCTTTTTGTCAGGCTGGCAAGAAGTCCATTTTCGTGTCTGCTGCGGAATTTTAGTAAGCGCTTGATATGCTGTGAGATGGCAAAGGCTGAGGATCCCTGTGGACAATAATTATATAATGATGCTAGGGCATAACACGTGCCTGTTGAGCACATAGTGTTTCTTATAAATTTATAAGTTATAGATTGATAGTTCTAAATATTTTAGTGTATATGTACAAGTTGCAGTTATACATGCTATATATAATATTCATATTTAAAGGGTTTATAAGTTTAGAATACGTCAGGTATTTATAAATGATATATTTATTATAGAGGACAGTATGCACTCTACATTCTAATTTATCACAAGTATTTTAATACGATAGTAATGCATTCTACATTTATTAAATCATAATAAATTATATTTATTATGTAGTTACTATAAATATATCACATATCACATTATAAATATTCAGTGAATAAGTATAAATATGTAAGATCAAAGTTATGCAAACTATATTATTACATATACTATACTAAATACATCTTATATATCATATAGAAATACTCCAGAGCATCTTCTTCTATGCTCTATATCTGAGGACCCTATAAGAAATCTTGATTTTTTTTACATGCTCTTACGCAGCGCACAACGAAACGCCGTTTACTTTTGCTGTTCCGTCGGGCGGCTGCGTGACACCGAACGCGCAGCGAGTCGCGGTGGCGCGCTCCGCATGGGGACCCCCTCCCCCTGTCCGCCTCCGCCAGGGAAGATCTGGACGCGCTGAGCGGGAGCGCCTGGCCGGCGAGACGCCGGTGCACTTCGCCTGCGACAACGGGGCCTGCCTGGAGGCGCGGGCTCACGGGGTGCGCCTGGGCGGCTGGAACGGGGTCTCCAAAGGGGAGGTGGCCCGGAGCGCGCGAGGCAGCATAGACGGCAGGCGGGGCGGGGGCACCGTGCTGCGCTGTGACCTCCATCCCTTGGCACATGCTGTTGGGGCTTTTAGGAGGTGGCCTCTCGTACAAAGCTGGCACGTTGCGGGGCAAGGGCCAGAGTCGAAGACAAAAATGGGGGAAGCAACGGAAGTCTCAAGTGAAGAAAGAAGACCAGCGCCCGCCGGAAGCCTGCACCACACATGCTGACACCTGGGGCTGCTGACTCCCCGGGGGGGTGTGTCCCGGGCCCAAAAGAAGAGTTTAAAAAGCTATGGGGTGTCTGCCACGCCTCACACCCGGTCTCCTGTTCCTTAATAGTAAGATCGAGAAAACGTCAGGGTGGGTGCAGGGATGCTTGTGTGTGGGTTGCTTGCGGCCTAAAAGCAATACAATTTCGTTCAGGGAGCA